TGGGCATCATAAGCGGGACTTGCAAAGGAAACTTGTGAGATATTCCAATTGGCCCAAGCCCTATTTTGTATCTGTTGAGGTCTGGGACCCCAAAAAGAAGGCAGCAGTTCACAAGCTCTTGCCTATGTGGTTGCCACATGAGCTGGTGGGTTATATTGCGAAGTGGTCTTCGTTGGAGAATTTTTTGGACAAAGGCGGAATGTCCGTTGACACGGCTGCCCACGTGACCAAGGTGGAAGCTCAGGCTGGAGCCACCCTATTGGGTTGCGGTCTGTGGTGCGACGGCGTCCCTTACAACTGGGACAAGAGTTCTTCGCTGGAAGTTGTTGCCTTAAATTTCCCAGGCGTCCCAGAATGGAAGAACATGCGGCTGCCGATCACGGTCATTGACAAATCTTTTGTGATCAAGCACGCCACCTTTGACTGTATCTTCAATATTTTGAAGTGGAGTTTTGAGATTTTATTTTCTGGCGTATACCCCAGCAGGAGACACGACGGGTCTCCTTTTACCGCCAAAGATGCGGTGAGGAAGAAGCTGGCTGGCCAAACCCTCTATGTCAGGGCAATCCTTGCTGAGGTTCGCGGCGACTGGGCTTGCTACAAGGAATTGTTCAGGCTGCCCGGCTGGAAAGAATTGAGCGGCTGCTGTTGGAGGTGCACCATGACTCCTGACCGCATCCATCTCTGTGATGACCAAGCATTTTGGAGGATGCCGCAGCACCGCCTTTCCCATTGGCAGTTTATGACGAGGCAAGCAGAACTTGAGAGATCAACCTCTCCTATCATGGGCTGCCCGTTTGTTGATATTTCTATCTTTCAAATCGATTGGTTGCACGCAGTGGACAAAGGAGTTGCAGCAGACTTTTGTGGGAGTTTTCTTTCTTCCTTGCTACCAAAGATGCGAGGCACCAACAAAGACGAGCAATGCAGAGATTTATTTTTGAAGCTCCAGACATGGTACAAGGACAATGGCACCAAGGACAGGCTTGCCAACCTCACCGCCACCATGCTGCAGAAGAAAGCCAGCAACCCCCCCAAGCTCAGAGGGGGAGCGGCTCAAGTCAGGGCGACTGTGCCTTTTGTCAACTTCCTGGCCCAAGAGTACTGCAGGGATGACAATGTGTGGGAGTCAAGTTTGAAGGCGGCAGCTGGGCACCTGTCGCGATGCTATGAATGCTTGGATCATCAGAATTTTTCCATAGCAGTACTGAAAGAACATTGTCGGAAATTTTGCACTTTGTACGCAGCTTTGGTCCATGACTCTGATCACGCGCAGTGGAGGCTGAAACCAAAATTGCATTTGTTCCAAGAAATGTGCGAGATGGCTGCCTCCAATCCCAGTTTGACGTGGACATATCGGGATGAGGATTTTGGAGGGGCTCTGGCCCTGATGGGGAGGAGGAGGGGAGGGCCAAAGTCTGTGACTTCAACCGCCGAGAATGTATTGTGCCGGTTTGCAGGTCGACACGATGTGCCAGCTGTGTGAGAAAAAAAGGAGCTGTTTGGATCGAGGCGCTGCCTTGAAGGTTCGAGCGCGCATGAAGCCATGCATGAACTTGCTGCAGCAGTTTGTCTACAGGAGAAAGCACGTTCGTTCTCCCATTTTGAAAAAAAAGATCAGGAGAAGCGCATGCAAGCTTCTCCTTTTGAAACACACATTAACTAAGAAAAAACACCTTAAAATGAAAACCCTCTAATTAAGGACTAAAGTCCTTAAATGTTGGATTCAACCTTAAAAAAAGACCTTAAATAAGGACTTTTGTATGTGTTTTCAAGAAAAAGACTTTAAATAAGGACTAAAGCCTTTAATTAAGGAGTTTTTTTAAGGTTGATAAACTTAAATAAGGTTGGAAACCTTAATTAAGGTCTTTTGGGTGGTGAGGGAACAGTCTGGGGTGCCGGAAGGTCTGGGAGGAGTCCAAGCCTGTATTGAAAAGATCAGCTGGAACGGTCAAGCGTCATGAGCGACAAGGTCCGGTAACAGTCTGTAGAAAATGTCAGTGCATGAGTCGGAACAGATGCCCACAACAGGGATCAAGACACTGACCGAAGCCCGGACGCAGTGCCTAAACACACTTGATATGAGACGGCACAATTGACAATGCGCACCACCATGCAGGTACAGGCTGTTTGAAGGTCTCCGGCAGGGCAATGGAGTTTCGGCTTACTGCATGCTCAAACATCTTTCGTGCCACCGACCATCCTCTTCAGGAACGCCATCGGCAGGTGACACTACTTCATGTTGAGACATCCAGCAAGGTGGCGTTCGACTCCAAAAAGAAAAAGGCACGACCGCAAAACCCCTTAGGAACAGGGGGGCCACACGAAGCGCTCTCGCTGTGGCCCTGTGCGAAGTTGGCTTAGTCTCGGAGAGCCCTCTGCGTGCGTGTCGACGCGCTCTTGCGCTTTTCTTGCTCACGACATGGCCTTTGGAAGTTGTCTCGTGGATTGCGCGCCTGCTCGAAAATCGCAACTTTTAAGACGAAAGTAGTACGCAAAGTACACCTCGCAGCTCCGGCTGGAAAGTCGCAACTTTTCAGTACGAAAGTAGTACGCGTACGCGTTACAAAAAAGAAACAAACTTCCGCAGCTCCGGCTGGAAAATCACAACTTTTGAGCGCGAAGTACACTTTCGCAGCTCCAGCTGGAAAATCGCAACTTTTTAGCACGAAAGTAGTGCGCGCAGTACACTTGCGCAGCTCCGGCTGGATATTCGCAACTTTTAAGTACGAAAGTGCTACGCGAATCAGGGAGCTTGTTCAGAGCAACTTGCTGGTTGTTTTCTGTTTTCTCGAGGCTAGGACAAGTGGAAAAAAAGAGGCCCAGGTGATATCCCCAACACCAACAGCTCGCGGCGCTCTTTTACGACCCCTGTAAACCAGCCGCCCAGACCATGCCAGAGCTTTATGTTTGCCGGGCGCAAGAAACCAAACTCGTGACTGTTCCAGCCAAGCGGACATGCACTCATTCCATGCCTGGATTCAACAGCCTCAGTGTCAAGCGGTTATGCGGGATCGCTTGAAACAACCTGTCTTCATCTTCAGACCATTTTGGCTTGGACGCTCTCCAAAGCTGAAATGCCAGCAACCATCTCACTGGAAAAAGCATGCGCGCAACTGTTTGGGATATCTGTCCCTGACACTGCGAAAGTGCTGCGCCTGCCACGAAATCTGCACATGGCCTTGCGTGCCACTGATTTGCGTGCACCGGTCAAAGGTCGGGATCACTCGACGCCGAAATCAAGGAATTTATTACATGTTCATCTTTGATTTCTTTTCTTTTGTCTTTCCGAACTTTCGGGAGACAGATCCAGATAGAAAGATGTGATGAATACGATGCGAGACAATAATGATAAAGAACGGGGCTGCATAAACAAAGAACAAGATAACACATGAGAAAATAGGACAAGATGAGCACCTTTACTTGCATCCTTGGTTCCCCGCCCGTGCTTAACGGTATTTAACGGTCTAACGCCAAAACGTTCGCCGAGCCATATTGGAGCAGTTGTTCGGGCCCTCCTTCTTGGCGCCTGACGGGGGCGCAACGCAAGACAAATGCAAGCTTGAGTCTGCCATTTAACTTGCACCGGGCCAAGGTGCCCTCAGAATAAACAGGCAAATGTAGATACACACAGGGGTAGACACATAAATAGATAGACAAACATAATATATTCAAAGGTAGAGAGAGGGAGAGAGTAGATAGAAGGTAGATAGACCAATAGACAGACAGATAGACAGACACATAAAGATACATAGACATGATGATGATGGACAGACAGACAAACAGATAGACATAGATAGACAGATAGATAGACAGATGGGGAGAGAGAGAGAAAAAAACAGAGAGTGAGGGAAATTGATAGGTAGAAAAACAGATAAATAGATATGTAGATATTTAGATAGGCAGATACGCAAGTGGATGGCTCGATAGATACATAATACATAGATAGCCAGATAGATAGACGAATAGATAGATAGATCGATAAATAGTTAGATACATAGATAGACAGATAGATGGAGAGATAGACAGATAGATAGATAGAGGGAGATTAAGTAGGCCCTTCGATAAGTCTGGCAGTCTGGCCCTTCGAACAGTCCAGCGCAGCACACTCCACAGCCAGCCCCGAGAAAAGTCCAGTATAGCACACTCCGCAGCCAGCCCCGCAAAAAGTCCAGCACAGCACACTCCGCAGCCAGCCCCGGTGTAGGAAGTGAAGGAGGAACGGGAGCACATGAGGCACAGAGGGAGAAACGGAGGAAAAGGAGGAAGGGGATGAGCAGGAGGAGGAGGAGAAAGTTGGAGGAAGGCGACGCTGAGATACAATCTAGAGACCCTCACCTGAGAGGTGGGGAAAAAATGAAGACAAAGCGAGCGGGGCCTCTCAAGAAGCATACAAGCGTGCGAGAACAGATGTATCCCATGTATTTTTGCAGATTCGATTCGTGGATGCTTCGCGAACACACGCTATGGTCCTCCAAATTCTAAGCGCTGACACGGGCTTCTGGCGTTTTAACCAACTCCCGTGCATGTATAAAGTTGAGCATACATGTTCGCATGTTTAACAACTTGATTTATACCAGCAACACCGTTTCCACACAAACGTCAGGCCGCCAGAAACATGACATCGCAAGCAATGCCGCGCAGAGTAAAAAGAACAACGCCCTCTCCGATTCAAGGCAAACTTGTCACATCAAAGTTCTCAGTGCCACACAAACCATATCAAACCAGCATTTGGCCCACGCTCTTTGGCTCCTCCGCCTCACCCTGCGGGCATCCGCCGAACCAATGCCTCGAACTTTTCTCGTGCAACCACGGCGCGGGTGCGGATGATACGTTAAATGCGGGCTGCCCAAATTCAAGACCCTGCTTTGGCGAACGGAGGCATTGGCATGGTGACCTGGTGGCCTCTCACTCCGACCTCGTGGCAAGCTGTTCATACACATATCTCGAAAGGGCATGCGGCAAAGGCCCCGAAACATTGGGACCTTGGGCATGATTTTGCGCGTGTCAAAAAAACTGCAACGTTGCAGCGGAACTGAGAGGTGAAAACTTATAAGACATGCGTAGCCGAGTCGGCTCAGAAGGCTTTGCCTCGAGCCGTGAGCAGCCGAATTCCATAACCAACATGCTGCAAACACCCTCTTTTGGCTGGCTTTAAAGCGACTTCAAAGGGCAAGGGTGGTCCCCGACAAAAAGACCCACCCAACACTCGTTTCAAAATGCACGTCTCTGGCTAGCAGCGGATCCAATTTAAGGGCCAAGTGGCCCACCTTGATGCCACGTGGCACTGTACAAAACGGAGACTCGCATTATAGCTGGATGCGCTCAACCGGTCTGAAGATGAGAATCACTCGCAAGTCGCAGCTTGTCTGAACCACATGCATGGATCCTGTGGCTTCAATGGTGCGAGGTGCGCAAAAGATTGGCATGCGCTCAAAGCTCACAGCCGTGTCCGGAAGAAATGGAACTTGCCGAGCCTGACGGAGCAATCGATTGCACAGCTCCACTGTGTACTCGCACATGAACACCTCCCACAGAGGTCGACCAACTAGCGCGGTCACTGGAGCAGACGCCGCAGAAATCTGCATGGCTCGCATGTCCAACTCAAGAAATATGTTCTTCTTCTTCAATTGTATCACCTGCTCCACGACCCCATGCTCCACAATTTCTCGCGGTTCTTCAAACTTTTCTGCGCAGCCTGGCAACTCACCAACTTCAGATTCAACCAGTGCGTAGCTGCTCGCGCTCTGGCTACTGCTGCAACTCGGGCTGTCATGCCTGTCGTCGAGGCCCTGAACAATGGAAGCAGGGCCTTCGTGAGTGCTCAGTCCGAGTGTACATGACTCAAACTGGTCCAAGTGGACTTCATCATCAATTGCGTCGGTCGCTTTGCATCCAGCCAGCGACTTGACATCGGTGAAATCCCGCAGACCTATCAAATGCCGAAGTTCATTGTTTGACATCCGGTACTTCACCTGGAATACCTCAGTGCGAAATTTGCTGGAGCAGCTGTCAACCAAATGCGTGTGGAAGGCAGTTGCAAAAGAGCAAGGACCAGCGCCACCGTTGCCAAGAAGATTCTCTCGTGCCCTCTGCGCTTCTGCTCTTGAGATGAGGTCGGTGAAGCACACACCTTGCAAGGAAGCCCGACGTAGCAAAATGCCGGCCAGCTTCGGACATTGATCTATGAGCCGTAGCTCGTTGTCCAGCTCTATGACTGCATCACAGGTCAAACGAAGCAAGGCAGATACCGCATCAAGCTGAGAAGCAGCATCGCTCTCCCGAACGCGCGCTTCCACTTTTTGCCGAAACATCTTGTGCACAAAGCTCACCAGCGTGAATACGAATGGGAAAAGGATAAACTCCGCTCCGAAAATGGAAGCTCGCCGTCCAAGCATGGTGGTGGAAGTGAGTTCAGGGTCAGCAGACAAAAAGCGAACAATTGTAAATACCGCAATGAATAGGTAGCATACACCTGCCAAAATCCTGCTCTGGACAAAGATCATACAAGGCAACTGGATCACGACAAGGCTGAATACCCTACCGCTGAACACCCCCCAAGTCGGGAACGCGGCCGGAGACAGAAACACCACAATGTGCAGGTTGAAGATCAGGTTCCAAAGGTCCAGCGTTCTCACGGTCACTGCGCATGGCACCCAAAGTGCCCCTGCGATAAGCACGCCCAAGACAAGCTGATTCCACAAGACTACAGTGGATGCGATGAACTCTGAGTCCGGAATGCCCGAGCGGAGCCGAGCTTGACCTCCAACCAAAGCGACACACAAGACTGCTGCCGCAATGCCCAGGAATGATCGGGCAAATTCCAGTTGCAGCTTGGACACCTCGCTCCGCAAGAACATCTCTGTGCCAGTGCACTCACGCTTCGGGCAGCGATTTTGCGGCAACTTGCGAAGCGTAGCTGCAAGATGCTCGCGACGCTGCCAAAGCTTCTGAAGCCCCTTGAGAACACACGACCTCAGCATGACATGCAACATGGTCGTTGGTGAATATAGACAACGAGAATACATGAACACGCTCATGCCCTGCAGGTGAAATTAGCTTGCACTGGTGCTTTAGCGTCTTGCTTCAAACCAAGCGAGTTTGAAGCAGCGCAAAGTTAGCTGCCAGCAAAAAGGGAGCAGCAAACAAGCGCGAAATACATACAGACCTGCATCTCAGTAGCCAAACCTTCCTTTGGTTGTTTGAAGGGGGCCAAGCTTGCCTACCACTGGAGAGGGCAGCATGAACCAATGAGTCGCGCTGTCAAGACCAGACGCACTCGCATAGTTCTTGATTGTTTTTGGCACATGGCTACATGCTGCTGCAAATGAGCCAATAAGACAAGCGCAGGACGAGTGTGTGTGTGTGTGTGTCTCTGTGCGTGCGAACTTACCTGGTGACTCAATGGACTTCCTTCGTGGGCGACGTCCCGGAAACTTGAGATTGTTGCTTGTTAAACTAACGGGGAAGAAAACTCGGAAATTATACTAAGTGTCGATCTTCAGGATCCGGCTCGTTCACTTGGTATGATAGACATCACTTGTCGCCTTTGCTGCAGTATTTTGCGGAGCACGGCGTTCGTTTCTGCACAAAATTGACAAACCCGCGAAGGCGGTCCGGAGCGGGTTTCCGGGTGCGCGTGGCGCCTGGTTTTGCGGGCAGAAACAAAGCCACGGCGAAATTTGCATGCTTTCCCATGCCAGCATGAGGCTGGCCTGGCTCCGTGGAAATCCCAGGCGACGCTGCTCTTTGTGCTGTGCCGTCTATCGCTCGTACCAGCTGCGGTGACTTTGGGAAAGTGGTCACTAGGAATGGAATGAGCATGCGAACACTATGCTGGAACATGCCATGGCTTTAACCTATTGAACACCTGCGTTGGCAAGAGGTCTCGTGAACATTCGCATGATCGTCAGCAAAAGCCCTGCCTCTGGGGCATCTTTTATTGCATCCTGACTTCCAATGCTGCAAACTTCTTTCAGAAGTTTCTCGCTTGGGTGGCTGTCAAGAGGACTGCGTGGCGTATCCGAGGGCAGTTGCAAGTGCTTCAATACCAACACATTCCGGGTATGTGTGCAACATTTGTTGCAGTTGAGATTTACATCAAGTTGCTCTCACAGATTGTAACATTGTAGCTACCAGGAACGAAACTCTCAGAGTCCTCCCCATATTTCCCGGAGGCGAGCCACACCAGCACCAGCAGGGTGCAAAGACCAGAAATGGGGTAAACTGGCGTGTGGCCAGACAACAAAGCCATGGCGATGGTCTGGACGGACCAAAGGCACCAAAGCCACACAGCTGCGAGATGGCGAAGATTCCGCTGGCCATGTTGACGCGTTTGCGTCATCCTTTGGCCAACAGGAGCCTGACATGCTATTCCAAGTGTCTACCATGGTTTGCAGAATTGGCTGGTACAAGCAATAAGAACAGGACATGCTGCTGTAATTTTGGGTGATACATCTGATGTGGGCTTCTTCGCAGGCGATGGTTTTCGCCCGCTGAGACCATGGCCCGGGTTCATCCATGTCAGCTAAGCATGTCAGGCCCTGAGCCCCCGGCAACAAAGGAACTCGAGCGCCCGCAAAAAGCAGTCGCTGCTTCTCAGGCCTCAAGATGGGGTGCACTGCTGTTACCACACCTTCAGCCTGTTTCACTAAGCCAGGAAAGCAAACAGCACACGGGAGCTTGCGCCAAGGCAAAGCAACAGCAAGGCAACACTCGCCTCAGCTTCCGACATCCTGTGCTGGAGCTTCATGTCGTCTCAGATTGCTGGGATATGCTGCGTTAATACCTGGCCAGCAACTCTTCCCCGCACCCTGCTTCCAGGTCCAGCACTGAGAATACGATGCATTATTCACAGGCAAGTGGTTGGCATCCTAAGACTCCCAAAAAGCAACACTTGGGAACTGACTTTGGAAACGCTGGCGCCAAGTTACTACTCCCTCCCAGCCTGCACCGAGCTGGCCGTCTTGTTGCCACCGAGGCCAACGCCCGCTTACGCGTCATTGTGACTGGCTGCCAACCTTGGGAGACAGTTTGGTGCTACGAGGCTCATGCCAAACCACGATTCCAGTCCTACAAGGTTCCATTGCAGACTTGCACGCCCAGGCTTGGCCTGCGTGATTTGTCGGCGGACGAAGCCTCAACAACAACTACTACCAACCGAGGAAGTGTTTGCCACTCCGGGAACGGCTATGCGATCAGCTAAAGGGTTTGCAAACAATAGTGGGGCATCAGAGCACCAGCAAAATTGGCTCGGCACCGCACATTGGCTGACCTGCTCCTTCAAGCACGGTGCTTGCGGGCGCCAAGCAAGCTCGGCCTATGTGGTTGCTTACCCCAAGGTACACCTGGGGGTGTCCCTTTTTGAGGGTACCTTTTTTTTAAATTGTTGTTCCAAAGGAAAACCCAAAGGATGACCACCGTTCTGCAGCGGTCCAACCTAAAAAAAAACCGAGCCGCCCACTTAAACCTTGATTTAAGGAAAGCCTGGCCTGCGCTCTTTTTGCGGCGGAATTTGGCGCTCGTCGACACGCTCCCTTCGGAAGCGCTTGGGATGCTTCTCAACGCCACCGGTCTTTTTGTGGGGCAATGCTGTGATGAAAATCTGGCTTTAAAGAGAACCGCATGCTCCAAATGCACCTGACAAAACAAAAAGGCGGGGTACCCCCCAAGAAAAAATGACACCATGGTATTTATGATCAAACTTCCTCACAATCTTCTCATGTTGCGGCGGGGCCAAAGGCTGGCATTTCAGCCGCTTCGTTGGGCTGCCATTTGCCAGAGGCTTCGTTTCGACCGCTTCACTACCTGGGGAGGCAGGCCAAGGACGGGGAAAGGGGGTTGGCTTCTGCAAAAAAAACTAACAACTTCAGCCTCATCCCTCTTGGGCCTAGACGCCTAGACTGCCCAGAAACCAGGATGTCAAGACTTAGCCGTACAAGTGAAGATTACGGCTACGCTTCACCCTGAAGGCGCCACAGGTCCAGGACCACTTGTTGCGCACGCCACATGGCCCATGAGCCATCGGTCTTCAACATGCAGGATTGCATCTGCCATGGTGAACTCCACATCTGGGAATGCCCTTGAGGCATAGCTTACTTTTGCAACCATATGCAACCTATTCAGAGCAATGGTCTGCTCCATACATCGCTTATTAAACTGAATAGGTATCAAATGACCAGGAAAGCTGCGGCTAATGCCAATAATCAAGTGCGATTCGAGATGGAGCCGTGCCTGATCGGTGTTGCCTGGGCCGCCTCCAGTTTCGTACCTCACCACCTTTCCCGCGACCGGACCAGCTCTAAAATGGACAGCGGACAGCTGAGCTGTTGGAACCCACCAAACAAGTCATCCTTCCCTCAGTCCCCCCCCAAAAAAAGAAAACGACCAACGACACGACCAAAGGAAACCCTGGGGGGGGGGGCAGAAAACGAAGGGGGGGGGAGGAGTTGGGTGCTTTTTTGTTTTGTTGCTCGACCAAGTGCATCTCAGGGGCTCTAGATGTAGGCCCTCACCCACCTGCGCTTCCGGAACATGTCGAAGCGCCCCGGCGTGGCCACCCAGGTGGAGGTGTTCCAGGCAATGCCGTAGAGCCAGCCCTGCTCGTCCGCGCCTGGCCGGGGTGGTCGGTGGCTGCACTCCTGACGTGTCTTTGGAGGGTTCTCTGGGTGGGGGTGCATGCAAAACCCAGCGGGTCCAAGTAATTACCTCCTGAGGATGGCTTTTGGGGGGTAAAAAGGGGTCTACATACCTCCTTAGAAGATACTTGGACCCTCTGAAAAAGGAGAGAGCTGCAAAAGCCCCAGGCTGGTCGTAGGGCACTAGCACACCTTGCGCGCCAATTCCGCTGTTGCAAACTTTGGGCCGAAGCGCGGGAGGAATGCGCCTGGAAACTGTACAGCTGTGCTACAACTCTCAGCCGCTCTTGGCAAAGTGGCCGCCACCGAGCTGGAGCCTGAAAATTGCCTATAAATCTGGGTGAATTACAATATTTCACCAACCTGAAATAAGGTGGTTCGGGGGCCATTCCCCGCATAACCCACCATTTTGGGTGAGGTCGTGTGAGGTCGTTATAATTCACCCAGATAAATGCCCCGTGCCCTTAGTTTGGAGGCTAGACTTTGAGTAAACAAGCCCAAGGCGCGAGTTGGGGCAAGCCGCCCATGCCTTCCCTGGGGACCTGGCCCACAACCCTGAATGTCCAAGTCCCAAAACCGAAGGTTGACCCCAGATTAACCCCCCTGTTTCTTCATATGGGTGTCTGGGTGTCCCTAACTTTTTATATATATCCGCCGACCCCTTCTCCTCAAAGGGGGAGGCGCACGGGAAGGGTGGTTGCAGCACAAGCGCATGGATTAATTTTTGAGGCAAGCATATGACTACTGGCATCATACGGATGCCCATCATCATTATCATCGATATGATCCTTCATCATTCTTATCGTCAACATCATCATCATCAACATCATTTCTATATCCTTCAACATCATCATCCTCGTCATCATCCTTATTTTTTGATGTACGTTTCAATTGTGGCGTCAGAGAGGGTTTGACATGCAAAAGCTGCGTGGACATGATGATCATGATGACTGCCCCCCCCGGCCCCTGAAGATTGTGGCTTAACGCCCCGCTCTGGCCCATTGTAGCTGCCACACAGGGGACTCATTTAGGCTTGGGCGCAGGGGGCGCTATCTCAAAAAATGAGCCCCTTTCTTTTCGGCACAAGGAGTGCTAGGGATACTGGGCCCGTGGGGTAAGTCTCGGGCCGCCCTGGTGATGCCGAGGATGCTACGTTAGACACCATTGGCAATGCAGAGGATGCTACAACGATAGTTATGATCACAGTCCTCATCCTTATCATCACTAGCATCAGGTCATCATCATCTCTTATTAGCCGGCGCTGGTGATGCCGAGGATTCTACGATGATAGTTATCATCACAGTCCTCATCATTATCACCATGGTCATCATCATCTCTTATTAGCTGGCACTTGATGCCGAGGATCATCGTCTCTTAGTAGCCGGCACTGGTGATGCCGAGGATGCTACGATGATAGTTATCATCACAGTCCTCAGTATCATCACGGTCATCACCATCTCTTATTAGGCAGCACTGGTGATGCAAAGGGTGTTACGATGATAATCATGATCATGATCATCCTTATTATGATGTCATCGCTCTTCTCATCATCATCATGATGATCATCATCATCTCATTCTTGTTCTTATTCTTATATACATTTCAAAAGTAACGTTAGACCCCATTGGCAATGCAGAGGATGCTACGACGATACTTATCATCACAGTCCTCATTAGCCGGCACTGGTGATGCCGAGGATGTCATCATCATCTCTTATTAGGCAGCACTATTATGATGTCATCGCTCTTCTCATCATCATCATGATGATCATCATCATAGGCAGCACTGGTGATGCAAAGGGTGTTACGATGATAGTTATCATCATAATCATCATCAAGATCTGATGTCATCGCTCTTCTCATCATCATCATGATGATCATCATCATCTCATTCTTTCTTGTTCTTATTCTTATATGCATTTCAAAAGTAACGTTAGACCCCATTGGCAATGCAGATGATGCTACGACGATACTTATCATCACAGTCCTCATCATCATCATCACTATCATCATGGTTATTATCATCTCTTATTAGCCGGCACTGGTGATGCCGAGGATGTCATCATCATCTCTTATTAGGCAGCACTGGTGATGCAAAGGGTGTTACAATGATAGTTATCATCATAATCATCATCATGATCATCCTTATTATGATGTCATCGCTCTTCTCATCATCATCATGATGCTCATCATCATCTCATTCTTGTTCAAGGGCTGCCGCCCAGTGCCGCCGACCCCTGGATTTAGTTGTGGTTTTCGAGCAACCAAAAACACTGCCCTTGGTTTTGGTTTCTTTGGTTTCTTGCGAATGACGCGTAGTGATGATTATCATCAAGGCAGGACTCCAAATCTCAATGACCCAAATGGCATCTGAGGCGAGGTGCCGTTTCGACAGTGATGCGTAGTCATGATTATGATCATCGCTGCTGGAGATGCTGGGGATGCGTAGTGATGATTATCCTCATGATTGCCACAGATGCTGCGAATGATGCGTAGTGATGATTATCATCAAGGCAGGACTCCAAATCTCAATGACACAAATGGCATCTGAGGCGAGGTGCCGGTTCGATAGTGATGCGTAGTCATGATCATCGCTAGGCACCCTTGGTAATGCAGAGGATGCTACGATGATAGTGATCATGACAGGGATCATTTGTTGCCCAGCAAGTCACAGTCCCTGTTCGTGTCTTCAAAAATGCAGACAAAACCCTGAAATACAAGATTAGCCTTTTGGGGCCACTAACATTTCACCCAAAAGAAACCAAAGAAACCAAAACCAAGGGAACTGTGGCTCCAAAACCACAACTAAATCCAGGGGTCGGCGGCACTGGGCGGCAGCCCTTAAATAACTTGAGGGGATTTATCACCCCCTCATAAACTGGGGTTTAGTACTCCGGGGCCAACATAGATCCTCCAATCCGTAGGCATGCTGGCAGAAAGCCTTGGCTCTTGTCCACTTCCCAGCGCGTGACTGGCTGGTAGAGGCTCTTGTCCAGTTCCACCGGCGGCTCCGTCCTGGCGTCTCTGAGGCTCGGTTGACGTTGGAAGGGGAACAAACAATTATCAACTTTAGCAGTCAAGTGGGGGCTTCAACCACTAAACCACAATAAGTAAAAATGTAACATGTTTCCCAACAACAACCATGATTTCTGGATGCCCAAAAAAACCAAAGCCCAAATCGGCAAGAAATAGCGGACGGTGCTCGCTTCTGAGCTGGGTCTCATTCCTCCGAACACTTCTGAGCTGGGGCTTCCGAAGCTTCAACTCAAAGCGACATCGCGACATCTGGCGAATGCCGTGAGCCGGGCTCGTGGGTGAATCAAAGTCCGAAGTTTGGTGGTTGTCGCTAGAATGGGTCGAACAAATTGAAGCTTAGGAACTCTCGGAATGAACATATTCCCAGATCCACGCCTTTCCAGCCAGATCCGTGTCGCCAGCCGGCTTTCGGAGAACCGCAGGCTTCAACCAAGAGCTGAAGCGGGCCCGTGATCTCCGGCGTGACGCAGAGGTCGCAGCAGTAAACGTTGCATCATGACCAAGCAACACCATCTCTTCCGAATGACACAGAAGCAAATCGAAGTGAAAGCTTGTTCCGCTTCTGCAAGCAAAAAGGAATGTCCACTTTAAGACTTTGACCCCCCAAGAACAAGCAGGGTTTGAGACAAGAGGGTCGAAGGAAACAAAATCTCAAAGAAATCGCAGCGAGAGAACTCCTTGCCCTTTGGCAACCAGGCCATCCAACGAAAGCCTGACCATTAAATCTCATGCCCACTTTCTGGCAAACATGGCTAGGTCCTCCAGTAGAGAGGTTAGAATTGAATAAGGGTACCCTTTTATCCCCGTAGCCGATCCCAGCAAGAACCCCTTCCCCCCAAAAAAACAAGGAAGCAAAAGGGCACCACCCGGGGACCCAGATGCCAAGGGCACGGGCCGACGGGGTATGTGTCAACATAGGGAGCCCCAAAAAGGTCGTGGGCTTCCTTTCGGCTTCCTCTTGAGGCCTTGGGGCGAAGATTACCTCGGCCGACAGCGGCAACAAAACGTGTCCTGGTGATGCAAATGCTGCGGTCCAGGCCAGGGATCAGGTGGGGATGGCGATAACCACTGGAGTCCAGCCACCTGCACGGAACCGAGCCCCTTCAAAGGTAACATGACCCGAGCTTCCCTCTAATTGGTGGTTTGGAGCCGAATCGGTGGTTGGGGGGTGGAGGGGTTTTCCTCCGAACCCTCTACAAAACCCAGGGGTTCAAATCCCCACCAATCCAAACCACCAATGAAGAGTTACCTGACAAAGGGCTTGACCGTATTTGGCCTGAAGCTCATGTTGCCCATGCAGGCAAAATTAGCAGGTCGCAAGGGCATAGGGTAAGTGACACGTGCACCTGGTTCAGCGATTGCCGAGACCGATTCTCAGCACGCGACCAAACTTCAAATGGCTCCTTGTGGTTATGCGGGGCTGGGGAGAGGGAGGGGGGGGGAGGGAGCCCAAATAAGCCCTAAATAAGGCCCTTAATAAGAGTTCTTTTTGGGCTCCCTCCCCCTCCCCTCCCTCCCCCCAGCCCCCATGATCTGAGAAGCGCCGGTGCGGGAAAACTACCAAGCGTCCTCCCAGTGTAAGGTGGCGGAAGCGATCATGGCGCAGCATTGTTGCGTTCAGTACCCGGGGCGGGTGGGTCAAGCGGCTTGCTTTTAATGAGCTTGGCAAGTTTTCAAGGGCGGCTCAAGGATGTTTTGGTCAAACAGCTTGATCCCTCCTGCGGGGATCTCAGGCAGATCTACGTGGGCCAAGTCTTGCTTATCTTTCATTTGCTTAAGCCCCCTGGAAAAAAAAAATACACATATTTCTAGTAGTGAGAATTTCCCTTTGAAACCAACAAGGGAAACTAGAACATATCTTTAACAAATGAAAGTGCCAGCTCGGCCCTATATGGCTGTGGCTTGAGAACATGTACCAAAATGGCGCCATTGGCAAATGTAACCAAAGACTGCAACCTGCGTAGCCCAGGCTCTTGAACTTCGAGCCACACCCATATGTTTAAAGCAATGAACGTTCTGATTTCAGTTAAACCTCATCTCTTCCCCTCCTCCATCTTAGCTCGCAGCTGGGCCCTTAGGGCCCTTTCCGCCCAGCTCCCAGCTCGGCCCGGCTTGGCCTCCAGCAGGTTTCCCATTCCACGGGCCCCAGCTTCTCCGGGGTGCGCCAGATCTTCGACACCTCCGTCGGAGAATCGGCGCCAGCCATGGGAGCAAAGCCGAGCGGTTTCGTATGTGGCTGCCACTAGTGCTGGTGTTTTGTTACTATCCTTGGCAAAGTGGGCTAGACATGCCACCAACTGACAACAGCAAGAATATGGTACATTCACCGAAAAAATCACATGCAAATATCGCAAATATATAGCGACTGAGCAGCAACAAAAACGACCACACGCTTTAGCTTGCGAGTTGCCAGTTGCCACCTATCACCTGCACCCTAGCGGACCCACAGCACGTGCAACCCTTTCCCCCCCTCCCCCGCCCATTCGTGCCCACATGCCACCACGGCGCCAAATGGAAGGTCTCCACTTCAAAGACTTCCAGGACTCTCTCCCCGGCTCCTTGTCCTGACGCGCGCGTGGCACGCTTAAGCCGAAACGTTTGCTCCTCAATGTTGACCCCATATCAATAGGGGGGTGTTCCCCTCCAATAGTGATGCTTCCCACTACATCCAGGGACACTCCCTTTCGTAAACTGGGATTGATTAAAACGGGTCAACAATATGGGGTCAAGCCAATGACCAAAACACGAATGAATCAGGCCATTGACAATATGACAAGATGAGCAGATTGCGTGATTCAGTGGCTGGCTTCTCTGACCTTTGGGGTGAACGGTCCCAAAGAGCTCGCAGTGTGTTGCGAAGATCTTACCAGGATTCGCAAATCAACGGAAGGGACCAAATCGATGACCGGCCCGGAACAGCTTACAAGTTGCGGAACTTGAAGCACCGAAGTGCAGTTCAGGGTCCGCACGCTGGGCAAGTTAAAGCTTTGACTCACCAAGACACGGGTGTCGACAGAACTGCCCAGGCAAGTATAGTACATGTGTTGCCCCCTCAGCTCAGGCGCCTTCCCTCCCTTCAAGCAACTGGGCCTCCAGGCAATCTGCAGTTACTTTGATCAACCAGCAAGCCAGGGCGGGCACAGGGGCAGCACGCCGCGCGCATATCGCACATTGCGGGCCTGCAAAAAACTTAGTGGCCTCAACCATGGCGCCTGCCAAACGCAACCAACCAAGCACCACCACACCGCAAAAGGCACCCGCAGCCGCAGCAGCCCCAAGACCAGCATCACCGCCAATACCAACACAAACACTAAGAACAATAACACACAGCCGCTAAAGCAAACAACATGCGAGACATTGCAGCAGCAACAGCAAACACTGCAGCGGCAGCATGGAGCCGCTGAATAGCAACAATGATGACCACCTGACCGCCTTGCCCAGTGCAACGCATGACCGACGACCGGTTCCTGAGATGTTCTGCTGCAAGGCATGATCCTGTCGCGCGTCTTGAAGAGCTATCCGCAGCTCGTCCCAGTTGGCAATACCTTGGCAAAGAGAACCGTGGGCAAGCAAAAGCTGTCGACAAAGAGAACAATGATCCGCCAACTAAACACGGGCCCCTCCGTTTCAGGCAGCACAGCCGCATTGTCGTTGGAAAGTGTCCAAAACGGCCGACGGCAACATCCTGGACAAATTCTACAGAGCAGCGTCAAACCGGTCCCACAAATCAATTTGCGAGCCAAAGGAATGTGAAGGAAAGCCGAGCCACCTGTCGGAGGGTGCATGGTTTCAATAGCCACTGGCTTGCTCCGCTCTTGCCGCACTCGCGACGAAACAAAGCTCAAGAGAGCAGCCTCATGGCAACTGCTGTTTAATCTTGTGAAGTTGCTCTTCAGGCGGATGCGCTAGGCTGAATGTTCCCCAAAGTGTCCCGTCAGAATGTGTGTGTAGCAGATCACGGGAAAACCATTCAACAATTGGATCCAAACAGGGCGTCCCGCTGACAAGCAGGGAGTTACCCACATCCCTGGCTTACAAAATCGTTGTGTCCTGTGGCTAAGGGGAACAAAAGCAGTTTTTGTTGGAGCACTTTGCGTACCGTTCATCCGTAACTGAGACACTAAAAGCCATTTTGGGGAACTGGGTTCTCAAACAGTACGCTAGATGCTGCTCCGAGTCAGCTGATAAGCGCGATTTGCAAAATGGCTGTCTCATGACTCTGATCAGGGTTCTGTAAAAAATAGGGACCCCCCCCCCCTTTTTACCCCCTTAGACAAAGAAGTGCAGCGAACCCGCTGGAAGCCCAGCGTCTTTCTCACGTAAGCCGAGCCCAGGCCCCAACCGAGCCCTAGCCCCGCCTTCCGGGCTCGCCGTGGCCGCGCGCAGACCCGCGACGAGCGCCTGGCAGGGATATGTGCGACCCTCAGGTAGATATATGGCCAGGGGCGAGCGCCAATGGCAACCACCCTGGAGATGTTCCAGAGGCCCCCGATTGATTTGGGGCCTTCAAACAACCTGGCTTTCAGACCCCGAGCCACCTCCGAAATGGGGTGTCTACTGGACGGGTCTTCCATTGAAAGCCCCAGGAGCCTCTGGGGATGAATTTCCCGGTAGTTCTTGTCTTTCACCTGCTTTTCCTAAAATATCCATGATCTTTTTTCCGACTGAAATGGGCTCAACATCCTGGACTGTGAGGACGCAGGCGTCCCGCGAAAAGCTACCAGTGACAAATCCAAACAAAAAGAGCATTCTGGCTGACCCAAACAGCTTCAAAGACAAGCTTACCTCTACACAACACGTAAAGCGCTAGAATAATTTTGACGCGAACAGGACATAGCGGAGCCATCTGGCCAATAAAGCCTGAACTCAAGTTGCTTGTCCTGATGGGACTTATTACTGGGAAACCAACAACGACAACGACGCCGTTTTGGAGGGTCCCACAACAAAAATCGACGAGCCATCCACTTTCCTCCCGCCTGCAGTGCTTCTGCGGGTATACTTGCAGCGCTCAGCGGAAGAACGTAGGTGTCCCCTGGCCGCCCGGCCCCAGGAAAATTGGCCCGCCCTGTGAGAAAACTCCGGTCGTTTCAGGGAGTGTTTTTCTGTAGACCCCCGAAATGAGCAAAAGACATGGTGTTGCCTCTTGGTTTCTCGTTCCAACTAACCAGAAAGGGGAGTCCCTCAAAAACAAGGAGTGCCACGGTTCCTTGGTCCAGATTCCTGCCATTCTTGGACTGGACTGAACCTCACCCGTGGCCTTCCACAAAATCTGTGCAAGATTGTTGGGCTCATGTCCCGTCGGGATGCGCTGCTAGGCCGAAGCTGTGCAGCGCAACTCGGCGGTAGCGGCCGCTGATGAATGCAGGATTATTGATAAATGAGGCTGTGCACCTGCTTGCTTGCTCGCGCATGTATAAGCTCAGTGCCAGGAGAGCGGCACAAGAATGCAAAGAATCCTGCGCACAAACTGCATCTTATGACCGCCCCAATTCCTGCGATGTGCATGCCAAAACTAAAACTCTGTCGACGTAAATCGATGAGCGTGTAAAAGAAAACCGCCGTTTCCAAGTCACGAGCATGCACCAGCGAGCAAGCGACAAGCGTAGCTGATATACAAGTATCCAGAGCAAGCCATCAACGCAACATGCTCCAAGAAAATCTGTCTGCGCTGAGGCCCCGCCAACATGAAACAAGTCGGGCGTGAGCAGTTCGCCGTGGGCTCATGCACGTAGAGCGTGACCATATGTGCCGCACGTGCGCATGTAAGCCTGCAGCGGGTGGACGAGCACGTTAACATATGTGCCAGCATGTGCGCAAGCAACCATGCTGCAACGCGTGGACGGGTACGTTAACCTATGTGACAGCATGTGCGCATGTGACCATGCAGCGCGTGGACGAGCATGTACGCAGGTAGCCATGCACCGCGTTGACGGGCACGTTAACATATGTGCCAGCATGTACGACACAGGCAGCCATGCATCCCGTGGACGGCCATTGCGATGCGTAAAAATTGGTATAATCTGCCACAAATAGCAGTACACTTGCAAATTCCTGCACGATTTACGCGGAAAAAAACTGACCGAAACCTGCGTTTCGGGCTCATGAATGGCCAAAAAAAAAACGGGAGTTTGCACGCAACAGCATGGAATGATCGCTGGCGTGAAAGCAAAAAGCTTTAAAAAACCGAAGGGTGTTTGAGAGTCCGCATCCAAAGAAGGGGAACAAGGACAACGAAAAAGTAGCCAAAAGTAGAGTTTGGGCGGCGGGTCAGCCGGCTGGCACAAACAACCTCCTGTTCCCAGTTGAAAGGTGCGGACAACACGCGCAAATAGCCGCCAAGCTGTGGATGTCAATTATAAATTGTCAAGTGCTACTGTACTCCTTGACAACTTGACAGCACATCAGGTGATGCCACAAGATCCACAAGCGTGGTTCAAGGCATGCTGCCCATTTATATGAATTGGCCTGAAAGACCTTCACAGTTGCCACTGTGGCCGCCAATGATTCAGCAATGAAAGCCGTCGTTTGGATACGTTGCTGGCCGTGCCTAAGCATGCCATTATCGCAAGGCCTGCTTGACCAAACGGGCCCTTGTTTAAACTCTGGCTTGGCGTTGAGCGAGTGCGATTCAATGGGCTCCTAAACTGCTCCCAAGTCATAGCTGTGGGTTGTTCAGTGAGGGGAACGTTACACTGGCTAAAGGTGCCCGCAGTATGGACTATATTTTGTTTACCCAAGGACTATGATTATTGTGCGTCGACCCGCAAGGGTGCCTTCCCTAGTCCGTTGAGTTGGCTCACTGCAGGGCATCAAGCTTCCATCCTGGCGTTGCCGTCCTCTGGTGGCCGAGAGATACAAAACACAAATGCAAATCCTCACAAGCTGGGCCAATGACAGCTCTTGCAGGTACTTCCCACGCAACACTGATTCAGAGCCATAGCCCGGGGAGCCATTTTTGCCCAGTGACTAAGAGTAGCTAGACGCCATGACTAGGTCCTCCAGTAGACAGGTTAGAATCAGGGTACCCTTCTTTCTGCAGTCTATTTTACTAGGGGCTTCCCGGGGACCTAGATGAAGAACCACTAGGAGTGTCCTTCCCATGGCTCCACTTCCCATTGCTCTCAACAGCATTGGACTGCACACCCTTCAGTGTGTCGAAAGCACGCCGATTGCCCCAGCCTTTACGGTCCAGCAGCTTCAACTGGGGGCTGCCGGTGTTGGATTGGGAGATCTGAACGTCCTGCCGTGAGGATGGGGAACAACAAATTGTGTAACCTGAATGGGGAAAAGGACTGGATTGAGAGTAATCATCAGCGACTGCCTTCATTCAGAACTCCCGCAGCTGCCTAAAGTCGCGCGACTCACTTGTTGTTTTTCTTCGGATTGCCCGGAAAGGATGGTGGTAATTACATGCAAGTCTATACTTGCAAGGATCCTTGGGCGAAAACCTAGAAGGTCGTCTTAAAAAAATCACGTGAGCAATCAAGCATGTTTGTTCTTTTTTCAGGGGCATGGGGCAACACCTGGAACCCCGAAAGTAAGCCTCAACGCAGAGACAATACAGCTATAAAGCAATGACCCTCATGTGCACTATCTGTAGCATGGAGCCTGACGTCCTGGAAGACAAGGTGCCTCTAAGTTTAGTCAATTCCTCCAGTGGATTGCATGCTACACATGAGGGATGCTCACCGTGGGCGCTGTGGAAAGTTGGTTTGCCTGGGACAAATGTGGCCTGTGCAAGTGGCCTTCAATATACAAGCTAGATGCCAAGGTATTTGCAGCAATTGCATCCAAATCATTACCAAACGTAGCGGTAACATGATAGAATACAATTGGTCAACAGGAAATACACACAACCAAACAAACACACCATCAAACAACAAATAAACATATCACCAAACAAGCGAGCAAGCGAGCACGAACGCACGCAAGCACGAACGCAAGCAAGCAAGCAAGCACACACACACACAAACAACACTACAAACAAACAAACGGATAGTTGAAAAAACAAACGAACGACAAAAAAACAAAAAAGAACGACCGAACCAACCAACCAACCAACCAACCAACCAACCAACCAACCAACCAACCAACCAACCAACCAAACAACCAACCAACCCAACCAACCAACCAACCAACAAACAAACAAACAAACAAACAAACACACACACAAACAAACAAACAAGCAACACACACACAATGTTTCAAACACGCACAGGGCCCAAGACCGCTCAGGCCGTTTGACCATCCCGGAAAGAGCTCGAGGATTGTTCAGGGTCAATATGTGCAGGAAGCTGCCGGGCAAACGTTTGAAGGTGCAACGGCACAGCCAAGCTGTTGGGAGCAATCGAAAACAGCAGAGAGTGGTCGCTCATGCTAGAGTCGCTCATGCTAGAACACCCACCAGGTGCGAATAAACCCTCTTGGGATGAGATCCATAGGGGCCTTTTGGGGAAAAATAGATCCGGCCCTGGCAAATGGAACCCAGACCCATCTAAATCAGTGGAACCCATCCCCATCGCTTTTTCCGCCGAACTCGTTTTGTCGCCGGGTCTACCCCCGGGAGAACCGAAAAAAAATGAAGTTCATAGATTCCAGGTCGAGCAGCAAAAACAACACGTTGACATCAGACTTTGCTCCCTTTTAAAAAAAAAAGTGGGCTGCTTAACCCATCGTTTTTTCCCCCCGATCAAAAAAAATGCTCGGCCCAAGGGCCACCTTGGCCACCAGCACACATCGATCGGAAGCCATGATCTGAAGGCCCCATACAGTTTGGGCTCGCCTGATGTGGTTTTGGTCTGATATGGTCTTGGCATTTTGGCTTCTTTTCATGAGCTCGCCCAAACACATGTATCAAATAAGAGCCAAGCAAGAAGCAAGCAGATGCTATGCAGAGCTTGCGGTTACAGATTTGCTGTGCCCAACGTCCAAGGAAGGTTGCACAAACACCGCTGGCACCTTCTGCTCCTGCGTTGTCCATGGAGATGGATGGCAAATAACATCAACTGACCCCGTTTGTGAACACCGAGTGCACTTTCTGGCCCCCCCTCCCCCCTAAGAAAACGCCGCGAACTTACTCGCAGTGAGCGAGCCTGCCAAGCAAAAAGCACTCAGACGACCGCAACGACAAAAAAGAAGCAAGGCCCATGGGTCAAAACCCTGGTTACCCCCCAGTGAACATCCCAATCCCCGCTACAATAGGTTCTAAAATGGGTGGTGCACCGAAAACCCAAAATGGGATCCGAAACCGGTTTTGACCACCACAGCCATATATCCGTCCATCCGCAAGTTGAAACCCGGACATGGGATCCCAAAACGGTTTTGAGCCATGGCCGGATGCTCGCCTGCAGGTCCCGGAAGTGGCACTCGCCCTTCACCGCGCGGCGCAGCACCGAGGGGTCCACAGCGCTGCCACCGATCATGTTCCTCAAGCTGTGAGCGTTGAGGGAGGGGTACTCATCCCCAAGGGAGGAGGGGGGGAGGGGTGGCGGGGAAGGGGGGGAGGGGAGGGGAGGGGAGGGGACGGGAGGGGAGGGGGGGGGCTCCGCAATTCCATTGTCTTCTAGGCTTCCCCAAGATGAAATGGCACCAGAAATGAAATTCCAGGGTCACCCTCCAACTATTTTATTTTGAAGGGGGTGGGGATGTTGCTCGTTGGAGCGACGAGTAGCCAGTGTTACGCGCTTCGTTTTGTATTGGCATGGCAGCTGCACCACGTGAAAATGACCAACTGAACATCTGGCTGGCAGCTTTTTGGTTGCGCCTCGTAGCCCGGATGTGTTGGCATTCCCACTGAGACAACCAGAGGAGAAATCTGCTTCCCGCCGCTTCTCTAAGAAACCAGAGATGGCACGCGCGGGATTTGAAGCCCTGGACAAAGTTGGGCTGACAATGAACGATTTGCCAAGCTCTGTGAACCCCCCTTCTCGGTGGGCCGGCTTCCAGTCACACTTTGGTAACCAGTAAAACCAACAAACCCCAACCCAGACTCTCCGGATTTAGAGCAATGTCTGCGAGACAATAATGCTGCTAAGTCGGCAAAGTGGCTGGGAGAAAATACGACACATCTCGGTCTGCTTGCTGGATTCTTAGTGCAAGAGAAACGGCTTGCATTCAGGAAACCAAGAGTGCCACCAATTTTGTTTTCATACGCAAGGCAACTTAGGTAGACCTAGGTCAGCCCTCGCTACTCGGCGGCAAAGGCTGAAGGTGGGTGACACACAAATTGAGAGTCGAGAGGACCTCCCACTTGGACAATGCTGCATTTGCATTTGGGTATGTGTCATTTGACAGGGATCGATCCGGACCCCCCAAGATTGCACGGTTTCCTATAGGCTTAAGCCCACACCCATTTGCTTGTTGCCATGACAAAAGGCTCACTAACTGGGAAGCACCCAGCCCCGGCCAAAAATTGAATTGCAGTTGCAAAAGGCCGCACATGACTAGATAGTTCATGCAGGAAACAGCAAGAACAACGAGCGCGAAGCATGAATCACAAACTTCGGAACTCCCAAATGCGCAATCCTAGATTTGCAGCCTCGCGTCTGAATGCCATCCCAGTGGTACACCACTGTGTTGATAGGCCTGGGCACGGTTGTTGGAAATTGCAGCGTGCCTGTAGAATTGTGGAGCCTTTAATCAAGAGCGCAATGCAGGTCACAATGGTTGTGTTCGTGGGACAGGGCGCAAGCAAATTTGCAAAAACCACCTTGTACCACCCTGTCAGCTTGAGCCTCCCAGCCAGCAGCCACTCAAACACTGGGATGCGAAAAGGAACTGGACGCCGTAGCAGCTTGTCTGAAGAGTCAGCCAAGTGGAAGAAGAAAGTCACGGCTGGAAGCGTGAAGTTGTGGATGGGTTTGCTTTTCTTTGGCCCATCTACCATAGCTCTTGGAGACCTGATGCCGCTGGATGAGGGCCTTCCGCCTTTCGATTGCAGGTTTCCGCAGCCAATCACCAGCACAAGCTGGGCATTCAAGCCAATTCGGCAAAAAACGTTTTTGCTATGAGTCTTTGGCAGGGGGGAAACTTACGTATGAGTGCCGGTTGCCCTGCAACCAACTAGTCGTTCTCTCAAAATGGCGCGTCCTGCAAGCCTTATAGCAAAGCCGCGCACGGTCGCGTTGGGTGAATCTGAGATTCCATAATTCTCCCTCTTTCTGGTTAGGCGACCGCCCTTTCCCAGAATGGGATGCCTGCTGCCGGGAGGCTTCAAGACATGCGAAAAGAGCCGCACGGCGCTTTCCTCAGCCACTCCGATTGCCGCTCGGTTCTCTCGGTGCAGAATCAAAGGAGTGGAAATCGGCACCACGCGATCACTGCTCCCCTTGTTCCCGGTTCTTGGGAAGAAGGTGCTGGCTTGCTTGTCCACCAGTCTAAGCGACTTAGCAACATCAAGTCACGCCTCAAGCCCAAGCAGTCACAAAACTCCCAATCCTGGACACCCCTCACCATGAGCTGCCCACAAGTATGCATCCGGCTAAGCTCGCTTCGGCACAGGGTGTGCCGTGCAAATTTGCGCTCAAGTCCGTTCAGAACCAGTGATTCTGGCAGAAGACAAGAACCCTCGTTTGGGGCCGACCATGACCAAGTGTGGTGGGCAACTCAAACACAAAACGGGCAATTTGCCGCCATCGAGCAATTGGGTCTGCATCCCATATCCCCCCCCAAAACAAAGGAAGAGAGAACAAGCCGTGCAAGGTTGGCAACTTGCCCAGTTGCTGTTGCGCAGTTGGCAGTTTAGTGTGTTCTTATTATTTTATCGATTAATATAGAATCTGATAGGGAGGTGTTGGAATATGTTTTTATTTTTATTTTTTTCGAAGGGATTTTCTGCCAGGTTCCATGTACAAAAAAGTGGGAGGGTAGAGAAAACCGGAAATGCTTCTGACAACGGGGGCTTGAAATAATCTTTAGAAGGTGCTGTGTGGCGCTCTGGAACCAAGCAAACAGCACATGGCCCAGAGTTAGACGGGCAAGGAACCATTGAGCAATTGCCCATGAAAAAAAGAGTCCATACAAAAGTTGTGTCCTTACCAGCACAGATCTGTATATATGGATATATATATATATATACATATACCTGGACCCTCCTAAGTGTGTTTTTTCTGTGCTGCTGTTTGGGCCAACGGCTCATTTTGATGCAAACGTCGCATTGTTTTGCCTCAATCCATTTTTGTGAGTTTGCCCTTTGCGAAACCAGGATGAAAACGAAAAGGCGGCTTTGCCCGACCCAAAGGCGAAATTCCCCGACCAAAAAGCGACATTTTCCGACCATGTTCTGGCAAGATTTTGAAGCAGCACTTTTAAAGTAAAAGGTTCTGATTGGAACAAACGACACAACATATTTCTTTCTCAGCAGCGGCAGTAAAAATGCACACCTGGAGGGTCTAGGGATTTATATTTATACACAATAAACCTATCTATTATGACGGGAAAACAAACGGAAATGCACAAAAACACGTGTATATATAAATATATTCATATACATATATGCATATATAGATATATGATATGTATATATTATTCAGGGTATGTGTGTATGAGGATGCATGTTTACATTTGATTTTGTGTGTCAGTGTGTGCTTCTGTGATTGCGCGCCGTGCTTTGGTCCTGACAGGCGCCCGTGCCCCTGCAATCCGGTGCCTTCAAGAGCACAACCCTGAACACTGGAAACTCACGCCCCAAGCCAAGCATCATCGACGGCTGCGAAAATGTCGTAGTTCTCTTCCGGCAGTTGGCTACCGGCAGCGCGATCCAGCTGTGCTGCACTCTGCGCTGCCTGTGGAGGAGGGCTTTCCCGAATAATGTTTGGATGTGTGTAAGTCTTAACAACCAAACAAACGAACAAAAAAACAAACGAACAAACAAAAAAGCAAGCAAGCAAGCAAGCAAGCAAGCACGCAAGCACGCACGCACGCACGCACGCACGCACGCAAGCAAGCAAGCAAGCAAGCCGGCAAGCAACCAAGCTCGCAATTCGTCAGCTCCAAACCAACCATCACCCCCCCCCCCCCCCGCAATGCAATCAGCATTCTGGACGTTGCCAATGAGGCATAAAACAACACTTACCTCGTCTGTGGCTGACCGAGGCTGGAATAAAGCACAAAGCCGTGTCGTGACGAAGCATTCAACTCCCCTGGTAGCAGCTCGCCATGTCAAAGGACCCGTGCGAAGAAATTCTGGTCCACTGAACTTCCTCAAGCTTCCAGATGCAACACACGCAAGCCACATTCTTGAATGTGGGGTAGTACCCACCTGAGGTGGCCAACAGGACCCCCCCCCCCCCCGAGAAAATGGAGGTGTGCTACCGTCAGGGATTTTCTCCCTCTCTCTCCCTCAGTACCCCGGGAGCACTGGCCCCAGAAACTCAGCTCAACTTCCGAACACGCCCACCTCAAGCTTCACTGCTCACCCGGAAAGACCGAGTAACAAGTACTCCAAGTACTGAGATTCCCCATTTGTCTTTATCTTCACAGCTCGGAGCTTTTGAAAAGCTGCACAGGCTCGAAGAACTCACATGGGGTTCTCTTTTTTTATTGCGGAACTGTCTTTTCGTTGGTTTTAAAGGGAACCCAAAGCATTTCTTTTTTTTGGGGGGGGAGGGGGGACCCTATTTTAAGACACACCCGCATGGTGTTTCCAGGTTTCCAGAGATATTCGGTGAGCTGTTGGCCAAAAGACATCCCCCGGCTCTGGCCAAGAACCGCTTCCTTCGCGCCGGCCTCTGACTGGTCTTCGAACCTCACTGGGAGCATCGCAAAGCTACCCTTCGTACGGACAGGAGCTTCAAGGAACATCGGCTTTTCAGCACTCTGGCAGTCTGGCAGTCTGGCAGTCTGGCAGCTTCAGCGATTGTTGGAGGGAGGGGAACCAACGTCCTCACAGGCTCCTCCCACTGGCCATTGCAACGAAAAACCATGCATTCAATGGCTGCAAGCGCAATCGTCGCGGCAATGGTAAACATTTGTTTGGGCATGGTGGGATTTCAAGTGCAACAGACATGCGAAGGCAGCTGTTCAACAGCCCTGCCCCATCAGTAGTTCCCACTTGACTTGCTTGTTCGCCGTCCGGTCACAAAATATCTTGCACCAGCCGGATAAAACCTCTGCCCGTGTGCTCGCATCGCTTTTTCGGCATCCATAGCTCCTCTTGTCATGGGGGCTGGGGGAGAGGGAGGGGAGCCCAAATAAGGCCTTATTAAGCCCTTAATAAGGCCGTATTTGGGCTCCCTCCCCCTCCCCTCCCTCCCCTCCCTCCCTCCCCTCCCTCCCCTCCCTCCCTCCCTCCCTCCCCTCCCTCCCCTCCCTCCCCTCCCTCCCCTCCCTCCCCTCCCTCCTCCCTCCCTCCCTCCCTCCCTCCCCTCCCCTCCCTCCCCCCCAGCCCCCATGATCTCGGGCCCCCCCGCTTCAGCTCCACCAGCATCAAGCGCTGCGCGTACAGGCACAGGAGGAGCTTCTTGCGGCCCCCGGCCAAATGCAGCACCTCGCGCTGGATGGAGCGGCTTGGGTTCCAAGGCGCGCACTTGGACCCAGAAAGGCGCGGAGGAGGGAGGATGGGGAGGGGTCAGGCTCCAAGAAAACAAGGCCAGCCTACCAGAGACGCAAGTCAAATGCTCCAACCGAACCCGGTTAGAAAAGCGAGCCCATGCATGGCCAAACGGATGCTCCAATCAAAGCAACGGGCCATTCCAACCAACACCCTCCAACAAGCATTAATTAATTATTGTTCAATCGCGTAACAACCACCCATTTGCATGTAGTTCCGCATTAGTACAAAGAGCAATGACTAGCCCAAACTACCGCTTTTGCCTTCCCAAAACCCGAGCTGTCCAAGCACATGGGTCAAAGATGGGCGCCTCCTGTAGCCCCTGGCTTTCTACTCCGGTTGCCCTATCCCCGTCCCTAAGCCCCCTGGTCCCCTGGGCTGCCTATCCCACCTTTTTGCTAGGCCGGGCGGCCGTAGATATCACCCCAAATAATTCGTGCTCCCCCAAGGTTTGCTTTTTGGAAAGCCCTTGGGTTTGGACACTCGACGCATTTGACACGCAAGTAAGTGACACGCAATAAGATACGCATATGACATGCAAGTGACACGAAAGTGACGCGCAGTAACGCGCAAGTGACAAGCAGTGACATGCAAACAATCAAACGTGTGTTACACCGTCTAATTTAAAGCATTCAAAAAAAGTCGAAATAACTAGGAATGGGGGGTGTAATCTCAGCGTGTCACATCTTTTCCCTCCGGGCAACACTTTCGCCCTCTTCTAAGTACCATCGATTGGGCAGTCGGGAGTCGGGTGCTGGGAAGTAACTTGCTTCCCACAAAGCCAGGATGGGCCCTGAACACCTCCAGCCCCCGGAGCCGCTTCTTGGGTTCCATGCGCGTGTGAGCATCAATTGAGCCTGCCTGACATCATTTACAGGCTTGCTTTATGTCAAATTTGGAGGGTGTAAATCGTTGAAACTCGAAGCAGCTTGGATACCCATGTTTGTTCGGCCTCCCAAAACCCTAGGTTTATTTCGGCACCCGGGATCTCCAAAGGAAACCAAAACCGATTGAGCCTCGGCTTTCCCACGGAACTCTGGAGTCATCCGCCCCAGTGAGGTTGATAGGGTCCAACCAACTTTCTGGGTCCAAGTTGTTGGTCCCTTTGACTACAAATTTGGGTGTGTCATTTTTTGGGGGGGTGCCAAAAAGTGAGAAACCTGGGGTCACGCCCCAAAAAAATGCTTTGCGACATATTCTCCTTTTACACACACACACACACACCCTTAAAAAAAAGGGCGCCGCAAGAAAACGGGAAGCTCGTGGACAGCGGCCGGACCCTCGCCTCCTCCAAGCCGAAGACCACATCTCCCAGGCGCCGCTGGAGTTCCGCCTATGAAGCGGGGGGGGACCTGGGAAACATGGGGTGCTCCAATGTTTTTGAGGCAACTCAATATTTGGGCGGGTTTAAAGGGAATCCAAATGGAAAACTCAGCCTGGTTTTCTTGTTCTTTCTTTTTTTTTGGAGGGGGGTCTCTTAAAAAAGCGACAAACCCACATGAAACGATTAAGCCATGGAAACTGCTTGGGTTGGAGACCCATGGGAAAGGAAGTCGCTGACGGTGATGCGATACCTCGCTCATCAGCTGTCCGAGTGGCCTTGTCAAACAGGTGGCGCTTCAGGCACCTGTTACGCCCCATTGGCCCATGCTGGGGCCAGACCTTTCCAGGCTTCTGCTCAAACGTCCGAAGCGCAATTCTGCGGTGAGCGCAAGTACTGCTTCAGAGCCGTAGCAAGGGAGCCATCGCAACCTATTTGTGACCCTCTGCTACTATCAGAGCCCCTTTGGAACCAAGAGCCATAATGTTTGTGGCTCTCTTTGCTAAGGCTCTAAATCGGTATTTGACGCAGGGTAGCCTTTCTGCAGATGCAACCCCGGCACCAGCAGATGTTCCATGCGCTTTGAGCTTGCCGGTTTCGTATTCAATCATCTTTCACGGCGTCATCTTCTACGATTAAAGCCCGAGAATCCAGGAATGCTCGAAGATGGCTTTCAGACACAATCCACATCTGGCTTTGACCGTTGCTCGGAAAGCAAGATTTGTGTCATCACTTTGCAAGATATCTTTGACATGCCCGCAAGGCTGTGTTAAGTTATACTTGCATACTCACATTGAGATATCAGACGCCTCCAAACTCAGGTCTGTTCACCGGATTGTCAAAACGTGTTTTGCCCCAATTCGCAGAATGGGTGTCTTTTCTTTGGGGGTCAATCCAAAATGTGGGTTTTCCTTTTAGTTTCACTTGGTGTCCCTTTAAAACCGCACCAAAAAAGTTTCCCTCTAAGAACCACTCAAAAAAGGCCCCAAAAAAACAGACCCAAATCTTGGTGTTCCCTTTGGTTTCATCTTAAAACCACTCCTACCTGGGCTGTCCTCAGATCCCCCGCTGGAAGCGACTAACTCTACTCTTGGTATCTCCACTCCAAATCCTATCTCGACTCTTGGTATGGTCGCAAAAAACTTTGTTTTTTGCAGACCCCCAGTAAAAATGAACAGAACCAACAAACAAAAAAAAACATGCCAAGCACAGCGAAGACTCCCCCGATCCATGCCTCCAGCTCACTCCAGGGCCTCACCACTCCCAGCTCTCCCGACAGCAGCCGGGGCGGCCGGGCTCGGCAGCGCCTGAGGCATCGAGTCGCCGAAGGGCCGGTGGCTCCGGGAAATGTGGGCGGCGGCGAATTCGAAAAACCGGGTAATTAACCCCAAAATGGGTTGCCCTGGGTGGAAATCTGGACCAAACCTGCGGTTTGCCCCTCCGATCGTTTAATTTTGAGCCACACCCATGTGCCAAATTGGCACCTTGGTAAATAAAAAACAAAAGACGCAAACCTGCGTAACCCTAGTCATTCAATTTTGAGCACCCAAATGGGCCTCAGTGTTTCCATGATCGTAAGCCACCTGGCAAAAATGAAAATGTTGGCAAAAGTGATAGATTGATTCCCTTTCAAACCAACAAGGGAAAATAACCCCCACTCTTAAGCAAATGGAAGAGTAGCAATCCAAAGCACAAGGAAAAACACCCCAAATTGGAAGGGTCGCCCAACACAAGGCGCCGTACCTGGGGTTGCGAAATGCAGGGGGTCCCCCTAACACAAGACGCGGTAAATGGGCTTGCTGCGATGTGGGCCGCCACGAAAAAGGGAAGCCACTCATTTTGATGACAAGTCGGCTCCACTGTGACCATAGGTGGCCTTTTGGAAAATTAGATGGCCCTGGTAAATGGAATAACCCCCATCTAAGCCAGTGCCATCTATTTTTTTCACCAAAGTCACCTAAAAAGGGCACCTATGCTTGTGACGCTTTTGGCGCTTTGGGCCCTCAGGCTTGGCTGCGGCAAAAGGCGAGAAGGGGCGCCTGCGCCGGCGCTTCACCGCGCCCCCGTCGGGGCTCACGGTGCTTGCGATGCCTCGATTTCAACGGGGACATCGGGAGGTAACCACGCAGGGGGGGCGGGGGGGGGGGGGGGGGGGGGGGGGGGCGATGAGTGGGGGGATGGATGGGCTTCCTGTTGGCTTGAAAGGCTGACCAAAGAAAGGACGGCAGAAATCAAATGAATTTGACCGCAGCTTTGGGTCACATAATCCTGGCAGGAGGATCAGCAAACTAATTAGCGTAGCAAGCCGAGGGTCCATCTGGCCGGTGGGAGAATAGCGTCCAAGAACCCAGGAACCAGATGTGGCAAGTGAAAAAAACAAAAAACAAAAAAAAACACATCCCCAGGGCGCCAAGGCAACGCAGCATCCCGAGTCCCGCGCCGGAGCCGACGTCGGAGATGGCTTCCCCGAACTTGGACACCGGCTTCAGCAGAGAGCCCACCACGCCACGGCCCAAGCCCGTAAAGAAGCCTCCGAAGGGTGCAGCTTAGCCAGCTTGCGACTGTCCATCCCGCTTTGGGGAGTAGCCTGAAGATTCTGAAAAAGCGATGCTTGGCCAAGAAAGCTGACGAAAACCTAGAGACACGAGCAAAGCCACCCGAACTCGGAGGCCCGAGCGCTTACTAAAACGTTCAGGGCCTTTCATGTAGTCAAGGTGGCGCTGCAAGCGCGAAGATCTTGTTAAACCAAAACGTAAAGGTATGAATGCTGACATATTGCAGCCCTCGCACATTGCTGGCACAGAACACCTTTTAAGACAGTGCTGATCTCGAGCCCCTTTTTTGGTTCCTTACCAGGCAGAAACATCAACTCGCATGACCCGCACTTCACACCACACCAGTAAGTCATGAACCGTGGACTGGGCTATGCACAGCCTGGAGGCCTTGCAAGTTCCTGGTCGGCCAGGACCAACATGTTGCTAAGCTTAACGGGTCCCATGCCCCCGTAGCAAAAGGGCAATGAACACCGTTTAGCTTGCTGAGGTACGAGGCTGCACGGCCCTGTTGAAAGCCGTTTGCAGGCGTTGGCAAAGCTTGCAAACTCGTATGGGACAGGGGTGCTTAGCTGAATCTCATCAACATCTTTTGATGGTAGCCGACCAAGTGCGACAGGATGCGGCAGGGCCAGAGTGCAAGCTGTGGCTGAAAACGAAACCCACTGCAGCCATCACTTGGGCATACCCTTGGCGCAGCATACCTAAGCATAGAAACCAGCTGAGCCAACATACCCGCATTTAACGCATTCAGCTTTGGAGCACTCGCAAAGTAAGCCAATCTGTGTGAGGGTGCTGGACTGGAAGCCAGATTATGGCGCAGAGCGTCTTGTATTCTGTTGCATGGATTTGACCTATTCCCTGGTGGTGGGAGGGTTGTCAAAAATAATTAGGGGTGGCACGAGAAGGCACCAGCGTCCAAAAAGCAGACATATATGTTTGACAACCCACCGATTCCACCGATGGATTCAGGTCCTGGCTCTGGCAAAAACCGGGAGCCCTTTCATCAAAAGCCTCTGGTTCGCGCCCCGCCAACCTGATGGCAATGATGTAAAAGCTATGCCACTCTCCCTTAATTGTACATCCTTGCGGCACCTGGCGGAATGCTTGTTTTGAGCTCGTTTGTTCAAATCCCGCAGGCGCCTCCAATGCCATCCTTCTTGGCACCCTCAATGGGCTGAGTAAACACGTCCGTCAAGCCCTCGAGGCCGTCCACCAAGGACTTCCCAGCCTGCGTCATTTGCACATGGAGGTTGAGCAAGTGGCAAGGCCCTGGCGTCCGGGCATGGGTCCCTTCTTGGATTTCCGTGCATGCTAATGCCTCGTGCCTCCTGGGCGGCTCCCATACAACAAGCCCAGCTTGCTAACACTTGTTCTGTGCCAGGTGAGGTTGTGAGGGGTGGTGGTTTCTCATCTGCTCCCAACCACTTCACGCCATCCCACGGCCCTGGAGCCAGTTCCTCAGCCGGTGCCTCCACAACGCCGTCGTGGATATTCCTCAGAAATTGATCGAAGCGCCGCCCACTGTCGGGTGGTGCTGGGCGTGAGAACTGGCATGCTGGCTATCAAATCTCAACATGCTCTGCACATCGAGTTATGATGGTGGGCATGTTCATGCGCAGAACGCTGCATAAAACTCCTGCAGAAGTTGGGGGGTGCAAGCATGCTGACATGAACAAGCACAAGAAACAAGCCTGAAATGGCAGGGTCCCTGCGTACTATATATAACTGTATGTGTTTCTTCATAATTACACGCGGTTTAATCTGGCTGGCTGACATGCTTGGGTAGCGGTAGAATCCGTGTTCATGGGATTTCTGCTTAGAACCATCACTTGGAAGCAGGCCGCCGTCTAGATTCCAACTGTCGAGCCATTGAACCAACCTGAGGGTCTGTGAGGCAAGCGTCTCAATCTGCTTGGCATTGCGAATCTGCCGCTGCCGCGCTACGTACTCGTCATCAAAGGTAAGCGCATTGAGCAGCGAGGCCGCCTGGCGACGCGAGTCTAAGGGACTTCTGAGGAAACCGGTGTTGAACCAAGCGAGTTGATGTTATATTAATCAATTTCGATACCCAAGCACCAACCACCAACATCACCAACCACCAACATCGCCAACCCCCAAACCCCCAACCACCAACATCACCAACCACCAACATCGCCAACCACCAACATCGCCAACCCCCAAACCCCCAACCACCAACATCACCAACCGCCCCAACCCCCCAACCCCCAACCCCCAACCCTCAACTCCCAACAGCACGGACTTCGTCTCAAAGAAAAATCAGCGCCCCGCTCAAGCCGCCCAGATCGCCTCGCCGCCCAAGAGGCCCACGCTGTCGGACAAGTAGCTGATGCTGGTCATGCCAATGCGCCAGGGCACGCGGGGCAGGTTCAGCACCTAGGGTCAGAGAACCAGTTTTTTTACAGCAACAAAAAGGGGGTAGATCACCGAAAAATCCCACATGACCCTGGCTTCCCAAAACCCAGCTGGGCCTTGTTTCGATCTCTGACTGCAAACATGGCCCCCTGTTTTGACAAATATACTGGTAGGCATTTGATCCAACGGACTTCAAGCAGTCACAACATCGATGGCAAATGCCAACATCTCATAAACTTGCAGTGGATGGCATCTCGTGCGCCTGGGGGGCCATATTGGTCAAACATTGGTGAAGGGGCCCTTTGCGCAGGAATGCTGTGCGAGCAGAACGAGCCTTCTTTCGGCGTGGTAACAATCTCTCGAAAAAAACAAGTTGCAAAGAAGCATTGTTCAGACTGCAAATGACAGCAAGCTAAGACCACACAGGGCCCCAACATGCCGCGGTGGAGTCGCGGATTAACTGTCAAGGTTGTTGAAAACTCCCGCATTGCGTCCTCCACAGCCCAAGAAGGCTGCCGACCCGGGCGAATAAGCCCCAGTTGAGGTGCCCTTTCGTCTGCTAGCAGAAGCATCCGCCTGACGAATCTCATAAACAAAGAAGCCTAGGAAAGACGCTTAATCGGAAGAACGCCACATAAATGTTTATCCGTGAACTGGGTGTGGCTCAAAATTAACCAGGAGGGGTTACGCAAGTTTTGGTCCACGTTTCCAATTACCAGGGTTCCATTTTGGTACCGGTTTTTTGAGCCACAGCCAACTGGATTTATGAGGGACATGAAAGTGATAAAGTAGCTCAAGCAAGGTGCATGCAGAAATGACACATTGGTTGACAAATGCAGCAGCCGATGAACGACCCACCTACTCGAATAAGCAAAGGAGGCACGGTCAGCAAAACAGGGCAATACGCATTGAAATAAGCAAATACGGAAGCACCAACACAACCTCACCAGGAAGCCAAACCATCCCTCCTTCCGCTGGTCCATGGAATCCTGTCGAGTTATGATTCGCGGAAAGAAACCTGTGGAAAAAAACAATCCCACCTATGGATGAACTCCCATGAATACTGGGACACATATGGAATTTGGCACCTACCCAACTGGCAGGTTTTTGCGGCTGCCCCCTGGGAGCATCCGAGGTACTGAGCTTTTACCCAGGAGCCCAGCTGCATGGCTGAGCAGATTCCTCGCATACCTCAGCCAGAGCTTTGCTCCGCTTTGGGCTGTCCGTTTCTTCAGAGCCGCTAAAAGTGACTAACTTTTGGTGGAGTCTAACTAGAAATCCCCCCACGGAACACTAAGAAGCTAAAAGGCTAAGGTGATGGCTAGGAACCACCGAGGTTGGTCAAAGCTCACCCTCAGATTTGGAGATCTCGATCATCATTTTACTTCAAGGGCCAGGGCAACATCTGGCATGTTGCCAAACGTTGACCCGACGAATGAGTCCGACTTTCCGGGCATGCGCATGCAAAAACAGAACTCATCCAGCAAGGGACTCGAATACTCCCACGGTCGGTCTTTTTCGGGAAGATAGCTTGGGGGAAGTAAGGTTTCTTCCTGGCATACCCCAGTTCTTTACATGAACCGACATGCTATCTCAATGGTTCAGGACTCAACTTGCTGAGGGAATCCACGGCAACTTGCACGTTTTTTGGGTTCAGGCGTTTCGTGTTGGTTTCCGAGCGCCGGGTGCTGGGCCCCCCGCGAGCTCCCGAGCCCCCGCAAAAAGTCGGTCAAAGACCCGCGGTGAGGCGGCAGGTTGCTCTCCTGACTTGGAGAAAGACCACTCATCGCAAGGCATGAGAAAAATTGCACATTGACTCATGATAGTGCACCTTGAGAAAAATGGCAACTAGACTCATCGCAAGGCAACTTGATATGATGTTGCACCATAGACTCATCGCAAGGCACACTCCTGCATTTGACATGATCAAAACTTGCACCCCCAGGCTTGTCATGTAATGTTGTATTCAAATATGCAAGCGTCTGCAGGCTTTGGCGGCATCACTTGGCTGACGTAACCAAGACCATTCTTTCCAGACTTCATCCGCTGCGACGTTCCTTCCACAAGCCTGTCACCAACGGGTCACAGCACCGTAGTACGACTTTTAGTGCTCAGTTTCATGCTTGCTACAAGCCCTAGAATCAAACATTTGAACTCCCGTTTTCCTGCTTCCCGGAACTGGCCACCAATTGACGATGGGTATTTTCCATTCAGTGGGAAACATAAAACCTTTCAAATGGTTTTCCATCCAATGGTCCATCATGTTCATCGGAGTTGATCAACCCCATGTCTCAGGCTGCCTGGGTCATCACGTCCGCTCCTGAAGCTTCAACTCCACTCCGTCCAAAGTGAGGTGCCCGGAGAAAGACAGCATCCGGATGGCCTGCCAAGCGAACTAGCCATCAACATGAAATGTGCAAAACAAAAACTAATGAATAGAGTTAGGCCCCGTTATAGAATGTATATTTTATTGGTTGCTTCACTTTGAGTCACTGGTAAAATGTAAAATGTATCCTCAGTCTACCGCAGCACTTTTGATGAAAACCAACAAATACAAAAGAACCAGAATAGGCCTAATGTTCTGGGGGCCCCATCTTGAGGTGATGAGGGGGGCCATGGGGTCTGCCATGTTGGTGTTTGTTTCTTTGTTTTGGTGTTGTTTGAGGCTTTTCGCTGTTTTACCGCTAAAAACCAAACTCAGGCCCCATGACCCACACTTCTGTTTGTGGTGGTCTTGTTCATACCTCTTGTAAAGTCATTTGTTAGTTTGTAATCCCGAGCATTTCCAAGCTGCAAACCCGGGGGTGTCAAGTGTGTTGTTCAATGTCGCCTGCGGTCCGCCCCTGCAAGCCAGTCATTCGTGGGCATCAAGGGCCACCTTTGCCCGTCGGAAGGATGGGACGCTTAGAGAGGATCGTCCCCCGCTCCGCTTCGCGACTCGTGAAATCCCAAACCTCTGGGCAGTTTGCTTGGAGCATGAGGTTGCTGCGACAGCTTTTCTTCTGGCAGAGTAGCCTGGATTGGCGCCTTAAGAGTGCAATGTAACTTGACAAACGGACATGGCATCGAAACTTGCGATACCTAGTGTGACATGCTCACCAACTAGTCGGGGTCAAGCACTCATCTGTTAGGGGCGCCCAGGCGTCGGAAGGAACTGCGAACCGTCGTTCATTCCGCGAATCGCCGAAGACTTGGCATCACTTGGCTCCGTTGTTTACGCGGCCGCGACCCAGGTGCCATGTACTCATCTTGCAAAAGCTCGCTGGGCGCTGGCCCGGACCGTATTCACCCAAGCTCTCGGCCCCAGAGGTTCCTCGAGGCAAGGGACATGTGAACATCGAACATGTAAATGCCATGGTTGCAAACCAGGCACTACAAACCGGCCAAAGGCACCACAAATGGCAGTGCTCGACTGCCCTTACCATCAGCTGTTGCCTGGGTTTCGACCACCTTTGAACATCGCTCCCTGGCCCGCCCTCCCGCCATCTTCCGCCCTCCCCGACTCCCCGCCGTGCGGATCCACTGGGGCAGGAAGCGGACAGTGCGAAGCTTCAAAGCGCACCAGACCGTAAGGTCCACCTGGCAAGCTGCGAGAGCAGCGACCATCAGCAAAATACACGACTACTGCTACTTTCCCATTGCTTGTCCTCCTTCTTTTATTATGTTGCACCTGGGTTAACATCGGTAGTCTGAATTATGTAAAGTTTCCCCGGCTTAAACACGACCCCCCACTGTTTCGGTACCATCATTTATGTCAAGTTCGAACCCCAAAAATCCCGTTGAAAAAATATGACTCAAAATTCGCAATATGGGCAACTGATTTCTCCTCTCAGCTTCCGGGCTCAGTCCTAGTAGTGAAACTCTGCAAATCTTTGGTTGCTCAGATTCCTCACGATTCCTGATTCGATCCTAAGCCCCAACCCAACCATCAAAATTATTTACTTAACTCCATCCAAAAACAAGCCCCAAACAGTCCTGCAAAGGGGGTTGCCCACAAGGGGGCCTGATCCTCTTTAAGGGGCACTGTTTGGGTACCATGTTGAATGTCCAGTCTTAGGCGTGGGTGGGTTAGGAATCTCCAGGTCACATCTTAGCCTCTTGCTTTTAAAAGGGGCTCCAAATCTAAAAGCTTAGCAAGGGACCAGGCCAAGACCTGAGCCTAAGAATTCCTGATTTGATCCCAAGCCCCAACCATCAAAATTATTTACTTAAATCCATCCAAAAACAAGCCCCAAACAGTCCTGCAAAAGGGGGTTGCCCACAAGGGGGGTTGGTCCTCTGTAAAGGGCACTGTTTGGGTACCATGTTTAATGTCCAGTCTTAGGGTGGCAACCCAAAAGGAAGTGCAGGCAATACTAAACCAAGTAGTGGCAGCCCAAAAGGAAGTGCTGGCAATACTAAACTAAGTAGTGGCAACCCAACAGGAAGTGCTGGCAATTCTAAACCAAGTAGTGCCAATCCAAAAGGAAGTGCTGGCAATACTAAACTAAGTAGTGGCAATACCAAAGCAATACTTAAGTCACCCAAGCCCCCCGTCAAATCCGTATTCAGGATCCCCAGGACTGTTTTGACTGTTCCAGGGGGGGGGGTGCCACAGTAAACAAGGTCCAACATTATATTGGGTGGTTGCCTGCCTGCCTACCTGTCTGCCTACCTACCATTACCCACCACTACCACTACCCACCGCCACGACAGCCGCTGCTGCTCCTGCTGCTGCTGCTGACTGATGTTACTGCGAAAGCATGAGCTGGCGCATGGTAAAGGGGACATGTATTTGTCATGTTTGTGTATCCGTTTTTGTTGAGCCCCAACTTAGGTCCGAGATTGTTGTGTTTCTGGGCGCATTGGGTACCACAACAGAGTGGAACGCCACCAGTCTGACATGACTTTTAGTTGCTTGGACTTTCACCCAGTTGGATCCAACCAGCAAGTGCACATGTCCGGACGCGTTGAACAACTCGCGGAATAATGTTGGGGCGTTGACTATGCAATTTGGCGATGCTTGTTTTCCTTCGCCTTTGTTGATCTTAAACGTTGCCATTTCTTGAGGCAAACTAAGCGCAAATGAAATTGAAAGCGCACAGGACTGAACCCAGAAAGCTCTGCCGTGAAACAAGTGCTGCAAGTAACTTGTCTGCAAGCATGTTCATGTTGCACGCAGTCTTAGTGAACAACATCTTCAGCTAACATCCTCTAACATACACTCGGAGCATCAAGGAAAAATACATTCTGTTCCAGGCTTAAAGTGAGCATGAGCTATCATGGTTCGGGGGTCACAAAAAGCCAGACTGTTGCAGCGCCTCAAATCTAAATGTCCACCCGGCAGAGTACAAAAAGAAATGCCGAGGCTACTTTTCACATGGCGGAACCACTGCGTGGCCGAATGCGGCCGGCGCGGCGAAAGTGGCAAAACGCGATAGATAGAACACTCATGGCCACGAGTCAAAAGCCCGTACCCCCAGTGAACATCCCAATCCCCACAAAAATTGACTAAAATGGGTGGTGACCTACCCCAAAATGGTACCATTGGTTTTGACTTTTGACCCACAGCCACATGGGAAGAGAGCGATATCTTTCTTGGCCCCGGCCGGGTCTTGAGCACAAGCCTAGCATTGCGATCGCGGGAAAGACTGGGGAACGACCCCTGACACAGTGACAGGTATGAGTGCGGCTAGCCTGGCCAGTTTGAGAGTCGGCTAGCCTGGCCAGTTGGAGGATACGCTTTCAACTCTCAGGATAGGAAACCCTTTGGCAATGGGGATATCAACATAAACACGGAATCATGCTTTCGAGCTGTGCTCCTGCACAATTAGCTTCCCGCGTGAAATTTGAGGCCCACCGATGTTCTTCACCTAAGCGGAGGTCTGGAGTCCGCTCCAAGCCTTCGATATGAAGAAGTTGTCCACTTGAATCACCGCCGGCGGAGGTGGCGCTGTGTAGCCTCGAGTGGTCAGATTGGCCCGGCTCCGGGTCGCTAAGGCTTGCTATAGGCTTGCTGAGACCCCAGCTGGAAATGCAATGGCTGCAATTTTGGGAGACCCTGCCCTGATGCATACAGACATCGCCTCCTGCCAAAGCATTCAATGCTTTCAACCAGTCTTAGAGAGAAGTCGCACACAAACAAACAACTACACAAGACTTGCTCTACTGCTCCGGGTTTGTACAAGTGGCTGCCGCTTCTTCATTTCACATGTTGAGGACGGCCAGTTCATTGCCCAAGCACATCTCTTAGCCGGTGCTGTTTTTCCCGATTCGGTCCACAAGCTGGAATCCATTTGTTCGGCTCGGCCCATTTTTAACATGCATATTGGCAATTCACCCAGCCCTCAAGATGGCAATGGGAGTGACGACCTCTGGGGACTCCTTTTGTGTTGGTCCAATGGCAACGCCACCTTAGGAAACCAATGGAATGCAAAGCTTTGCATGGGCTGAATGCAACGAGCTTCCTGTCCAAATCCCTGCGAGACCTTCGCGAAGTTGAAAAAAAATGTCACAAAGCGCCGTAGGTTCGACGCATTCCCGAGCAGTGCCACCGATCTCCAGCTTGATTCTCTAACCATCTCTTCCGGTTCCCGGCGCTTTGCCGCCATGCGGGCAGGTTGCCGGGCAGGTTGCCAATGATCAGGCATCCCCGAAGAGAAGCCACGACACAATAAGAAGCTGGAAAAACGCAACACAAGAGGACGAAGGATTACGACACCCCTTTCTAAGGTTGTGCGGGACAAGCTTTTAAAGGAACCAGCTCAAGCCTGGACACAACTCCATGCAAAGAGATGTCTAATAATGCATCCTCCAACTCACACCCGGCAGCCTAGGTTCATCCCACGTAGGTTGCAACCATAGTTATACAACTTATATCTGTGCCAAGTGAGGTTTCTTTGCCTTGCCATGTTCAGAAAACCTGACGTGGGCTGACCATCCAAGCATTCCCGCTATCTCCCTGAGTGACTTTTGTTTTAGTTGGTACTACTCTTTTTGGTGGAGGGAAAACAACCGCCAATGGAAAAGACCCATTCTCGAGGTGTTAACACTTCAAACCGGGAAAAAACAACTGCTATAGTTTTGCACATGACAAAACGCATGTGCCAACACCCCCAACAGCTGCTCTCTCCCATGTCCAAAATCCCAAGTGTCCAAGAAACGGTGTTTGGTGTGTGTGTGTGTGTGTGTTTCTGTTGAGGGCACCTTTCTTTTTGTTTGGGGGGCAAAGGTGGGCGCCCAAGAGCAAGACCATCTCAATGGCCCTTTGCATTTTGACACTCCCCTACAAACCAACTGAACACACCCAAAAGGGGGGTCCATTTCCCAAAAAGGGAACTTCAGCTCAACCACCAGCGAAAAATATCTGCCACTCCTGGCATTCCTCCACCAAACTAAAAAAGTTGCGGCCAAACTTTTGGCTTGGTCTCCAAGGAAGGCCGCTCCCCGGAGTGAAAGCAAACATGGCCGGTTTTTTTTTGGGGGGTTGCTTTTGGGTTGGTTCATTTTCAAGGAAGGCTTTTCTCCGGGGCAAAACTCAAAAACTGGCCTTTTTTTTGGGGGGGGGTCGGTTCAGCCTTTTTTTGGCTCAAGGCCCTGGACAGGCTTTTCGGGCGAAACCAACATGGCCGTGTTTTCTGATTTTTCCTGGTTTTGTTTCGCCGTTGGGTTGGCTCAAGGCCCTGGAAAAAAATTGGACGCCAAGGCGCCCTCCAGGATGGAGCTGCCGGCGCTGGCCGCCACCGCTGCGAAGGCCCGGCGCTTCGACTGAGGCCGCTCGGAGCCGCTGAGCTGCTGCGCCCAGATCTGCGGAACCGGGAGACGCGCGCGCGCGTTGGCCGGCTTGAGCGGCCCATGGGTCTACTGTTGAGGGTACCAAGGATGGGCTTTTTCGGGGGTGATGGCTTTTTTGGGGGTGCCATGAAATACCAAAAAGATACCCTGTTTAGGGGGTACCATGGATGGTAGCTGTTGGTCGTGCCAGGAAACCAAAAAGAAAACCAAGCAAAAACCAAGAGAGGGTACCATGAAATACGAAGAGGGTATTTGTTGGCAATTATTATGAACTGTACACCTTGGTTGTGAAAGGAAACCAAGAGGAAAACCAAGAGGAAACCAAGAGAGGATACCGTGGTTGTGGCCTCTCTCTGGGGGCACAATTAAATACCAAGAGTACCTTTTTTGAGGGTGCCATGCAATACCAACAGGGTACCTTTTGTGCGGGGGTACCATGGTCAAGGTGAGTTCGAGTGTGGGGACGAGGGGTCGGTTCGGTACCAGGCATCCGCTGAAATGGCAAATCAGTCATGGAGGGGGCCTGTGCACGTATCAGCCGAAGTGCGAAGCTTCAAGCTAGTGGGCATGTTTGGATTGACCATGTGAGGCGGACATAGACACCGAGATCCACGCAACCCAGGGGTGCTCTGTTTTGTGCCACGACACGTCCAGGGCATGGACATTTGAGCTAGGAAGCCGTGCCCTTTAGTGCATGTCAGGCACTGACATGTCAGTGGTTTCTAACCCCCCTCCCAAAAAAAAGAAGAAAAGAGGCCCACACATAACAGAGGCACAGCAGCTAGCTGGGCTGCATCCAAGTGGAACCCTTGCGTGCGACACTTCCCCTTGGCCTGCAAAGGGTCCAGCCACCCATCGTCCAGGGTCAAGTCCAAGGCGTCCATGTCAATGTTCCTGGCGCCAAACTCGCGATTGTGCGTAGTCTGCGCGGTCTTCTTTGGAAAGCCAAAGGCTGCCAAGGGGCACCAGTGGCAGAAGATAATCCCCGGAGGAGGACACGCAGCGCCGCATCTGCAGCGACAAGAAGGCGCGGTCCCCCAGGCCGCGGTTGGCCAAGATCACTGCCGGCAGCTCCTGGCCGCCAGCCGATTCAGGAGCTGTGGAGGTGGCTATGGACCTACAGACATCCCTCAGCTGCAGTAAATCTAATTTGAGAACACCTCACTTCGAGGAACCCAGTTTTGCTTGGGTGAATTGGCCCTCACTTTCTGTTTGCCACTGTTTTCCTAAACGAGAGTGAAGAGAACTTGGGTGCTTTCTGCTCCCCGGCTAAAAGTGTTTTAGCTTTAGTGGTTTAATACGGAAAACCCAGTAGGTGGCAAAAAGTTGAAGTCCTAACATCGAAGCAAAATGCACCAAAGATCCAATTGTTTGTGAGAGAAAAGAATGTTGCATAGATAGGCAAATGTACATGTCCAACTGGATGCAACTCAGTGTCATCATCATTGTCCTAAAGACATCCCCGTCGCCACCATCGTGACCATTGTCTCCTGCATCCTCGTTATGGCTAGCCTCCTCCTCCTCCTCCTCTTCTTCCGCCTCTCCTCAGCCATCATCACAACCACAAGCGTATCCCTCCTTATCCTCATCCTCATCCTCCTCCTCCACCTCAGCAACATCCTCCTCCTCTTCGTCATCTTCGTCATCATCGTCGTCAGCATCATCAGCAGCACCATCATCGCCAGCAGCATTACTATCATCATGAGTAAGAAGAAGCAACCGCACAAGCTCATGTATCCACACACGGATGGATCTGTACTACCAGCCTTCGACTCAAAATTGCGGCGCTCTGGCCTTCCTACAGCTTCCTGAAACACATCAGGTCCTATTCTTAAAGTTCAACCGGCCTGCAACCACAGCGCGCAACAAATCAACACGCTGTGGTCACAACACTTCTATCCCTTTGGTCCTTTTGCAAAGCCGAACCCCCTGGCCGGCAAACTTCTGTGATCAGCCACGCAAAAAAAAAAAGAAGGTCACAGCTAACCGGGTCGCGGCACCCACATAAAGGAGATCCTCTAGTTTAGAGTCGTGGTGTGCTTTTCAGTTCCCTTTCAGTCAGCGTTCAGCCCAATTTTACGGGGCGTCCGCTGAAACGAAACGGGCAGAGTCAACGGCCTTCCAACAACACAAGGGGATCCTCTTGCCAGAGTTGCTTGATTTCGGCTTCTTTCCTTTAAAATCGTTCAACCAGATTCATTCTCCTCCGAAATTTGTCGTGGGTTGACTTTGGCTTGCCGGATGTGCGGACGCGGCGTGCTGTTTTCAACGCGTGCCACCGATCCTCTAAAAGAGTCGTGGGGTTGATGTAGCTTCCAACGGGTTCCAGGTGGGGATCCCCAGATTCATTCCAGTTTAGAGGTGGAAGGGGTCCAGAAATTGGGGCTCTTGCATAAGGATGCAACCTGAGGACATGTGGCCGTGGGTCAAAATCCAAATCGTACCCCCAGTGAACCTCCCAATCCCCACTAAAACAGGTTCTAAAATGGGTGGCGAATTCACCTACCAACCAAAATGGGATCCCAAAACGGTTTTGCCAGCCACAGCCACGTTTCTTCAAAACGCCCAACCGGGCACCCCACGTCCCATGGGCTCCTGGACGTTGGGCATCCCCAGGGTGGCGTCCGAGTGCCGCAGGCCATCGAAGCGGCCCGGCAGCTGGCAGTCCACCTGAGGCGCAAAGCGTCCGGACACTCTTCGCTTTGGAAGCGGGATCTTCGTTGGGGGCGGTCCAGAAAGAAACAACGCATTTTACGTGAGTTGCTTATTTTTGTCTTCTTTTTTTTTTTTGGGGGGGGGGGGGGGGGGGGTTCCAAAAAGAAACAAAGCATTTTTTTGTTTGTGTGTGTGTTCTTTTTTTGGATATTTAGCTGTGTTTTGGGTGGGGGGTGGGGAGGGTTGGGGGGGTTCCAAAAGGAAACATAACGCATTTTTAGGTGCGTTTTGGGGGGGAAGGGGGGGGTCCAAAAGGAAACCAGTTATATGTTGGGCGTTGCTTGGGGGTTGCAAAAGGAAGACACTGCTATTTTTGTGGGTGATGTTTGGGGGTTCAAATGACACACTTTTTTTCCGGGTTCACAAAAGAAACCAGCTACTTTTTTGGGTTCCAAAAGGAAGCCAGTGCTTTTTGGCAGTGATTGTTTGGAAGGAAACCAGTTTTGGGGGTTCCAAAAGGACACCAGCTACTTTTGCGGGTTCCAAAAGGATAGAACTCTTCGGCGCAGCCATGTGGCACATTCGCCCAACTTCGCCAAGGACCCAAATCCGAACCCATGGTCGTCTCTTCCATTTCTTGGCTTTGGGTGATTCGCCTCATCCATTTGGTGGCTCAAAAAGCCGGAATTCCAAAATGGGTTGCCCTGGTAAGTGGAAGCATGGACCAAAACCTGCGCGACTCCTGAAACCCACGGCCGTGCACACCACCAGTTGGCCATCCCTTTTTGGAGGCTCCTTCATTTCGGGGATCGATTTTTTATTTAAAGAAAGGACGCTGTCCCCCTTTAAAAGTTCAACTTTAGGCGCCCCAAAGAGCGCGGCACCCATTTCGGCTCATCCAAAAGCCAAAGCCCAGGGCTCAACTCCGATCCGGCGCCTGCACGCCGGAGATGGCCAGCTTCAGCTGCTGGTCCTGCGAGACAAGTCGTCGGTTTCCCCCAGCGGCTTGGAGTGAACTTGACGTTGGGGTTGGGGTTGGGGAGCAACAAAAAATGCGTCATTTTTTTGCTGCAGTTGAGTGGATTTGGATTCCAACCACTAAACCACAACAAGCAAGAATGTAACAATGCTTCCCAACAACAACCATGTGAAGTGGATTCAACTCACTTCCGAACAAGCGGATTGGCCAGAAAAAGTCAACAAGCTTTGCTCCTCCAGTAGGGAGGTTAGAATAAGGGTACCCTTTTTTTCTGTAGTCTATTTTAGTAGGGGAACCCTCCCCCAAAAAAAGGGGGAAAAAGGGCACTGCTGGGGGACCTAGTTTGTTCACTAAACCTGTCTTCCCCCCCAAAAAAAATAAAGTCCATGAACTCAGGGAGTGAGTTTCCATGTTTCTTTCCCCTTTGCCCTCAAAAAGCCAGGGGTTCAAATCCCCAAACCACCCATCCAAACCGCCAAAGCCTTCCAGGAAGTTCTTTCCGACGGATGTATTGGCTAGAGACAACAGCCTTGGAGCCATGGCCATTGGCGGACCAATTAATTCTAAATCTCACTTACCCCAAGGACCTGGAAACAAAAGGTTGACCTTTTGGGACCCTTTCCAAAGTTGACCACATGAGAACACCAAAAGGTTAAAAGGTCAGCTTTGGGCAAGTGAGAAATATCATCAGATGGGTGGCTGCGCCTATTTTTCGTTGGGACTGCTCCCTGCATCTCAGTTCTCCTCTGTAGCTGACATGGCTCAACTAGCACCGGATCCCAACATGGCTGAAAATCGTGACGAAGGTCAAGCTGTGACCCGGCTTCAAATGACAATGTGCTCCCCAATTCCAAAGCCGAAACAAACAAACAAACAAACAAAAGAAACAAATCCCAAAAATGGGCCCCCATGTCCAAAGCCGAACCTGTGCCCGAACATTCGCCTGGATCCCCGCCTGGTAGTCCTTCTTCCAGTCCACACGCACCAGATCTAAGTTGCAGAACAGCAGCTCCCGGGGCCGCCTCTCGCCTGGCCGCAGCTCGGGACTGCCCGGAGCCTGCGGTAGCTACGCTTGCTTGCCGCAAGTAAATTTGACCGCGAAGCGGAGACCAAAAACCGCCCAATGGCACGTTTAAACGGTTTCGCGCAATGTCCCTTCCGTCGGGGGGGCGTGTGCACATGTCCAGATGTATTCTTGAAGCATCAGGATGATGCCCAGTCCTTGTTCGCAAAATGCGCACCGATCTCTACGTGGTCTCAACAACACAATTAATCACCTCCGACATATTGATGGACAAACCTATATGCCTGTGTTGCGGATGTCAACATGAAGCGGTTCAAGTCCTTCGCAGTAAAGGGTTTTGCGGCTTTGGGGCCGTTTCCGGAGGAACATGGCAAGCACAAGTGTTCCCGTCAAGCTGATTCATCCTATGGGTAGACCTCAACTCCTCAACTCCTCAACTCCTCAACTCCTCAACTCCTCAACTCCTCAACCCCTCCACTCCTCAACCCCTCCACTCCTCAACCCCTCAACTCCTCCACCCCTCAACTCCTCAAGCTCCCCCCTGAACCCGCAACCCCCACCCAGAAACCCTCAACCCCCGACCCCTCTACTGCCTGGTGGAGGCAGCTCCTCGATGATCGAGATGCCCGCCTTGCTGATCTTCACCTGCCACTGGCAGCGGGGCCCCCAGAGATTCATCTCAGTCGTTTTGTTGATCTGTGGTTCAAAAACTGGCACCCAAAATTGCACGCAGTCAATAGAAGCAAGGATGACGAACCTGCGGTCTTCTGGTGGTGTAATTTTGACCCATACCCCTGTGGTTTGAGGGAACCTAGCTGTGATACAACACATAGGGCTGGACCATCGGGCCGTTACTTCCAACCTGGCAAGGCCAGGAACAAAGCATCGAGCCACAAGTCACTGGAAGTTTGGGCGTGGCAAACTTAGCTGGCGCCTTCACTTACCTCCCCTTCAGCTGATGTAAGTGCCTACATGGTAGAGGGAACAAACTTAGCGGTTTTGTTCCGAAACAGTTCCGTTCATTCCGGACCAGAGGACCACTCCCCCGGACCCATGGAGTTCTCCACGCCGGTTTTTCGCGGTGTCCAGCTGTCCAGTTCCGTGCCTCCCCTCCGGCGGCTTCGCGAGTCCGGGGGCGAGGCGAGGGCGCCTCCAAATGGGTGGAGTTCGGGCCCAGGCCATTGGCGTGCCTGCGGTCCTCGGGCCCAGGCCAAGTGGTCCAAACATACCGTACATGTCCATTCTTTCCAGGAATGCTTCGAGAACCTTCAGACAGGGGCAACGCCGGGATTTAGAAGGGAAGACATGGGTCTGTACGTTTTTGAGGCGCGGTTACCCAAAATTGAAGTTGGTTTGTCAAAATGGAAACTCAGTGGCAGTCCGTTCCTCTGCAGAAAAAGAAAGACAGCAGGCACATCACCTGACTTGTGACCCAAGTTGCCTCCAAGTCCCAAAAAACAATCCTGCAAGCATCACCTTTTGGAACCTCTAAATATGGTTAACAGGCCGATTCACTTTGGGATCCCCATGCCGTGAAGGGGAGGGGGGTTGCGGGGGTCTCCAATTCCATCTATCTAGTCTTCCTAATAGAAATGGAGCCACAAATGGAGATCTCCAGAGGTCGAAATCCGCCTCCCCCAACTCCATTTCTCCGCAACAAGTGTTTTGAGCAATGGAACCATAAATGGAGATCTCCACCAAATCCACCACAATTCCATTTTTGAGGGTCCACGACCCTTGGGCAGAGCACCACAAGGTCGCAGCTGGCGCCTTGTCCTCGACTGCCAGGAAGGCCCCGTGGGCGCTGCTGCCCCAGAAGAGCGACAGATCCCCCAGCTGCCGCCGCTCGCTGCGCCGGAGGTCGCGGACCTGAATGCGCGCGCCTCGTCCTATTTCGTGCTTGGTAGGACCCTCCAAGATGGCTCAAAGGTGTTGCTGTTGGGTTCCTTCTAATACCACAAAAAAAAAGGGGGTGCCTTCAAAAAAGAAAGACGCCCACATGTAGATTTGACTTGAAGCAAGTGAAGAACTTGGATGTAATGCGCAAAGTTCAAACAAATAGTAGTTGTTATTGCTGTCTTTCTGGCACATCGAAAACATCGAACATTAATCCGAATGTTGACCCACACACGGAAAACGCTGAAACTTACCTTGCAATGTTCGCGGAATACACGCATGGCAACGGCGAGGGGAAGATCGGGGGCAGAGAGACCTGAACAGCTGCGCGAGAGTCCAGGCTGCGAGCCATCAAGGCTAGTTTTCCCATATGCTACCCAGGAAGATACCTTCAAAGCTTTGGCGCTGTTTGCCCCAAGCCCTATACATTTTCTGCTATGCAAAAGCCCTTGCCGAAACGGCCGAATATGAGCTTGAGGAAGTGCATTCAAATGTTTGCAGCATCCTGCTAACAAGTTCAAGCTTCTGATTAGAAGTGGGCAAGCGGCCTATCGCAATCTCGGATCAGCCAAAGAGTCCTGTGGAACCAGAGGTGAAAAGCCCGACCCCAGGCACAGCTGGAAAAAACCAACTCAGGGGATTGAACATGAGGAGCATGGTCATTTTGTAGGGGCCCCTTAAACCCTTAAGTTGGGGAGTCGTCATGGTCCTGCTAAGGAGCTCCTGGAATAAGTCCATTGTGAAGGGCACCCGTGCTCTGGCACCGGCCAAAAACAGTATCCCGGCTAAAGTCAAAGGGGTGTAAGCTTGCGTCGCTGACAAGTCCTCTGCCCTCCGCTCTCTGGGCGCTCGGACGTTGATGACTTGAGGCTCTTGGCTGGCCACGTGGAGGATCACGTCTACGCTGTGGCCGTGGCTGCCCTCCTGGCGACACAGCCGCCAAGCTGCCCTTCTGATCCCTTCTGCCCTCGGGCAGGTGGTTTCCGTTGCGCGCGGCTGCAACATGTTGGGTTGACGGGGGGGGTTTGCCCGGACTTTGATGCTGTCCCGCGCACGCCAATCCTCGGCGTGTTCGCGGCTGTCGAGGGGGGGGGGGGAGGGAACCGGGGGGGAGGGGGGGATGGGAAGAACATGGGTCCATGTCTCCAGCATGTCGAGGCCAACCCGTCTTTCAAACCAGCCGGCCCCCCCCGGCAACCCAACATGTTGGTCTTGATTGACGACTTCAGGGCATGCCGCAAAAGTCGCTCATGGTCAAGCTGCTAAGTGTAACTGCTCATTGATGCTCCAGCCACTGTAGGGGGCACGCTTGCAAGCTAGCCGCATCATGGTCGCCATACGAGGCTTGTCAAACCTGGGCACCTGACCCAATCCATGGCCCTTTTCAGATGGCACTTAGTTGCTTGGACACTCTGAGTAAAGCAAGTGGATGGGGAATCTCAGTGAAAAGGCAACGGCTCCCATGATCCAGACTTCCAGCAATGGTTGGTTTGCAACAATCATTGAACATCATCTAATCATGCGTCCGAATTTCACGAAACATATCTGACCGAACGAGATGCGCTTTTGTGGATTTGCGAATCTGATCTGACCTGCGCGGCCCAAGGCCGCGTCAAACCACACGTTGTCCGACCCCGTCCTGGTGCGGCTTGGACCATCCAAATGGCACCTCCTCCCCGGATCGCACCATAAAGCTTGCAATACGTTCCTGCGCGGTGCAGGCTGCCATGTTGTCTGCACTCAGAACCCCCAAACGAACTCGAAGGATTCAGTACAGGGCTGGCAAGATTTGTTCTCCCTCCAAGTTTGTGTACGGGCTGAATTGTCTTATGTTGTCTAGTGCCACCCAGGCCCAGCCCTAAGAATTAGAATAACCACCACGCATGCACAAAACGCAACAAACTCGGGGAAGCGAGTTTGAGGCTGAGGTTTACTCCAAGTTGGTTCTGAGTTGGAGGCTGTTTGTTTGTTATTCTTGTTTTATTCAGTCGACGTTAGTGTTGTTCCTGTGGTTTTCCTGTGGTTTATTGAAGTCTGCGGTTCTAGTGGAGTCGTACTATCCTAATGTGATGGATCTTGAGTCAAGTGGTTTGCAAGGCGCGTGAAATGTGTAGTGACATGGAACCTGCCCCTCGGGCACGTGGCCCTCAAATAACCCATAACACGTGTTGAATCTGACTGTCTTTGAAGATGTACTGGCACGTGAAACGCCACGCTGCCAGGGAACTGCGCGTGGCCAAGAGAGGCTTGCCAATTGCGCGTGTCAAGGAAGAACTTAGACAGCCTCAATGTAGGTTTGGCGCCCAGTCCACAGGGAAAACAATGGAACTCTGAGAAGGCTCCCCTTTCATTGCTGATTTTGGCCGTTTGCCTGGCAATGGACACGAAGGATGGCGTGTGCCCCAAATGCACATTAAAAGTACCAGTGTTCAGCCACACAAATGACTCATTCAACCTCATTTGCTGCTTGGTCCGGTGCACAAGCCCCGTATCGCTTGCCTTGGCCCTAGCCGTCACCAAGAACTAGCAATGACTGAAGATGGGTTGCCAGTCGTTTGCAGCAAATACGTATAGACATTTGCTGCCGGCAAACCGCAGCTGAACCTCAGGCCACCCAGCATTTATCAATCCCACAGCAACTAAACAAGAAAGGACGAACCACCTTGCGGCCGTTGCAACCACCTCCCGCAGCACAGCTACCAACCAGCTCAGGCTGTGTCCACTGCGCAACGGCCTCAAAACACAACATTCCGCCCCCTTACAGAATCCAGAAGAAGCCGCCGAAAAAAATCATGAGTCATGAGCTTGGCACCCACCCTACACCGGAATTTATCTCCAGGCTGCCCCATGCTCAGCCAGAGCGCCCGAGCGCCCGAGCGCCTCGAGCCGGTAGGAGCGGATCTCGAGGCACACGTCCAGGCGCTGGGACTTGTTGGAGGCCATGAACTCCTAAGACCAAAGCAGTCAGCCGTCTGCCGCGAGGGGTCACAGCGGGTTTCCACCGGGGAGCAGCGGGGGTCTTGAGGGAAACCCAACCCCAGGTTTGTATGTGTGTACATATTTATACATTCACACATGTGTATATATATATATATATGTGTATATATAGGATAACATACACATACATAGGCAGAAAGAAACATGTGAGGGATTGAACCACTCAACCGCCGAAAGCCGCCCAGAGGCACAGAGCCGAAAGACGTTGGGAAGGAAAGTTGGGAGACAACCCCTGCGATTCTGCTAGCTTGGCCCGTTCAGCAAAGCAATGGATCGTGGCAAGGATTGATATAGACAAAGGCATGTACACTGGTATGTTTAAACTTGATCATCGCAAGTCTGCGGATCACATGCATCTCCTACACCGGTTAGGTCCCCCTTCCTGCGCATTGGCAAGGCAAACCGAGAAACTTCCCCCCTCCCTTCCTTCCCCAGCCTCTTTTTCTTTGTTTCTCTGAAGTTAAGCCCTATGGCACGAGCACGAGACCATTTGGACCAGCAAATCAGCGAAGAGCCTCCCAAAAAACTCCATGCGCCTTTTTGCAGAATACATTTTGTTGTGGTTTTAAAGGGAAACCGACATTTTGCATCTTGCTTTCTGGTTTTAAAGGGAAACCGACAAAGGAAATCCCAGGTCCAGGTCCCCCCCGAAAAAGGAAACCCACGCCCCACCGGCCGTGCTCCGACTCGCTCCGAGGCGCTGAGCCGCGGTGGAAGGTCACCGCCACAGCGCCCCGTTCGGGGGTCACCACCACGGACCACAGCTCAGCCGTCCTGAGGCGCTGAATCAGCGCGGGGGCGTTTGGTTTGTTTCTTTTGAGCATGGGACCCCTGCAAATCGCTGTTTCTTTTTTGGGGGGAGGCAACGTTTGAGGACAGCCCATCATTTCGGGAACGCTTTTTGTTGGAGGGATGTTTCTTCCTCGGTGGGGCAATGCGCTGCGTTTTTTTTTTCCCCCCGACAAGCAGGCTTGAAAAAAGCAATGGGCATGGGGAAGAGCAAATGCCTCAACTGTGACCCTTGGGCTTGGTGTGTGCCAGCTCAGCAGGGTGAACCCTGTAGAGATCAGACCCCAGGGCCCATGGGATGAACCCCGCCAGGGCCTGGCACCTTGCCATCAGCCGTCACATCTCCATGGCTGTCCGACTGCCAGCGCTCTCAGCAAATAGGGATCCGGCAAACGAAGCAAACCCCCCGTGACTCACAAATACATGTTCCACTGATCAAGGTCTCATAATAATCTTGCGGGTTGTTCATTGCAAGTGGCGAATGGCGGGGCACTACATGGGCAGACGGACTATTAGAGACAACAGCACTCCTTCGGCTTGACTACTGTCACTAGATGTGGCCAGGTCTGATGGCAAGGCCCTCACTTTTCCACTTCACCAAGTACACTTCCACCCATCAACCTACCACCACAAACAAAGGCTCAGTCACACACACAGTCAAAGAAGTCAAAGACAAGGATTCGAACCAAGCCGACCTCATGATCCCAACAACTGAACAAATTGTGCCTCCTCTTGGCTCTAGTTAAGGTTCCTTTCCTCAAGCCCTACCCCATATTCACCGAGCAGCATCTTCCCACGAGTGCGTGGCATGGCCACCACGCCTGGCACAGACAACGTGTTCGCCAACGCCTCACTGAAGATGTCCCCAGGGTAATTTACTAGGGCTGGTTTTTTCCTAGGGTTGGTTTTCCGCAGGGCTGGCAGCATCCCCAGCATCATGAGGTTGCTTATTGGCTCTGATTTCATGCCAGTTGGGAGTTGCTGGGGGCTGGTTTAAGTTAGGGGGGTTTTGGCTGGCTTCCATCTTCGTTCACACCATTCGAACGGATTCCGCCGGCTTGCCGCAGAAATCCGAGGGCAACAGGAAGCTGGCTTTCAAGCATCTCGATTTGATCCCTGAAGACCTTTGTGCTGGACATCTACTGAGCTGCAGGTCCAGGTGTTGGCTGAACCCGCGTAGAGTGAGCACAGGATGAAAGGGTAGCCTGGCGCCTCAAAAACGGGTCGTCTTCCCGCAAGAAGACCATCGAACAAACATACCTGGACCTTCCTGCATGCTAAGAATTTCCGCCTTTTGGCTACGAATTGCCTTTTGGAGCCATTGCGCGTGTTTGTTGCCTACGGCCTTTTTTGCTCAATTTGGGTGTAAAGCGCAATCTCCCGAATCTACAGGCGAAAATTCCCGACAAACAGGCGAAAATTCCCGACCAACAGGCAAACATTCCCGACTGCGGCTCAAACAAATATGACCGCCGGCGGTTGTTCGCCATCAAAGCATTTTTCACGCCAACAACAAACAAACACACGTTTTTTGACCAACGCCTAAAATGTTTGACCCCGGAAGGTCCCTTGCGACCCTTCGCCCCCCGTGGGCCCAAGCAAAAAGCGGCCCTCAAATGGCTGTGGGTCAAAAATAGACACCCAAAATGGAATCCTGGTAAATGGAACCATGGACTAAACCCTGCGGTCTGGTGGTTTCATTTTGGCTCATACCCAAATCCGTCCAAACAAATCCTCCTCGAACCGACTCGTCAAAGCCCTCCTGTGGCCAGCGCGAAGCAGGTGCACCCCGCGGTCTCATCGCCGCAAATCACCTCCCCGGACCAGCTGCACTCCGGGCTCCTGGGCGGCTTTCAGCTCGGCGGACGGCCGGGGGCCCGGGGTTTGGTGCTCATTTTGGTGGGTGCACCAGGACATAGGTCACCTGTTGAAAAAAGGGGTGGTTGGGCATTTTGGTGGCTCGGGTGCTGGACCTGGACCTGGAAAAATGGTGATCACCTGTTGAAAAAACGGGTTGAAGTAGACAAGGAGTTGAAAGGTCCAGAGATCGATGCGCTTGCGCTTACTATCTCAGGGCTCCCCAGCTTTCTGTTAATCCATCTTGTTGCTGCCGTGAAGCATGTACATTTCCAGGGTTCCACCATTGGCCATACTCAAAAAAAACATAACATTCCAAAAGCACGGCGGCAGTTGATTGTCTAAAGAGGTCTCAGCTGCTTAATCGGGCTTACTGCGGCAAGGTCGGCTTCTCAAGCATTCCGTCATTCCCGTTGCAAGTGCAATTCAGCAGCTGGTCAACATGCCCATCAAACAGCTGGTCAACATGCCCGTCAGACTAACCTGGACTCACAGTGCCCATGCCCTGAAACAAGATTGCCCTGAAACAAGAACAACTTAGGCACCTCTTCAGGAGGTGCAACGTGGCAGAGTGACCCGAGGCCGCACAACCAACCCATTCCGTGACTAACCTTCGCCCAACCAAAGACATGATCAAGGCTCTGATGCACAAACCGCATGTAGACCTTAGATGGGGGCCAACCTCGTGGGGCTGGAATAGTTGCTTGTGCTGTCTGTTTCCATAGGCTTCCAAACATTCATTTCCCCCAGAACCCCTGGTTTCGGTGTTCTGCGCAAATTAGTCCAAAACAATTCTAGGAGGTAACGACCCTAGCACTCCGTTGCCCAAAATACCCAGAAACAAAAGGTTAACCTCGGACCTTGACTGCATATGGACGAAAGTTGGAAAAACAAAGGGTCAAAAGGTCTGTTTGGGACAACTGAGAGTATATACTGAAAGGGGCAGTGTACTTAGTAAGTGGGTAATAAACCTGTGTCACCTACTTACCATGATAAGTTCCTCAGTGGGTTATAACTAGGCTTACTAACCGCGTACTAAGTACGTTGCCCCTTTAAGCAGTCAGTTCAGAGTTCAGGCGGTCAGAAATCCAATCCGCCGCGCCGCAGGTTCGGGCGGAAGCGGAGCCGGCAGTTGGGCGCATCTCCCTCCTGAGTCACTGAGCGCAGGGCCTTTAGAGTGGCAGCCAGCTATGTCAAATCTACAAACGATCATTAAACTTGCTGGTGCTCAGCGGCGGGGAATGAGGGAATGACCCTTATAAACCATCCCTTGTGGCTTCCTTTAGAGGATCTCTGGGTTCATTCCCGCATTCCCTACTGAGCACTAGTAAGTAAGTGCCAAGACACACCGATTTCCCCCCCCCCCCGGACAAAAAAGAAAACACGCAACGCGCATCTGAAAAAAAAAGGTTCCTCCTGTGTTTTGGTCGGACCCCCATGTCGACGTGCTGGCCGCTCCCCTTTGGCAACCAAACCCCGCAGCTTCTCGCGAACCGCGAGATCGAGGGGCACGCGGATCTGCAGGCCAGTGCTGCACCATAGACCTCCGAGGTGCCCGAAAGGCAAAAAACATCGGCGAAATGCGGTCGGTCCAAAATAGGGGAACCCCAAAATGGGTTGCCCTTGTAAATGGAACCAAAGCCTAAAACCTGCGGTCCTTGGTGGGTTAAGTTTGGAAGAAATGTGTTGTTGTTGTCCCTTTGACAACAGACAGCTAAGTTAAGCAACGGCAGCCTGATTTCATCCCCAAAAGCTGTGAGAAGTCCAGAAGCCCGACGCGGCCGGCCTAGCTGTCAGTCGGCCAAGATGTCAGGTTCAGAAGTCGCTTGTAAGAGCATATATCTCAGAAACATGTGTAAGCTGGTGCATCCGGGGAGGTCTAGCAAATACGAGAACCGGGAAGTGAACAAGATGTTCAACATCTCCTGCACGAAGGGGCAACTCAGCATACTCAGCCAGCCTGATCGCAACCCAACCAATGCGCAGATTCGAATCAAACTGTGGGCAGGTTTTGCAGGTTGCTCGTTCTGCAAAATCACCGCTCATTGTTCAGAACTTTTCTGCAGATTCCAGATGGCTGCACATCGGCAATTCTGAACCAGCCGGTTGCTCCCAAGTGGCTGGCAGACACAGCTGAAGGCAGGCCTACCAATCCACAATGCAATGGCTTGGTAAAATACCTTCCTCTAAGCCCTACTCCTTGTAAGGGAATCCCGGTATTCCGGTATCCCGTGACTTCGCAACCCCACGTGTTCCTACATCCGAGCGCCAGCCAGCTCCTCCCATTACCGCCCCCCCAGGGACATGGCAAGGTGCTCACCCGCGCTCAGCTTCAAGGTGTGAGGGCCGAACTCCAGGTTTAGTGCCATGTCCTGTGGACGGGACAAAACTCTTCTTGGTGCAAGTGCTTTAAAGGACGCGCACACACACACACAAACTAAGAAACAGACAGACAGACAGACAGACAGACAGACAGACAGACAGACAGACAGACAGACAGACAGACAGACAGACAGACAGACAGCCAGCCAGCCAGGCAGGCAGGCAGGCAGGCAGGCAGGCAGGCAGGCAGGCAGGCAGGCAGGCAGACACACAGACAGACAAACACACAGACAGACAAACACACAGACAGACAAACACACAGACAGACAAACACACAGACAGACAAACACACAAACACACAGGACACACAGAGACACACAGAGACACACAGAGACACACAGAGACACACAGAGACACAGAGACACACAGAGACACACAGAGACACACAGAGACACACAGAGACACACAGAGACACACAGAGACACACACACACACACACGCCAGCACGCCAACACGCCAACACGCCAACACGCCAACACGCCACACACACACACACATGCGCCCGTCCCTTTTGAAGTCTTTGATTGGAGCATGGGCTTGGGAGCCTGCTGGGGCAACACCGGGCCCTCCCATTCTGAAACAAGTTTGGGAAGCTGGTTGACTGGGCAGCGGCAGTGGGACTCTTGCTGGTACCTGTTGGAAAGGGGGCGGAGAAGCGGAAATGTCTGATCCCACCGGGCAGAAGTTTCTGCAAATCGACACAGCAGGAAGTAGTGTCCCTCCCGATGTGCTCAAGGTCTGCATTCTCAGTTGAGTGATTTGGCAAGTGGCACATGGTTCAGCTGAATTCTGGACCTGAACGGCCAGCACAACGCAGCTGGCCATGATAAACAGGGCTTCTAGACATATCATTGTCTTTATTGACTAACGTCCTTGGTGGCCGGTGTCCTAGTGCTACGTGGCGTTTTGGCTCAGATCCGGAGTGACCAATCCAGGCTGCCTTTAACAAATCAATACCAACACGGCCAAGTCCAGCCCCAGTCCACGCCACAAAATAGCACAAAGCTGGCCCCATGCCCCAAATCCATTCCCCGCGGTCCGACTTGTTCGTAAGCACCAGCCGGGGGCGCAGCACCAAAGCCTCAGATCCAGTCTACTGGTTCCCATGCTGCCCTCGACTGCATGGACGTGCAGGGGTGCCTTCCTAAGGCAAAACGTCCAAAAGATCGCTGGACGGTTTATGTCGCCGAATGGAGCGACGAGGCTCTCCGAAAAGCGAATGTTCCGAGTGACTGAGAATGTGCGAGTCAGAGTCTGTGGTTCTTGGAGGCAAAGGGCCGGCTGCCACATGATGACGGCCAGCGAAAGGTTCAACAATTCTGGGGGGTCCCGATGTTAACATCCTGCCACTAGCTCAAACGCCACAGAAAGGGGGGCAGACTGGAACAGAAATGCCCTATCCCCATTGAACTGGACCATGGCGTCCGTCTTTGTTGAAAAGGTACCCTGTTGAGTGACTTCCAGATTTGCAAGGGAAACCAAAGGAAACAACCCACCGGGCGTGTGTGGTGCGACAAACCCTAAAGCCCAGCCTGGCATTGTGCGCCATGCAGGTCTTCCGCCAGCAAATCCTCGGCCTGGATGCAGAAGACCTGGCGCACGGCTGAAAACTCCAAGCGATATACCATGTAATCCATGTGGCTGTGGGTCAAAATAGGTCCAAAAGAAGAAACACTGATAAATAAACAAGTAGACTAAAACCTGCGGTCCCCGGGTGGTATAATTTTGACCCATACCCATGTAGAAGTACGCGTCCTTTCCTATGGACATGAAGGCAGTGCTATAGGCAGCGCATGGCAATGGCTGTGAGATCTGCAGGAAGGTCTCTGGGTGCTCAGTTTGCGAATCATCTGTTCGCAGGAAGTGTGCATTCTCAAAGCGGAACCGCAGCATCTAAGAGGCGTTCGTGCCAACCATGCCATACCTGTTGGGTCTTTTCTGCAAGACCCTTTCGTTTGGGTGATGGGAACCAGAACAGACACAACCTGTTCTGGCACAGGAGAGTCCAGAGTCCGGTTTGCTGCTGGCCTGGTCGCCCAGGTAGTTCTTCCACGGCAGCACGGCAAAGTTGGGTGGGACCCGCACCTCACAGACACCCCGAAGTGGGTTGTCTAGTAGCCAGAAACCCTTGATTTGGGAAGCGATTTGCCAACTCCGGAACACATAGGCAGCCCAACAGTTGGATTCCCAAGTTTACGGGGAAAGTTGGGAATCACTAGAATGAAAGCAAGCGAACCCCAACTCCAAACCGGTACAAATATGGACAAACCCGAAAAACTGCGAAACGTGGACACCATCACCAGAGATGGAGCAACCCCAGCCCCTGGACAACTCCCTCCAAACCCTTCAGCATGCAGCTGCCAGTAGGTAGCTCATTGATTGGCTACTGAGGGCACTGGCGAGGTGTTTGTTAGTTTCATTGTGCCGCCAAGACCCTTACGTGCCAAACTGGAATATCTCCGAATCGTTCGTTTTAAAGACTCTCCTTCGATTTGGATGTTCCGATACATACCCCTTATACGAGCCCTTTAGCCTGGCTTGCCTTTTGAGACGCCAACAACAAGCAAGGTAAATAAGGCGCCATCCGTGCAGAGTGCTTGTACTAAATGTCCTGCCCACTGCTGATGGGCAAAAGACAAGACCTAAGACCACACAGAAGCACCACACCGCCGTGACCCGCAGAGCCGAAAAATTCGCTCCCCGAGGGCGGCGGCACCTCCAGGCGGCTTTTGCCCGCTCTCAGCTCCACGTTTTCCTCCAAACATTCCGCTTGCAGCAGAGTGAGGCCATTCCAGCACGGCAGCGCCTTGCCTGGCCAACGGGCCGAGATCCTTTTTTGGCGTTTGGGATACTGCGAGCTGGGAGCAGCCACAAGGATGCCCGGGCGTTTTCATCTCTGGCTTTAGACCCCGGGCGTGGTGACGCTCCGGTTCTATCGGATGGGAGTCTCTGAGTGCTTGAGCGATTTGAGTCATAATCAAAACCCGGTAGTACAATGGTCTGCCCAGAACCATGCTTCAAGAATTAAGCAGGCGGATCTGCGCTACTATGACTCTAGCTGGGACTGCCCCTTCACCTTCATCAATCCCCGAATCGGTTTTGAAGGAGCACGTGGCTCACTTGGCGCAACCGGCGTTTTTGCACCTCGGAAGTGGACCTCCAAGGACTCCGGCAGGCCAGAGCGGTCCACCAGCCTGGCACGCGAGGCTGGCAGAAAGTTGGCCCATGGCTTGCGGATCTGAATCAATGATGGGTTTACCTGGATTCCCCTGGCCTTGCCGGGTTTTCACCGAATGGAACCACGTGGATTCGCAGGTCGGGCTGGAACTGCAGCCGAGGTGCCAGTTGGGGCAGCTCACGCGCAGCTCGAAGTGGCCTTGCTCTGCCGGATCGATGGGTGAGAAGGGAGCCAAAGATCACGGTACCAATTGTCTACCCTCGGTTCGGACATTGATTTGAGGTGAAGTGAGCATCCCCGGCCCTCGGAGAAAAGTGAGTAAGACACTTGTGGGTTAAGTAGGCCCTGTGCATCCTGAGAACCCTCTCCCACCCGAGCTGTGCGCACAACTAACGGAGGGGTGTAACAACTTGGTGGCATACGGCAACACATGCAGGATCCAAGCACCATGGCGGAGCTGTTCTTCGTTGAGGTGGTCTAGGGTTCTATGGGTGATATCCAATCTCCCCGGCCTGCGACCAGTGACAAGTAGCGGCGGGGTCTTGGCACGACATGCTTCCCCATGCGTGCTTTTTCTCTTCTAGGCAGCCCGCTTGGGGCCTTTAGAGAACATCTTCGCATGAGACACCCCACACTTTCTCGTGGATTTCGAGGCGTGAGGAACCGCCGCAACGTGTGCCCTGCCCTCACGACGTTGTGTGCATTCAACTCCGGGCCCACTAAAACTGTGGGAATGACGCCTGGGCACTGGTTCTCGTTCATTGGCTCCTGTGGGATGCCATGAACAACTCGGCTTTGAACCGGCCGGTACTGTGTCTTTTGAAGGGCTCTTCAAAGGTCAAATTTTGTTGGTCGCTTTTGGTGTCCTTGAAAATAAAGAGAATAACATGGATACGCAAACATGGAAATGGGCCATTTCACCCCAGTCCGGAAGCGAGGCGCTGAGAGGTTCAAGCAGCACCCCACAGGCTGCGCCACCCACACGCTGCCGCAGCTGCATGGTCTGGCTGGCGTAGGCTGCCTCTCCGCGAAAGTCGGCACGCGGGTGGGAGTCCATGTATGCTTTTTTTGTTTCTCGCTTCAAAGGACAAATGGCCACCAAACTGCAGATGTCGTAGATTGCATGTTTCAGAGCTGCATTCAAGGCAGTCGAGTTGTGAGTCATGAGGTTGAGCTCTTTGTCACAAGGCAACGACTGCGGTAAGGGGGCCTTGACGCAATCCGCAAGATCGGAAGGAACTGAGACAACCATCAAAAGACAACCATCTGCCGGAGAATCTTGAACAAAGCAGGCTCCAAAAGTCGCAACCCAATGGATCAGGAAGCTGGAAGTGCTGAAACTGCCCATGAAAGGTCTACAAATGCGGCCATTGTTTAAACAAGATGGTTGAAGTTTCTCTCGGACCAAAAGGGCAGGGCATGGACTTTTCTTGTGGACCCACAAAAAGTGCTGTTTGTTCTTTTTTGCTTCGAACAAAACATGATATAAATGACAAACACAACTTGATCATTCGCTTGCATATGTTGCTTTCTGAAAAAAACACATTGTCGTAAATAAATAAATAAATAACTAAATGAATATAAATAAATGAATATATGCATATGTATATGTATATATATATATGCATATATATATATATATATGCATATATATATATATATATGTATATACATATATATATATATGTAAAAAAAACTGAAGCCCCCAAAACACCAAAAAACAGCTGGGGCCACCCCGTGGCCGACCTCGGCCCGGCCTCCTTGAAGGCCTCCGGCTGCCAGGCGGCCGGCTGGGACCAGGGCGCCTCCTCCTCCAGCCTCGCGCCGCGTGGGCCGCGGCTCGTGCCGCGTGGGGCACGGGTCCCGCGAATTTTTCCCACCCCTTAAAACTCCAAACCCTGGAAAATTAACCTACAGACATATAGCCCATGTTACCCGAAAAGTTGAAAAGTTGTGTTTTTTAAGAGGTAAGTTTTGATTCAAACCCCAAAACGGGCGGGGGGTTGCCCGGCTGCCCCTCCGCGCGGGTTGGAACCTGGCAGACAACTTTTCTTCAAGGAAAATGGATGGCGTTGTGTTGGGAGGAAGGTTCGCTTTAGACTGCCCTCTGTCCAACATTGAGAAATGGGTAGGTACCCCAACAGGATTTGTTTCACCTTCCAGAACCCTCCTCTGAACTGCCATTGGAGTGAGGGCAGGGGCCCACCAAAACAGGTGGCGTCTTTTAGCATGCTGTGAAGGTGACTTTGCAGAATCAACATGTGGGCATGGCTCAAAAAATGGGAGCCCGAAATGGGACACTGGTAAATCCAAATCTAAAATTCCTAAACCCATATCCCAAAAGAATTTAATATTTTTTTTAATGTAAATTCTACCCCTTTTTTAGATTCTTTAATTTCTATTTATTTTTAAAGACTCTAATTCCTCAAAATGTGTTAAAACGCTTTGAAACACTTTAGGGTGGCAAAGTAGGCTACATACAGTCCCCTGGCCCGAAAAACACTTGAGGCACTCCCATCTGTCCTCAGATCCTCTAAGAAGCTTCTCCCTTTGAGTTCGATCCGGAAACCCAACCACTAAACCAACCAAAACCCTAAAAACAAATTAAGGAACCGGACTCGCTGGGGCACCTGGCGCAATCGGCTCCCACGATTCAGGAATTCCCGCGCCTGGCGATCACGCCCAAGCCGCTGCCCCGGACCCCTGGGAAGCTGTAGTAGTGCCACCGGGTGAAGCAAGGCACCACCGCTTGCGTGGCCTGCGCTGGTAAGCCACGCGGTTTTGCATTTTTTGGGCCGTGTGGAGTCGTGGAGGGTGGGTGGCGACATCCCCTGCGCACCTAAGGAACCATGGCTTCACACCCGGGTGTTTGCTGGTATTTACAAGGGGGACTTTTTCAGAAACCAGGGTGTGTTCGGTGGTGGGAACGGATGTCGTCCATCCACTTGTTTTTGTCACTCGAATCTCAAATGACCACAGTACTGGTTCCAAGAAAAGAGCATGGATTGCAGCAGGTGTGCATTCGCCGACTCGTAGTACGGCACAATTGTTTTTGATATTGTGTCTATTCAAGAATGGCCTGGGTCTTCCTTAAAAAAAGGAAGACGGCTTACCAGGAGAATCATCAGAAACCAAGGTGGTGCGAACGGAGTTCATCCATCCATAGCATCACATGAAATCTCAAATGACCATACACCTGGTTCTAAAAGAAAAGAGCATTGATTGCGGCACAATTGGTTGATACTGTTTCTATTCAAAAACGGCGTGGGTCTTTCTTATTAAAAAAAGAGAAGGCCCCTGACCTCCAGGTACTTGTGCTCCTTCGGCTGAGTGGTGTAGCGCACTCCCAAGCTTCCTGCAAAAGATGTGCGAGCAGTGCTCGCCCTCTCCCCATGGATGCCAAAACCCTTAGCTTCGGGCGCAGTTTGGCTAGCTCACCAACAACCAAAGGGTAAGAAAAGGATGAGCAGCCTGCCCGGCGGACCCCACCATCTATAACCATGCAGCATGTTTGCCCCGTGTTCTCAGAAAGGTGGCTGAGCTATGACAAGGCCTGCTCACCCCTGACCGCCAGAAGCCCAATGCCCAGCACACCTCTCTTTCCGATTTCCGCTCGGCACTGAAGACTTCACTTGGCCGGCGGCAGACGAATCAAACGCAGGATCGAGACGTATCAACGTATTCACCAACACATGGCATAGGCATCGCGCACCCTTTGGAAGCTGGTATATTTGAGGCAACCATCGGCATGGTATGGGAGGCAACCATCGGCATGAGAGAGGGATGCTGCAGGGTGTCTTCCAAGGCTTTGGCTGCCCACCGGGCAAGAAAAAACATGCATACCTCATCATACCTCAACCTGGAGCCTGATAAGTGCGGCACGTTGAAGCTGACCCGCTCCTAAAGGAAGCGCGTTCAGGATCGCCAGCGTCGGCTGGATCGCAATGGTAGTCACTTCCGTTGGAGCGGGCAGCGCGTGCCTTGCAAGGGCCACAGGGCGGGGGGGGGGGGGGGCTATGGATGACATGCGTTGTTCCATTGGCAGATGGAGAACTCGCCTTGCACCTAGGAATCGCGCCGGTGCTTCCGACTGTGCATTTGCCTCTTCTTCTCTGTTTCACTTAGCTAAGGCTTCCATGAATTGAAGGATGCCTAGCATGGGCGAGTCATTGTCGCATTTCCTCCTAGCACTTGACTGCAATGATGACAGGGGGAGTTCCGTCCACCAAATCCCAGGTAGCTCTTCGCCCGAATGGGTCTGAGGTGCACATAGGACTTGGACTGGCACAGGAAGTGCGCACCGGATGTCCTTGCGATCCTCGGGTCGGTCACCAACTCAAGTATCTGTTGGACTCGCGTTGGATTTGGAATACAGGCACGCCTCACCAACATCGAAACACTAGAAGCACCATACTGGATTGGGTTGGGCCTGGGATTGCTTTAGGGTCGGAGGGGGGAGTTCAGGGTTCAAAGCCAGCCAAACGCTGCAAAGGAAAAACGAAAGCCGAGCCAGACTATGCACTAGTTGTCAATGACAGTGATGGCTTAACACGTGTCTAATGCCTTTACATTTGGCCTGGCCAGCTGTCCCGTGAAACACCAGCCTGCAGTCTAGCCATCGGCCATCGGCCAAATCTTCACAACTTCATCTCATGGCCCATCGTCTGCAAGTACTGAGCAAAATAGTAACTCTCAAACAACATTGGTGAGGCACTTGACGACACGTCAAGCAGCCCATGCGCTGCCGCTGCTGCTGCTGCTGCTGCTGCTGCTGCTGCTGCTGCTGCTGCTGCTGCTGCTGCTGTAGAATACTTGCAAAACACCCTGCAAACAGCAACTCCTTTTTGGGCATGGTTGGCCTTTGTCTGCTTGGTTCCGACTCCGCACTTCTTGATTTGGACCAACCCATACATGTTCCTGGTTGCTAATTAGCCATGCCTCATGCCTCCAATGGGTCCCATCACATTCAAGGAATGCACTCATCCACAACGTGAACGCAGTTGTGCTCCGCCAGGTTTTGCCTTCCAGTCGGCCCTCCCTACCGCTATGACTGGCGGGTGCAATGATTATTCAGAAGGTGCAGCCTTTGGAAGATCCAGACCAGTACTTGGTTGCTGTTGACCCCCCTGCAAAAAGTGAATCATGTTTTGGGGGTATAGTGGAAAACACATTTCTTTCAACCAAAAAGTTAAAGTCTAAAGATCCAACCCAATAGCAGTCAAGAACAAATGCCAACCCATTTGTTGGCAAAAAAGTTCAGTCCTAACATCCCTTGGCAAAATGCACCAAGGAATACATGCCACGAGCCCAGCTCAAGATGAACGCCACGGAGCTGCTTCGGACTGCCCTGCTGCTGCTGGTTGGGGCCTCTGCAGAACAGCGCGCCTCGCTCGCTCGGTTGGGCTGCGGCTGCGGGGAGCCGAACATCCGGGGGTCCGTGTGGTACGATTTGGCACGGGGGGCACGTCATCCCAACAAGGGACACCCCTTCGACCCAAGAGCTGATGCCTCAATGTCCTCATCCTTGAGAATCTGAGGGGCAAAGCTTTTGCACCACTTGCAACCACCTTGGCTTCACATTGAAGCCCAGCAACTCCACTTTTAGAGCAATACCATCTCTGGGGCCTGATTACATATGGCACACCATCCCCTCAGCTTCCAAAGTATGGACCGGTGATTGTTTCTGTGGAACTTGCAAATGCATCGCGAGCATGGCTGGTGTGAGGACAGGGACTCTTGAAATTGAAGCACGAACAAACAGAGAGTTCCTTCACGGAAACCTGGGCTGCAAGGAGCAACACTTGTATGTGGATCAACCATGTGCATGGCCGCCAACTTGGCGCCAAAAATGCTGAACCAATCATGGAAGCTGACGATCTGCAGATTTCAAAGGAAAAACCTGGATCTTTAAAAAGGCCGGTGCAACTCCATGTTGCGTTCGGCAATCATTTCAAGCCCTAATTCATTTGGAAAAAAATGCCCTTCCAAAGCGCAAAGCGACACTGACTTGAAGTAGAGGCTCCCTGCCCCCAGCCAACACAAACTGGCCAAGAAAAATAAACCGCCCCCCTTGTTTGCTCGGCGCAAAGGGGCGCCCTTGAGCCATACACGCGAAGCTTGCCAAAAAGACACCAACGGGTGATAAATCAAGTAAATCAAATCATGCATAGCAATCCAAACGGCAACGGCTAACTTGTGTTGTGAAGGATGGCGGTCTTTCAAGGTCCTTAAGAGAGCCCACCTCCCCCCTCCCTTCCGCTCCCCTGTCCTCCCTTCCCCTTCCCCTCCCTTCCCTCCCCTCCCCTCCCCTCCCTGCTGGTCCAGGCGCAGGTCTTCACCCCGCTGCCTGCCTCCACCGGCGCCGAGAAGTGCACGTCGATGCCTGCGGGCCTATCGGGGAGCCGAGTCGCCGAGTCGCCGGATGCACCGGCGAAAGGAAGCACCGGGCTTTGGGTTTGGCCTCCAAATGGTAGGTGTGTCTCTAATATAAGTTGGGGAATCCTTGAAAGGGGGGGGCGGTCCCTTTGGTCTCTGTTGGTTCCCTCTTTTTTACAACCAGCGTCGTCTCTTGGGCTTCATTTGGGATCATTTGGGCAAGGGCTTGAAGGCTGTCATGGCTACCCGGTGGGCGGCTCATAGATCTTGACCTGCATCTTAGCCAACTTTCGATCTCTCGCACAAAGAGCGACCTGATGACCTGACTATTGCCAACCGACAAGTCTGCACCAAGCCAAAAGCGCGCCCGGGGCTTTTCTCAGGAACTCGCACAAACTACTGCCTGCGGGTAAAGCAAAAGCTGACCACCGTGGACTGCAAATTGCCTGGAAGCAACAAAGACAGGCAAGCTAGCAAGAAACGGAAGCAAGCAAGACACACGCAAGCAATCTAGCAAGCAAGCAAGCAAGCAAGCAAGCAAGCAAGCAAGCAAGCAAGCAAGCAAGCAAGCAAGCAAGCAAGCAAGCAAGCAAGCAAGCAAGCAAGCCAGCAAGCCAGCAAGCCAGCAAGCCAGCAAGCCAGCAAGCCAGCAAGCCAGCAAGCCAGCAAGCCAGCCAGCCAGCAAGCCAGCAAGCCAGCAAGCCAGCAAGCAAGCAAGCAAACAAGCAAGCAAGCAAGCAAACCAAGCAAGCAAGAAAATCAAGTAAGCAAGAAAATCAAGTAAGCAAGACAACCTGGAAACGCAAGAAAGCAAGCAGGCAGCCAGACAGGCAGGCAAGCAAAGCCAGAAAGCAAGGAAAGGGCAAGCCCGCAAGCCAGTAGGGCCAGCCAGCCGTCCTGCCAGAGAGCAAGCAACTCAACGCACACGCACATACATACAAACAATTGCGCACAACGCAACCATGTGGCAACCAGCCGGCCAGAAGTTGGTGTAACACGACAAGCGGAGAAGCAACGCAGACAGAAACAACCAGCCCATCATTGCCTGGATCTCGTTTTCTCAGCCCACGGTGATCCTGTTGGCACCCTCAACTTAAGCCTCTCTCTCCCTCTGGCGATCCAAGGCAAGTGCTCCAAACATGAGTGCGCGAAAATGCCATGAAAAATGGAAAGACGCACTCATGCCATGCGGATTTCATAGTCAAACATGTTCCGCGCCGAACCGCAACCCGCGCCTCAGGCTGATGAAGGTCTTCGACTTGATGATATGTCCCTGGCAAGCCATAGGAAGTTGCACCAAACGATCTTCGCGCCATGTGAGGTTTGCATTGAGTGCACCCACCCGAGGTATACTTGAAGCAATCAGGACAGCCCAATAGCACCCTTCAAGGACAGCAAGCTGACTGAATCTGCATCAGTGACGTAATCACATCGCTGCATTTTACACCCCCTGCGCACTCTCCAAGCAGCTGACTGGACACAACCAGACTGCGTTCTGCTCGGTACCTTGGTGATTCCTGCTTTAAGTTTGAATGTGCCAGGTGCATGCCACATACCACCTCCCAATACCGCACATAAATTGCAGCAACACGGGGTAGCACTCGGGTATCTGAAACGGGTGGCCAAACCTATGGTATTGGCTGTGCCTCATGCAATGGGCATGTGCCCTGCAATTTGACGAGTGCGCGGCACCCGCGCATGAACTCTTTCGCACTTGCAAAACAAATTCGAAATCACTTAAAGGGCGGGGTAGCTGCTTACACAGCGGCCACCGTGCTTTGCACAGCTGGCATGACGGAAACTTAGGCTCAGCACAACCTCTAGAAACAAACTTGCTGGGCATTTCCTGATGCCACGGCCGAGCCATCATGTACGCTAAACTGGCAATTTGAGCAATTGTGGGTTCAAGGCTGGACGCGCAACATGTTGAAGCGGGTGGGAAACCCACTTTTCACCAAGCAAGATCTTGCGGCTCGATTGTACAGTAAGCGAACTATGGAAATATGACACGCACACAAAACCATCCACTGTGTCAACTGAGCAGTTCCCTCAGAATCCATCTACGGTTGCCTCCTTTCAGAAAGCATCAGCGCCACGTCGCAAAAGAGGGGAGAACTTTTGATCCAACTCCTGTGTGCGTTGTGTATCTAATGTTCAAGGCTTTTTAAGCAGCCACTCTGCAATCTATTCTGCAGCCTCAGTGCTGGCCTGGTCCCAAACCATTTTGCAAACACGGAAAGGATGCCGCGATTCCTTCCCGGCCCCCTTGCCTCGCAGCTCTGCAGCAACGCGCCCGCGGGCACGCTACCTGGGGTCTTAACCCATCAGAAAACAGGAACGGCCATAGGAGCAGCCATGGACAATTTGCGACCGTTGTCCTGATGATTTTTCCCCACCCGACAGGAAGGGGTTGTAACGGTCGCAAGCTCGTGAGTGTGGAGGGTGGGGATTGCTCGAAGCGAAGTAATTTGTTGTTGTGATCTTGTCTTTTTGTTTGTGCGCGTTGTGTGGTGCATGTGGACGGAGTCGAGCCGATTTCTTGGCGCTCCTGTATCTTCCAACGAGCGTTATTTTCTGCTCAAGCTGCTATTTGATACGTTTTTTGTGCTTGCGAGTGTTTTTTGGGCAAACGAGCGATATTTAGTCTTCGAGCGTTAACTCAGCCAACTGGAAGGCTGCTTCGCAAAGGAATTGAGGCTCCGTTGGAGAACAGGTTGCGCAATGCGGTCAATGTTTTGAACCGAGCAGCAGCTTTCCTGAATGAAGCGGGCCAGGCCGCACAACGAGCGCACATTCCCGCTACAAAAGCGCAATTTCCCGCCACACGAGCCCACTTCAAAACGTGCTAGATTTGCCACGCTCGGTGCCCGCTGCAAATCTTGCACATGAGTAGCAGAAAGACTGAGCCCACACGCTGAACAGTTTCTTCTTTTCCGATATCCGATCCGAGCGAATTTTCTTGAACCGAGCGCTTTTCAGATAAACGCGCGGTGATCAGCACGAGCAGAAAATAACGCTCATCGGAAGATTGAGGCTTGTAAACAAATCGATGGCCTGTGGGCGCGGGGAGTCTCTCAAAGTCCAATGAAGTTTTGAGAGAATTCGTCCCAACGAATTCCGTTGAGCAAATTTGCGGGCTATGCAGTGAAGCTATGAATGAAACAGAGCAGCGGAGGAAGAAAAAAACATGCTACGTACGTTGATTTTGATTCACATTCCCGGTGCTAGTCGTGACTTTGCTTTCGTTCCAATTGCAGCAAGCCACTTTCAACCAAGTCGGCTAGCTTGGGCGATAGGTCACTGATCTTATGAATGCGGCACCTGTCCCTAAAGACAAACAGTTGACCAGAGGGTCGAGGCCAGAAGGAGTCATTTTGTAGGAGGGAGTCGGCATGATCGTTGTGTTTCTGCATCCATAGTTCAAGTGAAAGGTCGGGGGAAGCACCTAGTTACACCCATCATAGGGTTTCCCAGAATCTTCCTAGGCATTTCACTTCAAATTGCCCCAAGTGACTCTTTTCAACTTTTCAAACCACCCAACCCCCGTGGCATCCGTGTGCAACGCCCGCAAAAAGGACTCCGCCCGAACACCTGGCCCGGGTGCAGGTGGCGTTGGGCGCCAGGAACAGCTCCCCGGGGCCGCAGCTCTCGCCGTGGCAAAGCCCTCGCGGTCGCGAAAAGAACGCGGCCGGAAATACGCTCCCTCAGACTAACAGCAGGAAGCTCCCGGAAGGCCTCTGTAAATGGAACCAAGTCTTCCAAAGGGGTCCTGAAAGCTTTCCATGTTGGCCTGGGGGAGGGTATGTCTCTTTTTCGCCCAACAGCTGAAAGCTAACAACTTGTCCCAGATAGGCTCGATGGGGGTGGTTTGGGGCAGCTTTCAGGGAGGGTTCAAAAGGAGATTCGGGCCCAGGGGTGCCGGAGCTGTTGGGGACACCGGGCTTATTTTCCAGTGGGCTTAAGCAAATGGAAGATGAATGGAACTCTCATACCCCCCGCCCCGCTATGTAGACATGGATGGGTTGATCAAAAGGTCTGATGAGCATGGGATGACCATTGGATGGAGAACAAAAAGCTAGCCTGTCCTCAGATCCCCTGCTAAAATTCTAACTTTCCGTGGGTTAAATGCCCACTCAACCAAGAGTCTAAAAAGCTAAAGGGATGGTTGGGAACCACCAAGACCATTGGATGGAGACCAACAAAAATGACTGACTAAATCACCACATGGGAACTGAACATAGTCCAAAAAGAGGGCCCGAAATGGAATATTTGATCAACCCCCAAATGGATCAGGACCAGCACCCAACAAACGTTTTTTTTGTTCCGCAGCTGAGAGCTATGGATTTGGTCTCTGCCCAGATAGGCAACTTTGGGGTGGTTTTTTCCGGACAGATTTCAGGGGCCCCTGAAGCGTGTTGAAAAGATCCGATACCACCAGGGCTTGTTGTTCCGAGGCGTAACAAACGTCCATCTGAAGGTACTTCCGGGTTTAAAGAAAAAGTCAACGAGTTGGCATTTTTGCTGGGAGCTTGTATTGTTTGCGGGGCCAGTACTTTTACCCAACCTAACCTTCTGGGCGCTTCTCAAATTGGATCCTCTTGTTGGTTGGCATTTGGGTAAAAACTCGAGGGCAGCCCCTGAAAAGGGGGTAAATGATGTCCACCAAAGGGTCCCCCAGATCAAAAGACACACCCATCTAAAGGGACGCCAAAAGGTGACCACAGTTCTGAGAAACCTCCTAGTTTGGCAGGGTCCCAAGCGCAAAACGTGCCACCCAGCTGCCAGTCAGCGTTTGAACCCAACTGATTGCACGCTGTCAGTGCCAAAATCTGACGGTCTCGCCAGGCTGCTAGTGGACCCAGGTCGCTTGCGTTCCCCGCCAAGCCCGACAGATTCTATCAGGGATCTGTTTTTGTGATCCGAACCCCCCCAATCAAGATTTGGACTTGGCGTCAAGGAAGACCACCCTGGAAACCCGCCTTCACAGCGGAACCTTACACAATCTTACATACACCAGCAAGCTTCAAAACACCAAACCAACGTGGAGTCGCATCCGCGAGACACCCGACACCCCATCTGGGTGCATGATAGACATTCACCGACCGTGATCCAGCCAACAAATGTGCCCCGATGGCACGGTCGAAAACCATTGTAGGGGGGGGTGCCCAAGTGGTCAAACCCCGCGAAAGGGCCAAACCCCCCGCCTGTGTAGATGGATCTTGCCTCATGCCTGGGCGCGGGGCTTCCAAGCAGAGCGGAGTCGCAGCAGCTTTGGCCTCAATCCGGAGCCGTGACGTACATCGGACCCAAAGCAGCTCAGCAGCAAGGGGCTCGACTCAAGTCCAATTTGCTTCTCTATCTGGGGCTTGGCCAATCAACGCAGTGCTTCTTGCACCCGTGGGATGCAGTGTGTGTGTGTGTGTGTGTGTGTGTTGCACTTGTTGCGGGGCCAACAGGCCAACATACGAGTCCCGCTTCCGCTGCTTCCGGCACACCAAAGGGATGCCCTTGGCACCCGCCAAGCCGCTGCTCAAATCCAGCGCCATGACTTGGCGAGCCTTGTCATGGAACCTGCGGAGGGGCTCGGGGCTCGCGCGCCCTGGAAATCAACAAAGCATCCAGCGCGCTTTCTGGAGCGGGCAAGACAACGGGTAAACTCTAAGAATAGTCCAGCCTGCGAACACTGCGCAAATGGGCTCCAGGTGAGCCTCTCCAATAACATACCGCTCCAATCTCATATATGCAGCTGCGTTTTGCACTTCAGCCTGGAGCGCAGTTCAATCTAAAGAATGCACTTTGGACTTGTTGGTGAGACGCGCTTCCCCGCTTCTCCTTGGATGAGTCACTTTCTTTGACTATGTTGCGCCTGTCTTCATTGGTTCCAATACTAGCCAAGCCCAGCGTAGCGCGCCTCACCACTAGGGTCAAATCCGTCTGGTTGTGCACGCGCAATGGCGCGGCCAGCAGCAGCAGCTTGTGCGAAGGCCGCGGTGACAGGATCTCCTGAGACCAGAAACTGAGCCAAATGCGACGAGTTCGTTGAGGTTAAACGGTTAGGCTACGGGAAAGCGATCCACCCCTTTGTTGGTCCGGCGGGGTCTTAACAGTAATACTCCGCCTGGGGTACCCTCAAAGACTCGCGGTCCCCTCAAAACCTCCCCCCCCCCCAAAAAAAAGGGCTCCTTTCACACAAGGAGTTGGAGGCTTTTGGTTTCCATTCATCCAACCCCCCCCCCCCCGCCCTCGACGTCGGGCCCCGTACCCTCCAAAGCCGCCCCGGCTCGAGCCGAGCGTCGGCCACGCAGCCCGCCGAGGCGGGCTCGGAGCGGCGGGTGCGGAGCAGCACGGCGCCGGAGCGCTCCAGGGAGAGCCACTCAGAGCTGTCCGCGCCCGGCACCTACGCTCACAGGGGGGGGGGGGTTTGCGAGGGGGGGGGGGGGGTCTGACCCAGTTGTTTGTTTGTTTGCTTGCTTGCTTGCTTGCTTGCTTGCTTGCTTGCTTGCTTGCTTGCTTGCTTGGTTGTTTGGTTGTTTGCTTGCTTGCTTGTTTGTTTGATTGCTTGCTTGTTTGTTTGATTGATTATTTGCTTGTTTGTTTGCTTGTTTGCTTGTTTGATTTAAAGTTTGCTTGTTTGCTTGTTTGCTTGTTTGGTTGTTTGGTTGTTTGTTGTTCTGTTTGGTTGCTTGCTTGCTTGCTTGCTTGCTTGCCTGCCTGCTTGCCTGCCTGCCTGCCTGCCTGCCAGCCAGCCTGCTTGCTTGCTTGTTTGTTTGTTTGTTTGTTTGTGTGTCTGTGTGTCTGTTTGTGTGTCTGTTTGTTTGTTTGTTTGTTTGTTTGTTTGTTTGTTTGTTTGTTTGTTTGTTTGTTTGTTTGTTTGTTTGTTTGTTTGTTTGTTTGTTTGTTTGTTTGTTTGTTTGTTTGTTTGTTTGTTTGTTTGTTTGTTTGTTTGTTTTGTTTGTTTGTTTGTTTGTTTGTTTGTTTGTTTGTTTGTTTGTTTGTTTGTTTGTTTGTTTGTTTGTTTGTTTGTTTGTTTGTTTGTTTGTTTGTTTGTTTGTTTGTTTGTTTGTTTGTTTGTTTGTTTGTTTGTTTGTTTTTTGGTTGTTTGTTTGACTGATTGACTGATTGACTGATTGACTGATTGATTGATTGATTGACTGATTGACTGATTGACTGATTGACTGATTAATTGATTGATTGATTGATTGATTGATTGATCGATCGATCGATCGATCGATTGATTGATTGATTGATTGATTGTGTTTGTTTGTTTGATTGTTTGTTTGTTTGTTTGGTTGCTTCTTTCTTTGTTTGTTGGTTTGTTGACTTGTTGTGTTTTTGCTGTTTGGGGGGGGGCGAAATCAAGTCTTCATACAAGGCCCGGATTCTTTTTTGTTTGAGGGAAGGGAGACTAAAATCAAAGCTTTGCATGGAAAGGCTCGGAAGGAACCTGATAAATTTCAGACCCCTTCTGTTTCTTGCAAAAGCCCGGGGCATCCGAAGGTCACGAGAGAGGTCCAACATGGAAAGTACCTTGAGGCTGGATGGAGAAAAGCCGCAATTCCCGGAGCCCGGCCAGGGAGTGATCTATGGGCTCCGCGCCGGCCGCCTCTCGCTACCTCTTCTGTTTTGTGTCCCACTCGAACCCATCGGATGGCCCGCATCAAAATTGCGAGAAGAGGATTGAGCTTTCAACCCTGGAAGAGGCAGAAAAGGCGGTTGATCGAAAGGTCCGATCAGCGTCATCAGGGAAAACATCAAGAAGGAATCACCACTAAATGGGGAAAAGTTACCCATAACTTTGGGGCCTGGAATGCCACTAAAATATATAATGGGGGAAGTTACCCATAAATTTTGAGCCTGGAATTTTGATCAACCCCCATATGTCTCACTTCGGTCGCCATGGCTTGCTTCCTCCCACGCCAGACTTCGGCGAAGCGAAGGCCTGGGCAGTGAGCGCCGTGACGAAGTGCGGCAGCACCTTGTCGTCCAAGCCTGGGACCCCATATCAACGTGGAATCCATAGCTGGACATCTTGTACATGGGAATCTGTCTACCATGGTGGAATATCCCCCATTCAAAATATGTGCACATCCGACCGCTATGTGGACCAAGGTGTTGCCCTTGTGCCAGCCAAGGCGGAATGGATCAGTCCAGCAAATTATCCACTAAACGCGTTTCTTTCGACTTCACACCTAGCTCGGAAGGCTCTTTCTCGCACCCTTGCCCCCCCAATCATAACTTGAAAGCTGGCACTCCGGTGCAACAACACCCCAGACCCCAGATTTTCGACCCCAGAGACCCCAGACCGACCCCCAGACCCCTGACGAGACCCCCCAACTGAACTCCCGGCCGAAGGCCCACCTCAGTTGCCCCTTAGGGACCCAGAAACAAAAGGTTCACCTTTTGGGACCTTTACAAAAAAAAAAAAAAAACGACACCAAACTAAAACCAAAAGGTTAAAAGGTCAGCGTTGGGCAACTGAGCCAGAGCCCCCAAAGGTGCGAAGCCTTGAACCGTCAGCCGCAAGGTAAGCGCCGAAGGGCTCTTCCAGTCCGAGCCCGTGGGCTTCATCAGGCTGCTCAGGTTCTTGGCGTAGCGGCTCCTCGGGGAGCCGACGTCGGACGTGGCTCCCCAAAGTGGAGAAGCGGGCGATGTCCGGTATGGAGGCCGGATTCCACTCTTCCATTCAGCTTTTTCGCCCCTGGAGGAAAAAACACTTCCCAGTAGCGATAGATTTCCCCTTGAAAATGATGTCGACCTTGTCATGTCAGCAAACTGGGCTCCACTTCAGCGTTTTCTCGCCCAGGGCGCCTGAACCGCAGCTCGATGCTGGAGCCGCACCTGGGCCATGGATTGATTTGATGCGGCTTTTGGGGGGTTTTTCAAATTGCAGGATGCATCCCCTACCTTAAGGCCTTAAGAGGGAGGGAGGGAGGGAAGGAGGGAGGGGGGAGGGAAGGAGGGAGGGGAGGGAAGGAGGGAGGGAGGGGAGGGAAGGAGGGAGGGAGGGAGGGAGGGGGCATCCCCCATTTCATTAATCGAGTTTTCCCCCAAAAAAAGGCAGGGGGGTGGGGATCATGACGTGAATGGTAGGTTGATCATGTTCCAGTATGGTGTATCTTTGAGGGGTACGTTAGGAAGGCCCAGTGCCATGCCAAAGAAGCAGACCTATCAAATACCTTCGGCCCCAATAGCTTGCTAAGCGCTAGTCGCATGCAGTAACTGCGCGGTCATGTCCGGGTCCTTCTGAGACACGCTTTTCTTGGAGATTTGCAACGCAACCTAGATATCTCTTGCACAATTCGCTGTTTGAGGTGGTAAGTCTTAGCGGGATGTGCCACTAAACAGATCTGGTTACCTACCTAACACTGGTGGAGTCATGCGCCCCCCCAAACTTTGACACCATGCGAGGGAGACGTGCAAAATTCATGACGCCAAGGCACAGGTTCACGACTCGGTACTTGTGGCCCTGCCCTCTGTCCTGGCTGAAACTTTCACCCAAAAAAGCGTAGACTTCAGTCCACGCAGATCATCACCCGGTATTCATAGGGTTCCATGCATACCAACTGGTGCCTGTCGTGGATGGTGTCTATCCACAGTAGGACTTGCTCCCAAGATGCCCCAAGTTTACAAAGTCGGAAACCTTCCGGTGGCAGGCGGGGAAGTCCTTGCTACCCACTCGGAGGCTTCAACAAAAATCCCCCTTTAAAGCACACACATGGGGTACCTGAACTTACGCATTCGCAGTCCCATTCTCTCGACCCAGCCCCCCTTCCAGTCCCAAGTCCCAACTGCCTGGTTTAACTCAATAAGTCGTCCCATAGTCAGAGTGATGGCCTACACTGCAGCTTGTCATCTCGTTCTCGTCCTTCTCAAGGCCTCATGGCCTTAAGCGAGTATCCTTTGATGGCAAGCCAATTGGAAACTCACCCTTGAAAAGGAGAGTGGGAAGGCCACCTCAAGGCAGGGGACAAAGAGGCGTCTGCTAGAGACAGAGTCAGAAACAAAGGGAGCTGGCTTGTCCGACAGGTGCCAAACTCACGCAATGAACACCCCCTGTGTAAGCCCCGGTCCTTCAAAGTCTGCCTGGCGCGCACGTCCTCTCCTACCAGTGAGGATGAGGTGACGCTCTCAATGAAGAGCGGCATGATGTAGTGCAAGCGCTTCACCTAAGCATCCATCGTTTGCCGTTCATTGCCCACCCCCACCCACAGGCAAATCTGCTGAGCACCTCCTGCTCTGCAGCGCTTTGGTGAGTGTATGGCACATAATTATTGACCGTCGGCCTTTGGAGCCCAGAAGGGCGGCAAATGTGGGGCAAAATTGGCCAATCCCAGCTGGAGCTAAGAGTCGAAGGAACAACATATTAGGTATACATTGTATATATATATATATACGTGGATGCTTGTCTCCATTCTGATAGTTCTGTGTGGCTTCTTATTTATTGATATATTGTTCCACTTACTTTCTGCTCCTGTTGATGAGGTCAATGCTTGCAGTGGGCAGTTCGTGTCCGGGAGCCGGGACCCATTCCAAGCGGAAGCGGCGATGGAGGGCGTCACGTTCAGCAAAACGGGCTCGTGGCCGTTGATCACAACCTCAGGTCCGGTCCGGGCTATCAGGCTCATACTCACCTGCAAATGAACGTGGCACCCCAAAACAACCCCCCCGCCAAAAAAACACACAACAACATGAGAAGGTTTTTTGTTGTGGCTCCGTGTGAAATTGAAGGTACTGCCAAGGTGCCAAAGTTTCCCACTCCCTGCTTGACTTGCTTCCAATGGCCACCCGTGGCACTTTCAGCTTGAGCTTGAGGGCCGGGTCACTTTCTACCCGCTGAAGCACGACAGGCTGGAAGCAACTTGGCCTTACGGGTATGGGTGTCCTTTTGGGAACATAGACGGCCCTAGATTATGAAGGAGCCAGGTCAGCCAGGGACATGAGTTGTCCACCAAAACCACCAAACAGGACCTATGTTTACGCGGCATCTGGCTACAAGCTTCTGCGCCTCTCGGCAACCAGCACTGTGTCAATCCATTTCTTCGCCTTAAGCAGACTTCCCAGCATCGGTTGGGAAGCCCCACAGCTGCTCAAGCAATTGCAGTGAAGTCCCCTCACAACACCTAAAACCCGAAACTTGAGGGACCATCAGCATTGCATTGCAGCGCGGGGACTCCAAAAAGACACCTTCCCTGATGGGAAGTCCCCACTCTCCCCGACCACGTGTGGTGGACGCTAAGGGTGAGAGCGAACGTACCTTCGCATTGGAGAACCTCTTTCCATGGAATGATTCCTCTGTTCCTATGTCATCATGCCTATCAGTCTCTAACTTGTGTCATCTTGTCATCAACGTTCAAGTGTCGAAGCTCCCATATCCATATCTCACAGTATGCGGCTGGAAAGCCTTGATTGGAGCTCTTGGAAGCCAGGGCCTGGCAACTAGAAAAGGCTTTGTCTATCACCTCGGTACTGCCAAATGAGCGATGCCAATACAGGATACGCAACATGGCCCCTTCCGTTCATACCAACAATGCCCTCTTCTCGCCCTTGGCTCACTTCCTGGAACCTCCTTGTTTCCACCCCAACCCCCCGACCCACCAACCCCCCCCACCCAACCCCCACCCGCCCCCCCCCCCCCCAAACCCATCTGGGACCCGAGTCGAAGGGCGCGGGTGTCCCGGTCCAGGTCGATGGCCCGGCGCTCCACCTCCAGGCCCAGGCGGAAGCGCTCCAGGCAGGGCTCCCACAGCCCGCTCTTCGGGTTCAGCGACTGCCTCAACTCATCTTACCCTCTTACCCCGTTTGGAGGGGAGAGGGGTGTTTTTCTGCACGGAAAGTGGTCAAAGGACACTTAGCCCCCTGAAAACAGGTCCGAAAGTGCCCTTCGGGGCGGAAACAAAGGGTACCAGGTCTCATGGTTGCAAGATCGCCGGCTCAAAATTGTTCAGTGGCCCTTGCCAATTCCCGTGGATATACAAGAGCTCTAGGGTGTCCAGCCGAGACCGACCAAGCGAGGACCTGGCATCACCTCACCAAAGCAGACCAACCGACTGCCTGGACCCCACAAGCGCGACGCCAGGCTCCAAAGCCGTGCGCGCCAGGCGCGTTTCGGCCGGCCCAGGACTCGGTTGCCGCGTCCGAGATGGATCCAGAGCCGTGACTTGGAAGCCCAGTGTTCAGCACGGGCGCGCCGTCCAGATCATTGAGAGCCCAAAAGTCGCAAGGCCCGGTGTGCTGGCTGTTCGCAAATACCATGAAACCCGAAAGCCCAAAGCAAGTCAAAGCAAGTCGTCATGCTTTGCGGCACCCTCACTTAGGATGTTCAGAAGTCAAGATGTGAAGAGGTTGCGAAAATTTGCTGTTCAACGCCGGCATGCTAACTATTTTCAATGCGGAAGCTTCCACCGTGCTGGGTGGCCAGTTTGCTTGACAAAGTCCATTGCACCTCCGGAGAGCGTGCGCCTCACGCAGGAATACGCGTGCAGCCGCTGAAGCTATTCTGAGACGCAAAACCCGGATGAGGAAGATCAACCGCTTAGACTTCTTCTGTTTTGGTAAATGACTCACACTTCAAGCTGATACTCAGCCGCTACCAGCCCATGTTGTTGGATCTTGGGTCTACAAACGGTGTCCTTGCAAGAGCTTCCCTGGTCCCTCGAAGAACCGCAGTGCCCGGATGAAGAGTAGGCGTCAAAGCTGCTTTGGTTCCATTTTGGTTTGAATGAGTTTCTTTGCAGCCGCAGACCGGCCAGCAGCATTGCAGCAGCATGCTTCAGGCCAAAAGAAACCGAATTGACTTGTTGGTGCCAGTGTGGTTGCAGGCCAGTAAATCACAACCAAGTTTCTAGCAAAGTAATTTGGAGGGTACCTATGTTTTGCGGCTTTAACATGAAGGAACCGCCAAAAGGAAAACCGAAGCCCGCCTTGGGGTCCCTTAAAAACACACACACACACACACACACACACACACACACACACACACACACACACACACACACACCCACCCACCCACCCACCCACCCACCCACCCACCCACCCACCCCACCACCACCACCACCCCACCCACCCACCCACCCACCCACCCACCCACGCACCCACCCACCCACCCACGCACGCACGCACGCAGCACGCACGCACGCACGCACGCACGCACGCACGCACGACGCACGCCGCACGCGCGCCAGCACACGCACGCACGCACGCAGCTCGCACGCACGCACGCACGCACGCACGCACGCACGCACGCACGCAGCACGCACGCAACGCACGCACGCACGCCCGCACGCACGCACGCACGCACGCACGCCCGCGCCGCGCGCGCGCGCGCGAGCGCGCGCGCGCTTGCGGCCGCCGCCCGCCCGCTCCGCCCGCCCGCCGCCGCCCGCGCCGCCCGCCCGCCCGCCCGCCCGCCGCCGCCCCGCCCGCACCGCCCGCCGCCCGCCCGCCCGTCCGCCCGCGCCGCCCGCACGCCCGCCCGCCCGCACGCACGCACGCACGCACGCACGCACGCACGCACGCACGCACGCACGCACGCACGCACGCACGCACGCACGCACGCACGCACGCACGCACGCACGCACGCACGCACGCACGCACGCACGCACGCACGCACGCACGCACGCACGCACGCACGCACGCACGCACGCACGCACGCACGCACGCACGCACGCACGCACGCACGCACGCACGCACGCACGCACGCACGCACGCACGCACGCACGCACGCACGCACGCACGCACGCACGCACGCACGCACGCACGCACGCACGCACGCACGCACGCACGCACGCACGCACGCACGCACGCACGCACGCACGCACGCACGCACGCACGCACGCACGCACGCACGCACGCACGCACGCACGCACGCACGCACGCACGCACGCACGCACGCACGCACGCACGCACGCACGCACGCACGCACGCACGCACGCATGCGCACACACAGACAGGGACACGCCCACGCACACGCACACCCGCACACACACACACACACACGCACAAACCCATATGCCTGACAGCCGTAAAGTAAGATTGGACACCATCAGAGCTTGCCTAGATTCGCGAAGCCAGTCTTGGGAAGCCACTTGGCGGTTGCATGTTTACACCTAGACCCTCCAGGTGTGCATTTTTTCTGCTGTTTGCTGAAAAAGCTATATATTGTGTCGTTTGCTCCAAAAAGAGCCTTTTCCTTTTAAAAGTGCTGCTCCAAAATCTTGCCAAAACGTGGTCGGCAAATGTCGCTTTTTGGTCGGGGAATGTCGCCTTTGGGTCGGGCAATGTCGCCTTTTCGTCTTCATCCTGGTTTCGCAAAACAGCAAAATATGCAAAACTGCGCTGAGGCAAAAAAATGTGTCGTTTGCACCAAAAGGAGCCTTTGGCCCAAACAGCACAAAAAAGGCATACTTAGGAGGGCCCAGGTATGTTGCTTCTCCAACCACTTTGGAGGGTTTTCCCTAAAGCCTATGGTCCAACGCCAATGTGTTTTTACTCGTGGCTAGCCTCTGTGAACCAGTGCCATCGTGGCTCCTTGATTCAAATTCGCTGCCAGGGGGCACTTCCAAAGCGGCGTTCCGGACGAGCATCGTCAGAATGTTGGGCTCCTCGCGAAGCTAACGAAGGCTGAAGATGCGCGCGTTGAAAATCCAATCAAATTGGCCAAGACAGATGAGCCCAATAGAGGATCCCTAGGCCAGGTCAGATGAAAGCGGCTCCCCGGCCATGGAAAAAGCCCCTTGTGAATCGGCAACGTCGAGCATTCTAAGCACTTGATCACTTCATGGGCATTCACAACCATTGGGCACAAAAACATTGGGTCGTTAACCCTCAACATTTGGGGGTTCATCAAAATTCCTGGCCCCAATATGACCATGGGTAACTCTTCCCAGTGAAAGTCATCTTTTCTGGTGGTCTTGTAAAGTATTCCCATGGAGTGGTGACTTTTCTTGGTGTCCCGAATGGTCATCCCATGTTCATCGGGCCTTTTGATCAACCGCCCGCGCATTTCAAGGAACGCTCCTTCCATCGCCCCCCTCAGCTGCCAAAAGGACCTGGAACTAAAAGGTGAACCTTATGCGGGCCATGACTGCATATGGACCAAAATTGGAAAACCAAAACTTGGTTGCTGTCGACCCCCCTGCAAAAAGTTTAACTTCTTTGGGGTTTAGTGGAAACCCCTTGATTTCCCAAAAAGTTAAAGTCTAAACATCTAGTGAAGGAAAAAGGTCCCCTATTGGTCGATTCGCTTTGGGCAACTGAGTCCTTCTGCTTGTACAGCACCAGTCCCGGGCCAAGTTCTGCCCGCCACTTCAACACAGGCACGATGGAGTCCGCCAAGACCATGTCCACCGCTCCCAGCATGACCTACCCAGGGTTACCGCAGCCGCGCAGCCGGGCTTAGGCGCTGGGTCTGCTCTAAAACGCTTGGCTTGAAAAGCCGCAAATGGGCGATGTTTTTTTTTGATGGTACCCTTTTTGGGCTTGGTTTCAAGGACAACCAACAAATTTGGGGGGTCTGCTTGTAGGCATTGCCATATTCTAGATTGGCTTGGAGTGGCATGTTCCCACCAATCTGCAAACGTTTCAAGGGACAAGCAGCAGAGCACGTAAGGCCTGATTCAAGGTGAGTTGGCTTTTGAAGCAAGTTCATCAAAAATGATCATAGCCCCAACGCTGGCTGCTTCTGAAAAAGATTGCACAAGTGAACTGCAGAGCAATTCGAAAACCTTGCTACCTTCGAATTTGAATATTGCGTGCTCTGGCCGTCTGACACCCAGCGAAGAAGGCAGTCGATTGAACATGACTCCAGCCCGGCCAAGGAATCCAACTCCCTTCTTCTCGTGCTCCCCTCTGCCTGGGGCAGCTTGAGGCATGAATTCAATTTCAGGCCTCAACCCCCCTTCCCCCCCCTCATCGTCCCCGCAGAGCCACTGAGAGGTTGAAGATGAACTGCTTCGAGCGCACCTGCTCCATGTGCTGCCTGAGTGACTGAGGCAGGCAGAGGCGCATAATGGCGCTTGTTCTTGGTTTGGGGCTACAGACCCCGAAGCTGAAACATGATGAAACTCTAGGGTTTAATTCCTTTTCCATTCTTTTCAACCATCGTTCTTTTCAAAAACCGGATCTGTTTCCCCCGAGGTTTTGATGGCTTCCGGACCCCTAAAACCTGTGTGCTGATCTATGACTGGCTTGTTCTCAGCAGTGAATGAGAAATGGAGAAAAAACTCCTATGGACCATCTAACTGGTGGTTTCCTTTGAGGGAATCTCCAGGTCCATTCCCAAAACACACGGTCTACGTTCGCCTCCGGGACAAGGGCAACATGGCAAATGAAGACTTTGGTGCGCTGCCATGATAACTATGTGGGAAACCAACACAAACCTGCGACATCATCCGGCCATCATCCTATGAACAAGTTGTCCCACATGCGTTGCCCCCTGAAAGACTGCTAAGACACATTTGCAAGCGACCTGTAAAACACCTTAACTCCCTGGCACCGAGCACTGCTCCCCTGGCAAGCTGGCAATCAACCAACTATCGGTCATCTGATAATAGCAAAACGGCTGTGGGTGAAAACCCTGTACCCCTGGTGAAGATCAACATAGGTGGTACATGGGTGTTCATCCGCCCCAAAATGGAGGCATAGTTCTGACCCATGGCCAAACATCCAAAAATCCACAACTTGTGGTTTACCACTAAACCAAACTTCCCAACAAGCGACTCCAGTCCGCAACCAAAAACGTCAGGGAGCTGCGCTGAGCCCCGCGCGTGGCTGCCTCCACCAGGCTCTCGGCCTGGCCTTTTTGGCCCAAGACGTCCTCCAGCGACGTGGCGCGCCGCCCCAGGCGCTTCTCCGAGACCGCCGCCGCAACCTCGCGCAACGAGGCGCCATCGGCGGAAACCCGCCCCACCCATCGGGTGGAAAAAGCGGACGGAGTGCTCACAGGGAATCTCATGCGTGTGTGACAGTGTGTATCGTGTTCTGAGAGTATATAAACCCCGTTTTGTGGGTTTTTAACGAACACCAACAAAAACTGAAACAAAATGGGGAGGGTTCTGCGGTTCCTTTGAAAAAAAGGACACGCCCTCATGGGTTGTGAAAACGATTTCATGGGTTGTGGGAATGAACCGAATCAACCGCGAAGTTCCTTCGGACATCCTGGATTTTCCCATCTGACTGCCAGCCAATACTTTTCTGAGGGACTGGGTTTTCTAAATGTCAACAAGGTCTCTTACCACAGGATTCCTCTATGTAATCCTGGGTGCTCCGGAAATACATCCCATCTTGGTGTCCTTTGAAACCTAAACATCTGCTATTTCGCCCGGTTCGCTCCCTAAAATAATCCACGTCGCCACGCGCACCCCCGTCGCCGCGCATCCCGCGCATGCCTCCCTTTCGTCGTCCTCGGACTTCGCGGCGAAGACCTGGAAGCACCCGACTGCGGTTCTCGCGCTCAGGCAATCTGGGAATCACCGAGAAAAACCACCCAAGTGGTGGTTTCCTTTAAGGGGACCGGTTCATTCCAACAATGCCCTTGTCGCACCAGCAAGCATAGGACTCGGCTTCTTTGGATTTGACATGAAGTCCCCTTACCGATTCACCATGTCCTGAAAGGAATAAACACACCACCCCTTGAGGTCGTCTCAAACCAATGTAAAGGATGCAAAGGGCGAACGCACCGATGTATGGTTAGGACTGTCGCTACCAGACTTATCAAATATCACGCACACGGACTGAATCCGTCAGTGCAAGAAGGGATGTCTATGCGGTGATCGATTCCACAAGCAGAAGCAAGGGATCCCCAGCAAAACCTGTTTTTGCCCCAGGAAAGCTTCCTTTAAATCGGGAAATATCGGCGCACACGTAAAACGGCGGCATGATAGGCACGTGTTCTGGCACATTTCCCAGCCCCTGCGCAAAGCCGAAAGGTAGCCAACCCTGCTTGTTGGATAAAAGACCTTGCCTTGGGGGGGATTGCGGTGGCTGAAGGATTCCATTCCAGGCTGGAAACATCCTGGCTTTGCCACCCCTAGTTACTAGTCCCTGGTTAAACGCGTATATAAGCTCCCACCCCCTCCTTATATGCCAGGACTTCTTTACGTTGGCGGCGCCCGTCGGCCAGTTTTCAGGCGCCTGCGACGCCAGGCGCACGAAGCTCTGCCGCCGTCCCACGCCCGCGGCGGGGGCATCAGCCTCAGACACGTACCTGCGCTCGTGTCCACCCGGGGGTTTCACATGGTTTCAAAGTGGTGCAGGATTCCGTCCATCCACCGTTCACGTGGGCCACAATGTTTCCGGGCCCCATCATTCATTTCACGAAACTTTCGCACGAGCATTGATGTGCGGCTGTTTCGCAGTTGGCTAAGGCTGTCTGCAAAAGTTGCCAGTGGGGGGACACAGGGGTCGTGGGGGGTGAAACACAGAACCACCTACATAAGGTCAAGAAGCAGAATCCTCCACATTGGCTGACAGCAGCCGACAAAGGGGATGCCATCTTACCACACATGGGCCCATTTCCACTAAGATCCAAAGGGTATCGTTGGGTTGCGTGTTGGGTCCAGTCTCCCACCCTAATTACTGATTGTAGCCGACTGAACGTTCACCCCGGATTAATAAACCCCTGTTTATTGATATGTGGGTGTTCCCCTCCAAAAGTGATCAATCCCCACTAAAACCAGGGACACCACCATATTAATAAACAGGGGTCTATTAATCCGGGGTCAACATTATCTCCTAGCCGGTGCTTGCCAAAACCATGAATGTCGCCTGAGCGCGCGCTTAAACGTCATTTTTTAAGGCCCCACGAGAAACGACAAAGCTTCTGATGTGTGACCGACGCGCTGGTCCAAGCTGCATTACGTTCATGAGTCCCGTCGGAGTTGCGAGCCTCGGACGGATGCCTTCCGAGCTTTGCATAGGCAACTTGCCATGCTGCAAAACTGGACTGCAATGCTGCAAAACTCTGCCGGCAAGAGGGGGTAAACTTTTTTCTGGGTCAGACTTTATAGGCCCTGAGCCAAACGAACTGGCTGGGAACAAGAGGTTGGAAAGGGGGTAGGTAAGCGCTGGGGGGCAACCAAACGGAACTTGGAAATTCAAGGATGCTAGGTGCGCACAACTAAGAACCTCATGGCCAGCATGATGAATCCTGTGAGATATATACATGCTTCATCATGCTTATAGCCATCCATCACTTTGCCGTCCCCCCCCCCCCAAAAAAAAAAAAAAAAACGGAACACAATGCAAGTCAATCACCTGCCAATGGTCCTCTTTGGCTTCCGACTGAGACAGACCGACAGTTCTTTGTTGCCCAGACAGCAGGTCGAAATTTTGAGGCTTTCCAAAGAAGTTTGAAATCTGGCGCTAAACTGGGATTTGGACCCGAAATGAGCAGCTGCCCTGCGGTTTCACCCCGAAAAGGGCAGTCAACAAAACCAGCCTCTCGCCTGCCAACCCGCGGCAGCCCAAAACTGAGCTAAACGGCCCCTTGTGACGTGGCGTTGAAAAAGGGGCAGAGGGGATATCCACACCTACCGGACACTCCAATGGTTTCCGAGTCCCGAAGTCCTAAAGCGACACGATCATGGGCACGTCTTCTTTTGAGTCCCCTTTGGTTTGCGCCGAAACCGAAAGGAAACCAACTCGTCCTCCAGGGTTCCGGAAACCATGTTAAGGCAAACCCATCTAAGCCTCCACCTGCACGAGCCGAGCAGCAGGATCTGCAGCGCTTGTGGGGCCAAGGACAGGCGCACCTCCTGAAGCTGCAGCGGTTGAAGCTCAATCTGTTCCAAACCAAATGCGGCCTTCAAGATGTCCAACCTAAAATCACATGTTCCAATGGGGGGAGGTATCTAGGTTGAAAAAAAAAGAAGTGACTTTCCATGTGGTTGCCTCAAAAACCACCCCAGGAAGGAAAAAAGGGTAGCCTGAAAAACCAAACACCGACATAGTTGGCACCCGCACATCTGCGGGCAAACAAGTGGAACATCACGAGCCGCAACATGACCCATCACCTCTGAAACCACCGCTTGCTTGGGTGGGATGTCTTGTTTCAGGTCAATGCTCTGTGGATGGACCTCGGGAAGAATCGCCTGCGTGCTTTGACGCGGGTGCTCCCCGAAGCTAAAGAGCAGCCAGGAATGCGCAAGGATGTGCTAAGGCATTGCCGCTTGTGTGTCCCAGCCAGGCTCAACATAAAGCAGGAGCTTGACTTGGGGGGATCGCCCGAGAGTTCGTAGATCCGGAGCCGGACTGAGCATGCAAATCTTCGCCAAAGTTCCGAAACTCGCGTGCTCTTGCGTTGACAATGCCCACAAGAGAGACGCCACCGCTACCAGCTTCACCGAGACCCAGCTTCAAAGCCATGGCTTGGGCATGCTTCAAAGCCATCGATCCCGCGGACCCCCCCCCCGGTCTGCTCCTCTGCTGCAATGTGAACGCTGAGCGCGTTCTTATCCTCGTCCCCCCTGGCATGGGATACCCAACGCTCCCATCACCCAGCACCAGGCCGGTCGAAGACTATGCCCAGGGAAGCTTCAAGCAGAAAGAGGAAGCAATCAACTCTTGTCACAACAAAACGGGCATGTCAGGTCCAGAGAGAATTTGCACCCACCTAGCATGGAACCTGGCAAAAGGCCCTTTCGATGCAACGCGGTCTACTGAAATTTGTTTCCCACCAAGGATAGCCCCAGGATAGAGCCAATCAAGTACTGAGGGTCAGATCCAGGTCAAACACATACATGAAGGTACATCCCCATGCCCAAATACCCTCCAAAAGAAGTTCTATGATACGTTTGCCTGGTTCCCATCCTCATTGGCTGCGCACCTAGCATCTCAAGACTATGTCCCTCTCACACGTTCTCGGCTTCCGACATGAGCCATCCCTACCGCTTCACCCAGCTTTCTCGCAGACTGCCCAACCTCCCCCTTCCAACGGATTCGCCCAGGGCCCGCGGTTTCCACCACACGCTTTCCAGCGCCTGTACTCGATCTGCACGTTGACGGGCACCGGCTGGATCATATCGAACTGCTCCATGCGCAGCGAGGTGGCCCGCAGCGTGGTGCGCGTCAGCTGCATGTCCAGGTCAATGCCTGGCTTCTACGCCCTCCGGGACGCGGTTCTCCGCCCGTTCCGGGCACCTTTGGCATACCGGGGGTCTGATTGAAGATGAAGCCTGAGGTAGGCTTGAAGCATCTTGAAACCTGGGGTGGTTGCCTTCTTGGCCGTGATCTCTGCAACATGAGTGGAGATCAGAACTGAGCCAATTCTTGGCACTTGGGATGCGCTTCTTGCTCGCAGGTGGCAGCCTGGGGTAACAATGCCGCCGCGAACTGAGGAGAAGCACTAAAACGGGGAACTTGACAATGCAAGACAAGGTTTGGCAAAGAGAACTTTGGATGCACCTGGTTTCATCTTCAGCCTTCACCAAGAGAAAGCCACTGTACGCGCGGAACTGCTGCTGCGGAAAGAATGTGAGCGCTTCAGAGCTGTGCAAGTTCTGACCTGAAGAAACGTGGCCTCAAGCAGAGGCTCCATCTTACATGGCTTGCTAGATGAACCATGCAATGGGTATTGGGATACCGCACTAGCCCGCTCCAACCAGCGAAGCTGCAGATTGCTCAAAGAGCTCCAGCACTGGCAACTGCCAAGAGTGGCTTTTTTGCCTGCTGGGCAGAACTGGGGAAAACTTGCCTCGGATCTTGGGAATAATCATGGGGAGGCAACCCAAAGAGCCCCCTAAATCCGAGCAAAGCATGCGGAGCCCAACAAGCACCGTGGGCATGGTCAGCTCAAGGCCTATCCTACACGCAACATTCGTAGGTAGCATCCCCATGCATCCCCCAGTGGTTAAGGAAGGGGTTGGCATATGGCATCATATGACTCAGCATGTAAAGAACATACCGGCAAAGGCCAAAGGCGAAATCTTCAAATGTCCCTTCTAGATCTTGTGCACCATGCACGCTTCAACCAGGCCGAGCTAAAAAGCAGAAACAGAAACCAACGGGCTGGGGACGCTGAAGACCCGGGGGCCAAGAATAATACAATACTCTGACCAAAATATTCTTGCTCGGCAACATGGAACTAGACGGCACCATTCCCGTTGACTAAACAGACTACGTAATGGGAATGAGAAAAATGATGCGGGAGAAGGTTGCGCCATCTTCTTTCAACTGAAGCTTACCTGTCGCTGCGACAAAGGCCTCATCCCGGATGCATGGGTACGGGTCAATCTGAAGGGGGCCGAGGTACCCCGAAAATGGGCGGCTTTCCTTTGGTCGACCTTCTTGAAAGCCTACGCATACACACTCAACAACAATCCCCCCTCCCCCCCCCCAAAAAAAACAAAACAAAATCCCCAAAGCCCCCCCAAAGCCCCCCCAAAGCCGAATGCGCCCCTCCCCCCAGACTGCGGGCCACGGGGCACTTGTACTCGCAGGGGCCTCGGGTCTGCAGGTGCAGCTGGCCCAAGCTGAAGATGGCGGTACCCAAGGCCACCGGCACGATGAGGATGGGCGAAGCGATCATGATCCTCACCCAACTCCGCAAATACAGGGCTTCCCATGGGTGGCTCGTCTTTTATTGAGTTGCTACCCAAATTCCTGGTAGTTACTTTTAAGAGGGAAACCACTAGGAAGAACAAAAACAAGGGGAAAAACACAAAATGTTGAAGGGTCCCCAAATCCATGAAAATCAAAAGCCCAGTTCCAGAGGAGACTCCCAAAATGGGAATCGGAGCCCTTGGATTTCATGCCGAGCAGAACAGTGATCAGGGGCCTTCTCAAAATGGTTCCACGCTTCCCTTCCAGGACTTAAATCAAATCAGGTCACCTAAATTGGTGGTACTTGTTGCTTGGTGTCCTGAACAAAACCCACCAAAAAGGTTTCCAGGGGTTATCCCAACAAGACAAACCCGTAATCCTTTCGGCAATTCCCTTGCGGGACTCTAATCAAATATAGGGGCGAAGGCCAACCAAATGGAGACTTCGCAAAGCCTCAAGACAGGTGCAACTCATCTGGGCTAATGGGAATTGTTCACGAGTGGATCACAGCAAGAGCAAGCACATCCGTAGATCATGCCAAGCTCATGTTGTTCGGCACTGGCTACTATTCGTGCAGTCTTGTCGACATATGCCCCAAACATAGGCCATCAAAAAAGAAACCCAACAACAAAAAAAAGGCGCCACTGCAAGCCCATAGGAGGGTCGGACGCACGAAGCCATTCGAGCTCATTACACCATGAGAGCCGGGGGGCCTAGGCTCAGCGACGTGACAAAGGCCCAAGGTCTGCAAACCTGTGTGAAACCTATAGTGCATCTATGTGTGCTTGGTGTCATGTTCTTTCGAGGGTGCCATTTTTGGATATTGCGACCGGAAAACCAGAAGGAACAAAACCGGCCATTTGGAAAAGGGGCTCCGATGTTTGAACTGGACGAAGCCGTCACGGGGGAATAGGGCCGACCCACCTGAGCAGGATTGAAGTAAATCTGGGCCTATTCCCCCTGAACCCATGTATCCAAACCTAGCCAACATGTTCACGGGCCATGGGTCAAAATCCCGTACCCCCAGTGAACATCCCAATCCCCACTAAAATAGGTTCTAAAATGGGTGGTGAATTCACCTACCAACCAAAATGGGATCGATACCAACACGGTTTTGACCACCACGGCCATGTATCCAAGGCTGGCTAACATCTTCAACGGCGGTTTTCCCCGGAAAATTTTCGGCCCGAGGCGCTCAAGCTGCAGCTTGTCGGGGATGCGCTCGTAGGCCGCCTGCGCCAGCTGCTTCGCCTGCTCCGCGTTCTTCTCCAGCCACTCCTCGGAGCTTTTTTTTTAAACTTTTTCTTTGTGGCGCTGAAAGGACCCATCCTTTTGGTGTACAAACTCCCAGGGAGCTGGCCTATTTTGAGCTGGCCTATTTTGTCTTCGGCCGGGATGTCCACTCACCCCAACTGGGGGGGGGGGTCTTGAGCAATGTGGCGGATTGGGTGCCTTTGGGGACTTCCCCTTGGGCTTTTGTTTGAAACCTCGCACAAAAGGGGACCCTCAAAAAGAGACACACACACACACAATCCCCAAGCCCAGCGAGAATTCTAGGCTGGAATTCTGGGGAAGAATTGTGGAGGCTCCTGCATCCTTCCCCATCTTTCCATACACTTCGGGTGGAAAGAATGCGTGGACGCTCCAACCAGGGTCACATCTCTGGGCTTACAGAAACTGGCATCCTCTTAAACCTGGATCAAGATACAAAGAGGAGTGGGTGGAGCTTCCCCTCCCGCCCCAATTAATGCAAGAGTCATAGTCAAAACCCATCAGTATTCAGTTGGCTGGCACCAATTGAAGCCGCACTTCATTCACGCATATGGCGCAACAAGATGCGAGACACCAATTGACAATTAGACGTGGAAACTGAGCATTGACAAAAGGTCTGACCGTCATACAATTTCTCGCGCAAACACTCATGACTGCCCGGACGAGTCTATCAGTATATTGTTCTACCCCGCGTCCAAACTCAATATGTTTGATCATGTTTCGATCTGCCAAAGGACCTGCATGCATCACACAAGCATCACCTGAGCTTGCAAGCTGCAAAGCTTTCAGGATGTGCCATCCAGCCAAGGAAGTGAGGATACGATCCTTCCGAAGTTTCGCGAACACTTGTCCATCCCGAGCCATGTCCAAGGAGTTTCATGCACACAGGGTGGATGAAACTGACCCGCCCCACCCCACTCTCACCCCACCCCACTCTCCCACCCAAGCCTACCCCACGTGAGTGTGGGTCAAACATGGGTACCTCAAATGGAACCCTAGTAAATGGCAGGGACTAAAACCTGCGGTCCCCTGGTGCTTTAATTTTGACCCATACCCACACAGGGATCCTTACATTATACACCTGAAAATTGGCTTGTAATTAAATAGTGGCTTCCCTTTATTTTGGCGGAAAAAGCCAGGTTTAATTTATGACCCATACCGACATGCAGGGCCACTCCTTGGCCAACTCCATCTGCTCTTCCATCTCCGCATCCGCCTCCTCCGGAGCGGCCGGCAGCGCGTGCGCTGTGTCTCCGCCCCCCTTCAAGGGCTCGCGCCAGAAGTCCAGCAACATCTCCACGATGCCCTCCAAGAGATTGATCCTGAAACATGACACCTGACATCTGGCTCTGCAAAACCCGGGACTTGACTGACTTGACCCGGACATTTATCTGAGCCCGGCAAAACAGAAACTAGGATTTGCAAAGGCGACTTTGGACATGCCGGCTGGCCAGCTGGACACCCTCGCAGCAGCATGGGCGCAAGCAAAGGTAAGGCGACCCGGGACCCAACAAGGAATCATGCAAAGCTACTCCAGTGAAAATGTTGTCACAAAAGCACACCAACAGGAACGCTTTCAAAAGCTTCCAAACGGAAGTTGACATATTGTGAGTCGCTGCTTACGCTAACCAGCCTCCCCCGCCCTTTCTTCAAGGGGGGAGGCACGGGTCCGGCCCAAATCACGTCATGGCACCTCCGTTCTACCCAAATTTGCCCAAGACAAACCGATGCTCTTTCATCTGGGTGTTTCTTTTGTTAGGAGACGCCCCTTTCCCGCCTCAGAATGGTGGTTTCCGTTTTGGTTTCCTTTCAACGCCCCACACCAACACCAGAATGGTGGTTTTCATCTCGGTTTCCCATTAAAAGCCACAACAACCCCGAGTCTCTCATCCTTCAAAGGGTTGGGTAAGAGGGAACCTCAGCAGGAAACCCGCTTATTTGGATTCTTTTTTGGGGCCATGTCCTGACAGCCTGTAGATCTCCCAGTCACCAAACCCTTTGAAGAGATTCCCTTCTCAGTTGCTTTCTGCTCCCCTGCTAAAAGTGAATAGCTTTGAATGGTTTAATTAATACCCCCATTTGTTGGCAAAAAGTGGTTCAGTCCTAAGACCCCTTGGCAAAATGAAACAAAGCCTTGCCGAGCGTCTGCAGGAAACCCGCGCAAATTGATTTTTGGGGGGCCATGTCGCTCCCCTGCTACATGTGAATAGCTTTGAGTGGTTTAATACGGAAAACCCCCATTCGTTGGCAAAAAGTGGTTCAGTCCTAAGACCCCTTGGCAAAATGCAACAAAGCCTTGCCGAGCGTCTGCAGGAAACCCGCGTAAATTGATTTTTGGGGGGGCCATGTCCTGTAGATCTTCCTGTCACCAAACCCTGTGAAGAGATTCCCTTCTCGGTTGCGTTCAGTTCCCCTGCTAAAAGTGAATAGCTTTGAGTGGTTTAATACGGAAAACCCACATTCGTTGGCAAAAAGTGGTTCAGTCCTAAGATCCCTTGGCAAAATGCAACAAAGCCTTGCCGAGCGTCTGCAGGAAACCCGCGTATATGGATTTTTTGGGGGGCCATGTCCTGTAGATCTTCCTGTCACCAAACCCTTTCAAGAGATTCCCTTCTCGGTTGCTTAAAAGCGAATAACTTTTAGTGGTTCGGTTTAATACTGAAAACCCGCATTCGTTGGAAAACAGTTGTTCAGTCCTAACATCCATCCAAGCAAAATGCAAAGCCTTGCCAAGCGTTTGGGGCCATGTCCTGTACATCTTCCTGTCACCAACCCCTCTGAAGAGCTTTTTTGGCCGAGCGTCTCAACGGGCATAAACTCGAAGGAGATGGCCAAAAGGTTTTGCTCCTTCTGCAGCTTGCTCTGGATATCAAAGCACGCCGCACCTGAGCCGCGAGTTCGCGATGCATCACCGGGTGTGGGCGCGGCTTTCTGCAGCCGAAAGGTGCTCCAGGAGCAGGGGCTGCAAACAAACAAACAAAAAACGGCCCACTGAACAAGAGAGAATGTGAGAGAAATCGCTCCGCCGCCAAATCAGACTCATGTTTCCAGTTCAGGGGTGTGGTGAGAGCAAAGCTTGAGCCTTTCCTGCAGGCCTTTCGCGGGTACAACTCAGCCAAACACCTCCGGAGCATCACCTCTTGGGTAGTCCGAACTCGGAACCGATGAGAACCTCATGCCGTGTTCCACTCGAACCCTCACAGGATTGACTGAGGAAAACCTGAAGCCATGCTTCAGACAAGCTCTGGACAAAACAAAAGCACGAGGCTCGGGTCCAAGCGGCTGCTACCATCGCCCAGCCACTGGGAGTGGTTGTTGTCGTCCGGCTTCAGCTGCATAAATGCCCGGGTCTTGTGCATGGCGTGGAAGGACTTCCTTAGTCTCCATCTGCATGTCAGCCAAGGGCCTGTTTCTGGGAACCCTCCGCCGACAGTCGCGCCTGCTTGGCAAATCCCATGATTGGCGCCGCAGGATCACATCATCTACCGCTCGTTCCGCTGCACGAAGCAACGAGTGCCAGTGGCACAACATTTTCGAGCGGATTTGGGACCCCTCGCCTTAGTAACATGCGCAAACACGCGTTCAGCCAAGGGCGCCCGCAGAAACAGCAAACAAGCCTGCAACAGCCTACTCGCGGAACAGACCATGGCAACTGTGCAATGTACCACGACCCTCACCTCAAAAAAAAAACGTGTCCTGCAGTTCTTACTTGGAAAGAAAAAAACCGAGGAACAGTGATAAATAAGCCTAGTGCACTGACGATAGCTCTTCTGAACCCAAGTGGAAGTGACTCTCGCCAGTGGAGCCTCGCCGAATCACACGCTGGGGCACGCCCATATTGCCAACATTTCTGACTAATGGCTAACATGCCATTCGATGGCTCACATTGCTCAGGGAGCCCAGCACAAGAAAACCATGACGCTATCTACTCGGCCCAACCGAGTAAGAGGGTTGCAACTCCGCTGATGTCGCTGGTCAATCGAAAGGGCATCTGAGTCTGAGATGTTGGGAACTCAGAACTGTGGTTGGCAATGCTGTTGGGCCCACCGGGCATGTGCATACTTTCAAATACCTTCGCGGTGAAACGTCACTCGGCGGCCAAATGCGCACATCAAGACTGAGAATGCAATAGAAGATCAACACACGGAAAACACATAATTACGAATCAAAGTGTTGAGGGTTAAGTGGCGAGGCGGGACTGACGCGGCTTCATATGCTATGTTGAACAGTTCCCCGCCGACAGAGCGACCAGGCGCCCATCTACATCACGGAATTCAGGCCGAAGCCCACCGACTCCTTCCCATCAAAAACGCTTTCCGTCGCCCTGCAAAGGTTGCTTCATCGGAACCACCACCCCTTTTGAGGTTCTGAAGTCAAACCACCAAAAAAGGTCCCCTGCTTCAAGGACCCCTTTTCAGGAGAGCAAAAGGACAGACCAACCCCCACCTCGCCGGTTTTTGGGTCATCAAGAAAACCGCCCCAGCTCGCCCTTTCAGACACCAAAACCGCGACCTGAAGCCTAAGGCTCAGGTCGATCTTGACGCCCCACTCCGCCGAGTCTTGGCCCCGGAAATCCGTGGCCATGCGCAGCTCCAGCTTGATCCCGGCCTCGCCTGAAGCTTTCCGAGCGACCAATTAATTCCGAGCTCAAGCGAAGCGAATGGGATGGAGAACTATTGAACTTGATATATTGAGTGATTTGTTGAAGGGTGGAAAAAAAGTGAAGAGGAGTGACACAAAATGAACTAAAGATTATATGAGACAACATAGAGACAACCGTAGTGACTCAAGTTGGAGAGTTGAAAAAGAATGGTTGGGGCACGTCAGCTCAAATCTAAGTCTCAGAGGTCTCCCCAGGCTTTGCGCCTCAGAAAGCCAAACGCGAATTGGCCAAGACCTGGGCGCAGGAGCTTCAGCCAAATGGCTGGCACTTGGACCTTCCAGGTGAGCTTCCACGCAAGGGATGCCCTACAAGAAGGCCGCACTTGGTGGCCCAATAAGAGTCCAAACTTGTTTTTGTGCCACCAAAAAGGGCCTTCCAAAGCCCAGGAACTCAGGAACGGTTGCCATCGCCAGGCCTCAGTGACACAGCTTGGGCCTGATTTCAGTTGGGTCGTTTTCGCGCGCCGAGCAGCGCAAGGCGACGCTCAGGAGCTGGCGCCGCACCTGGCACAGCCGGATCTGCCTGGTTCAGCTTCCCTCTAATTGGATCCCCTGGAAATTTAGGGGGTGGGGTTGGAACACCCATTCTATAGTAGCAGCAGCAGTGGTGGCAGTAGTAGTAGTAGCAGCAGCAGCATCAGTAGTAGTGGTAGAAGTGGTGGTGGTAGCGGTAGTGGTGGTAGTAGTAGTGGTAGCGGTGGTAGTGGTAGTGGTTGTATAAGACTGGGAGTTTACGAGAAACGTCTACAAAATGGTGGTTAACGGTTTGGATCCGACCCGGTGGAGTGGCAAAGGAACATTAACCCACAAGAACCAGGGGCTCAAATCCACATCCAAACCGCCAACCCCAAAACCTGAAATAAGACTTGGATCCCCAAGGTAAGGAACCCTGTGTTACCACCATATGCAGCTTGTCATGAAATTTGGCAGACCAATACACCCGGCAAGATATGAGAAAAGGAGAAATAACTCGATCCTTTCACGAATTTCCGCAATCGCTTCTTGCGAATCATGCTGCACTTTCGTGGGATCCAATGAGCCTTCTGGAAGGCAATGGTGTTTGTGCTCGTGGTGTTTGGTTTGTCAAAAGACATCCGCTCCAAGGCTCGTCTGAGTCCAACACCTGTTGGGACCTGTTCATGTCGGTACTCCCGTCCCAACGGCCTCGTCATGGTAGCGGTCGTCAATGAGGTCCAAGGCCATATGCCCCAAAACGAACTCGAAACTAAACTTCTTCGGGACGTCAACCTGCTCCACCTGCGCAAGGCTGAGATAGCGGCGAATGAAGCCGGGTGCAGGAGCCCCGGCGCTTTCCAGAAATGGACCGCACCTTGCGGCTACCCAATTCAATGCTCCTGCCTTTCATGTGGAAGGGTCGGAAGGGGCAAAGGGCGTCTGCATTCCGCGTGGGGTTCGTCTGGTTCCATGTTTTTCTGGTGAGAGGTGGGCCCTGGCCCTGGGCCAAGCATGGCGCCTGATGCCGGGGTTGGCGTGACAACATGCACATTGAACTGCGCCCCATTTTGGGGCACCTTGCCACCTACCAGCCCCAAATTCAATGCCAGTTTGAGCTCGTCAATGCTTGTGAGACACCCCGAAGACGTCCCTGGCTCTTTGCCTCTGTGCCTCATAGTGATTCTGCCAGATTGCTGTGTAACGGCAACTCAACGGGGCCGAAATCCAAAGAACCCCTGAGATACGTCATGGATAAGGTGCAGAAAGTTGGAGCTGCACCACAGAAGACACCAGTCAAAGCCACTAACGGAAAGACAGAAAACCCGCCAGTCACCTGGTGCCTTCACCCCTCGCCTTGCTCACATCTTTCAAGTCGTTCAGTAGCTGGTGCTTTTCCTCCGAGCTCAGGAACGTCTCTGCAGAGGGCGACTCCTCCTCGCGAACGCGCAGGCGTTACTGAACATTTGCGAGCAGGGGGGGGGGGGGGGTTGCCATGACATCAGATCTCAGCTTCAAGTTCAGGCGACTGCATATAATCCCCTTCTTACTAAAAAACGAAGGTCTCCCTGACAATATGTTTTTCCACCCAAGAAAAAGCCAGGTCTGGGAATACTAAACTTAGAATAGGCCAATTCTAAACGCGTGACCCAACTCGAGCCGGGCTAGGGGTCCCCTCCAATGCTTTCCATTCAGAAGCCACAAACAACAGAAGCCGAAACTGCTAGTTTTTTTTCTAATTGAATTCTTTGTGCAAATGGCATTTGGGGAGCTGTTGTTCGGCTTTCAAAAAGGCGCTCGCAAACCCTGGCGTCGCTGCCTTTGTGCTGCTGCCCGCGTGTCAAACAAGATTCAAGTGACACAGGCAGAACCCCCTCTTGTAGGCCTGGGAGCTCCAGGAAACCACTTCTGTTTTTTGGGAAGGACAGAAAGGTTTTTGAAAAATCGCCCGGTTCTTCGCGGGAAAGCCCCCGGTGTTTGGCAAAGCATACAAACGTACGGATGGTGTATGGGCTTTGTACGGGCTTGGTAGATGTAGTGTGTTTTTAAAGTACAACCAGGTTCTTGGTTGGAAAACGGTGTTTTTGGTAAGCAACAGGTTCAAAACCAGGTTCTTCGTTTGCATGTTCTTCTTTTTTAATTCTTGGCCTTGTTAGGGGCAAGCCAACAAAACAAAACACGGAACAACGAAACTGCCGTGCGCCGTGCGAACCATTGAAACCGCCGTCCTCATAGCCCCACAGCCGGCCAAAGAATCCCGCCGATGCCGTCTGCTTCTTCTTGGCTGCCCTCTGCCGGCGTGCCAGCTCTTCATTCAGCACCTGAAGTGGCATCTGCCGCTTAGGCGCCTGGACCTGATTTGGCCACAGGGGTCCTTCTCATGGGGGGGACACTTCAGGAAAGAGAATGCGGAATCAACCCCAAGACCGACCGCGCTCTTTCGCGGAGTGTTGCGGAAACCAAAAACACTTTCATAGCCCAGGGCGATCTGCGCAAACCAGCCACCCTGCCAATATCTGCCAATAGATTCCGCCAGCATAAATACCAGATGCAAAATTACCTCAAGCTACACGGTGGCAATCCCGACTGAAGAGAACCTTCACGCGTGCGAGGGACATCCGAGTCCCGAGCCACGACTCAAATCCGAACTCCGCATTCCGAACTCCGCGCCTCTGCCCGCCGTCCCACCTTGTAGCGGGCGCGCGCCAGCAGTCTGGCGGACAACGCAGCCTGGCAAGCCAGTCATCTTCCAAGTTGGCTGAGCATGGGACATGCACCTGCAGTACATGTCAAGCTCTTCACTGGTGTTGAGGGAAGTATGAGGCAGTAAGCTAGGCAACAACATACGATGCTTTCATGACCTTGTTGCTTCTCCAGACAAAAGGTCGTCCATGGATGCCACAGTAAGGATCGGCCAACGTATCCTCAGCAGAAGGCAAAACTGGGGAAGAAGCTACCGCCCACGAGTCATGGACGCAGATGTAGGTTCTGGGAACCATCACGGGAGCATGGGAGGTGGCTGGTTCCGGCAAATGTTCAGCCATGTCGGGTAGTGGTTTGCAAAAAGCCCCCAAAATACCAGAAACCTAAAACAAAGAGGTCAGAGTTGGGTCAAAGTTGAGCATCAAATGGCCTCCCACTAAGAATTCTGGCCTTCCTTCAGGCTGGGAGATTTGATCGTTTCTCCATTTCGCGAACCTTTTAAAATACGTTCCATTTTCGGGATTCTCTGTACTTTGAACATTCGGGAAAGCTGGATTTAGTAAAGGGTCAACAAAATAATTGTCAGTCGGCTTGAAGGGCTTAGGCTTGGTTTAGTATTGGTTTAGTATTCGGTTACTATTCTTAGTTTAGTATTGGCTTAGCATTAGAATTGCCAGGCCTGGAGATCAGTTTGGTCCCCGCCACCCGGACGGGAGGAAACACCTGTTCTGTCTTTCCCTCTTTCGGTTCAGAAAGAGGCGTAATTTTGGGCACACTCTTTTGTATTGCTTACCGATGAGGGGCCAAGTATGGGCATGTGCCAAAATAGAGACCTGCAAAATGGTGATTTAATTACCTCTTGTTTTCTCTTTCAACCACCCCAAACCCACACGCAAGTACTTTCCAACAAACACTTACACCATGGGACAATTCTCTGTCGGCAAATCAGGGGGATAACGACAAAATGAATATCAGGTGCTGTCTAACCTACTGTTAACTTCCATTTGCCTAAGCCCCGTAGATTCCCTAAAAAATCCCGCAAGGGAAAATAAAAGAAACAGTAGCAAATGGAGGGGAGGGGGGACCCACAATTTCATTTATCCAGTATTCCCCATACAAGGGAAGATGGACACCGTCAATTGTAATTTCAGGGGCAACGCCCCTCCCTCAATTCCATGTTTGAAGGTTTGATACTGTTATGAAATGATATGATGATTGATGAAAAACTTAGAAAAACATTTACCTATTTTTTCATCCCCCTCCCCCAATTCCATATTTAAGGAATGGTGTCACTCCAAAGCCATCCAGGTGCCTCCAGGATCTCTTTCCGTCGCTTCTCCTCCGAAGTCAGCTCATCGGCATTCTCGCCGACGCCGCCCGAGTGGAGCTCCTGACGGGAATAAGCCGCAAATGGGTACCCCCGTTTGGGGTTGGTTTTAAGGTATAAATCGGAAGGAACACCGAAATCTTGTGTTTTTTTTGGGGGGGGGCAGTCCCCTTATTCCTGCACAAACCCAATGACTTGAGACACTTGCAATTGGCATTTGCTCACGCATCTTTGAAGTTCATGTGGTTCAAGTTCAAGGGAGGCATAGCAAGTTGCATCCATGCGAGAGAGAGAGAGATATATATATATATGTCTAATATAAGTTTCAAATATGCATATATATATATATGTGTATATATACATACACGGTCGCCAACAGTCGAACAACATGTTGGGTTGCCAGGGGGGGGGGTTGCCCGGACCAAGTGACGGTCACTCTTGGACGTGGGTTGGGAATTGTGCGAATCCTACGCAAACAGCACTAAATTGTGGCTTCGGTGGGATCACAGGAAAGTCTGCAAATGTCCAACTTCGCGTGTTCGAATCTCAGATTCGAATACGCGGTGCTGGCAGGCGCAGCATTTTCATTTGCTCGAAGCAGGCTCGAGGACTGTGGCTGGCGCCAGGTGCAGACAAGTCATGAGCTGTGATGATAGCTCACTGGCAGAACTTCCGTTCCGGCTCGGCACCGAGAGCGCAGCGGAGACAAAGAGCAGCAAACGGGAAGGCAGCTCCTGCAAACGCAACCAGGCCCCCAAGCCCTCTTAGACAACAGGTGTCTAAAACCACCTGCGGCAAAGTGGCAGCGTGTCGGATAAGCAAATGGGACTGCGCAGTGGCGTAGAGCGCGCAGATAGCGGAGAAGCATGGAGAAGTCACATGGCGTGTAGGGCTGGAAGCATGGACCCGTATTCTTTCCATCCCCCCCCTCTATCCTCGACAGCGGCGAACACGCTGAGGATCGGCACGCACAGCAGCATGCAGTCCGGGCAAACCCCCCCCACCCCCCGTCAACTCAACATGTTGTTGCGAGCATGTTCCAGATTCTGGCAGCCCTGGCATGCATCCCTGAAACGAGTTGGCTAAAAAACACCTGACTTGCTGACGTATGCTTTATATTCCATGGACTCTGTGATCTTCACAAATGCCAGGGCGGACTTTCCTACTCCCCGCATCCCAATTGGTTGGCTGCTCCTGTGCCACAGACCGCTCGTAGAGCCTGCTGTACTCCTCGATGCTTTCAGCAGCATCCTGGCTATTGTCTCATGCCCTTTGGAGCCTACCACGAGAAATGGCAAGTCTAAACAAACAAACAGCAAAGCATGCGTCCTGACAATGGGTCAGGGCAATATGTGGACAGGGCGGGAATCGAAGGGGCCGGCATCGGCTGGTCCTTGTTGATCTCTCGCTGGTCCTCCTCTGGGACCAGCATCAACTGATACCGCCGGTTCTCCTCGTTCAGCTCGCCTTGGAGTGGCGTCTGAACATAGTACTGGCTTCCGGCAACCGAATCTGCCCCGCTAAGCACGCCTGCAGATCACTTTGCGCCAGGGCGTGCGCATGGCATGAGCAAGAGAAATGCTGCTCAAGCGTTCTTCCAACCGCGGAACAGCTGGACCGAGGCCATGTGGCGTTGAGCAAAGGCGAATCACCATCACAGGGGCCATCACACTTTCCGACCACCCGTGGATTATAATATTAATGAGTAGCTAAAATGAGGCGTGCACAGGCCAAAGCCCGTAGCATCCGAGCGTCTCTTCAGGCTGCGGAGGTGCTTCACCTGGCTGCGCCGCAGAAACAGCTCAGCCAGCTCCTCCGTGGCGACCATCAGCTTGATCTTCCTAGCCACCGTTCGGCTTCTCTTCCAAGGTGTAACCAGCTAATCTAAGGGTGCCCTTTGATTCTGTATGGCGCCGCCAACAATCCAATCATTCCCCTACATCAATCCCCGGGAATGAATAGGAATTTGGGTCTCACAGTGACCTATTTGAAAGTCCGGGTGTTTATTTGTGGGCAGCGTGCCCACACACACACACACCTGCCAAACGATAGGAGCACCCAATCGAGTGCACACAAGCCTGCCAAACAGTAAGAACACCCGTTCTCGTGCTCCCGCTTAGCACTGCACGCACGTCTGCACACGCCTGCCAAATGACAAGACCACCCGTTCAAGTCCCTCTCTGCACCGCACAACACGCCTGCCAAATGATACAAGCACCCGTTCCCTTATCATATTAGAGAAGGTTGCAGGCTTTGACGCTGAGGTTCAGGATGTTGCTGGCCGGCTCATGCGCCAGCTGCAAGTTCGCGCTGACCGGGCTCAGGACGTACTCGGCTTCCTATCGCGACCGCACGTCAACTCGGGCTTCCTGGAACAGGAGGGAAACCAATGCGAGGGCCCAAAGCAATCCAAGCATGGCAGGTAGGTTTTGTCCTGGTAGAGTCTGACCCAAGGGAGGAGCTAAAAAACCCAGGTTTCTGGGACGTTGATATGTAAGCCTCAAACCTGGCGAACGCAAGGCATGCAAGGTCTGGAGGTCACATGACACATGTGACATTCTATGCTAAAAGTAACATGATGACAATGAACTGCAAGTGGCTGGAAGTCTGAAACCCGGTTCACTGGCACAAACTCACACATTGCAATGACGAGCAACATGAGCAGCGCCCCCCGAACAGGAACTCACGGAAGGCAGGAAACATCCTGCCCACTTCAGCGCGGGAAGTCCAAACGACAAGAAGACCACCTTGCTAGTAGGGCTAAGCCCCTCAAAAACTACGCCTCCAAAAAACAAACCTAGGAATTCCTGGGAATGTGTAATGAAAAGAATTAACTTCCTGGCATCCACAAGTCATGAAGTGGATGGAGTTGCTAGTTTTGCTGTGCCAGCGATTTGCGCTGGCCTGTTCAAGCGCCACATTCCGGGCAATGATCCAGTGACTCACTCGCATCCTCCTGACCAAAGCCGAACCTGCCAACAACCCAAACGGGCAGGCAACCCCACGCTCCCCTAAGCCCTAAGGTCCTCCAGATCGTTGCTCCCAGCAGGAGACATGCCTCACTCCCGCCCACATTTGCATTGGACATGGTTGAAGCCAAAGACAGATTGCCTTTGCAAAGAGCAGAAAAAATCGGGCGGCGGGAGCCTGCTTTACTATGCAAAAGGCCTTGTCCACTGTCGTTATCTTGGTCTGCGCAGCGTGCAAAAACTGGAACACCCATGGGTCCCATAGTCAAACACGGTCGGCCTGGTGATGCGAAGGGAATGGCTGCCCCCACACTCAGCCAGCAAACGTGTTGTCATGTTTATTCCACTTCTGCGTGCTCACGAATCTGTCCGAGCAACGCTTCACCATACCACATGACATGACGTCATCTGACCATCGAGAGGATTTTTTGTGATGGGCTGCTTCGCGCAAGCCAAGCCACAAGTTTAGGAATTCGCTGACTGTGGCTCCAGCACCGGGGGGCAGGCAACAAGGCAGGATACACTGCACTAAATATACAAGTACCAGTTTTTTTACAGTCATATTCCTGCTAGTTTGGGTGGTTTGCAAGCTGGGGCCGGCTGCTTTCCCATTTTCCCTCTTATCAGAGCCAGGGGTTCTTTTACCCAAACCACCAACCCAAACCACCAATGCAAGGCTGCCTGATTGTCAGGCACTGGACAAAACACGACGAGGTCCTTCGAGCCAAGGGGCTCACGCTCAAGTCTTGCAACTGCAGGGTCTTGTACATCGACTGGCCTGGAGCAACTGCACCTGGCGCGACCAGATCTGCCAGAGCGGTTTATCCAGGTATTCGCTTCCTTGCACCCTGGGAATGATACCATTTCCACATGCTTCAGATTCAGATGGTTCAACGTCGGGCTCCTTTGAGCTTACCTTATTAGTTGGGTGGCTTGCTTTTTCCTTACGAATCGGACGCTCCAAAATGAAAAGGCCTTCTGCACTTTCCTTTTGGCCGCACTTCCAAACAATCAAACAACAAGCCTCAAAAAACGACCCCAATTGCGGGCCGAAGGTCTACGCATGCTCGCCCTCCCAAGCTATTTAGCCAACACGTGCACGCCAAGCATGTCAGCGCGGCCATCGGCGTCGTCGCGAGGGCGGAAGGTCTTGTCCGTGGACAGCACTGCTAGATTGGGCAAGTCCGCACAGCACGCGAGGCCGCTACTGATGAAAGCGACGTGCACTTCCTGCGAAGCAGCGGAGCTCCTGGATATCCCCACTTAGGATGCAGGGCATAACCTTGGTTACCACTGGGGGTACCTGGAGGTAGCTGCCTTACAAGCGGGTGCAACTTACTAAGTGGCATAGGTGTCCTTTTTGGGAAAATAGATGGCCCTGGTAGTTGATTGAACCACCAGGTAAACCAGGAAGCGGCCTCTTGTTTCAACCAGATCAACCAAAAAGGACACCTATGCTAAGTGGCCTGAACATCCACGCAAAGCATCGCAAGCAGCACAGCTCCATCGCCGGTGCCGCCCCACAGGACTGGTCAGGACAGCACTGAGGCCTTTCGGGCTTCTAGGTTTGGGTTTAGGGGGGGTTCGGGTTTCTTGGGTTTAGGTTTGGGATTGTCAAGTTTTAGGTTTAGGGTTTGTAGAGATAACGGTTAATTAGGATCTTCATTTGTTTTCAAGTTTTGTGGGTTTAGGTTTAGGTGTTTTAGGGTCTAAGTATTGAGATTTAGAAAAACAAGCTCGGGTTTGCAAGTTAGGAAACCGGGATCTTGGTCGGAGCTTACACCTCCGACCCCCAACTGTTTGTTTGAGTGCTTGACCCTTCAGCGTGCTTCAGCAATGATGAACCTTAGGTTCTGCAACGGCGGCCAGAGACAATATTTGTTTAAACGACAAATAAGGCATGACATCTGACACAATTGTCGCTGTTTTGCGGCCCGCATTCCGACTGCACAACTCCCGCGGCTCTGGGGCCCTCGGAAGAGAGCGGTCCAAATCCCCAAGTCAGAGGCCCTGCGCCGTAATTTTTGCACTTGCCAAGTCTGAACCCGTCCTCAGGGGTGTTGAAGCAAATCACATGGATTGGCCGTATATTGCAAAATCATCAAGTTCCTTAAAGTTGGACTGGCACTATCTATCTGTTTACCGTCTCAAGCAGCATGCTTTCGCGCTCGACCTTGGGAAGATGTTCCCTGTTCTCAACAAAAGGCCTTGCATGATTTTGCAAATGATGGCGACATGTTTGGTCTGTTGACCCACATAACGAGTGGAGAGGAAAGGTGAAGTCACTTCGGGGACTCAAAGTCCCAACCAGTTCTCTTGCAGGCGGGGCACACGAACCTGCAAAAAACCAACGCGAACGAAGAAAACACCGGCAGGCACGGCCCCTCAACGCCCGCGAGCGACGAGCCACGGCCCTCCTCCAAGACCACCGTGATGTTGTTGATGATCTTGCGCGCCAGGTTCATGCCCAGGCTCGCGTGGTCCAAGTTTTCGTCGTCATCCTTCCGGCCAACCGGAAGCTAAAAAGGCACGCACTTGGAACATGGAAAGCCTGCGGCGTTCTGTGCTTGTGGGTGTTTTGCATACTAAATGCATTTAGATGGGGAGTCAATGCCAACGATGACAATCTTGAACCAGCCATGCCGTTACTATCTGGTTGCCAGGCTGGTTGGCCCAACTACGGTGAGCACGCCCAAGTAGTACAAGTACCAGGTCAAGCCCTTTCAGCAGCTCCAGCCATACAGTTGGGCAAGTGACGAGGGTAATGCCAAGCCATTGAACACCAATAGCCATTTGGGTGAATGGAAGCGCTTGCTGATTCTGGATCATGGCCGGCCATAAAATGACATAGCCCATGGGCAAATACGTCATACAGGTGATATGACAATGCGTATTACATATGTATACTCAAAGCATGCACATTATAGTAATTTCTATACGTTGTGTGTATCTCTCGCTCTCTCTCTCTCTCTCTCTCTCTCTCTCTCTAAATCTGTCTACACATATGTATGTCATGCGTACGCATGCTCTCATATGAAGACATTTCATTGGCCGAATTATGTAGCCTGGCCGTTTTTGCCTGACAAGCCGATGTCACTGAGAGCCTGCATGATGGCTGAGACCGAACAGCCGGAGGCCAAACCGAGCTGTCCAAATCCATCATTTTGATGCGCAGAAATTTTGGCAGGCACTCTCGTGCGCCTCACTCGTCTGAATCAAACAGCTGAACAAAACCAAGTCGGAAACAGCAGGAACAGCCGCCTGTAACTGTCTACTGCATAGACTTCGCTGCCTCCCATTCTTGCGGGGCATGCTGGAAATCCAAAGGGCTCTTGGGTTCGCCCTGAATGGGGCATTCAGCACCTTTTCTTATCTTTTTTTCTGGGCCAGCCCCTGAGGGGGATCTGCAGCCAAGATGCGCCAGACTTGTCCACCAGGTCTGACAGCTGCTGCAGGCGAACATAAATGGCCTCTCGATGGTTCCCTCATTCATTGGCACAAATGGCCATGGGTCAAAATCCAAATCGCACCCCCAGTGAACATCCCAATCCAACCACTAGAATAGGTTCTAAAATGGGTGGACCTACCCCAAAATGGTAGGTTTTGACCCACAGCCAAATCTCTCTCATAGAAACCACTCGCAGTCCCATTTTCGGAGGAATGTACAGCCAAAAGAATTTGGGTGTGTCCTTTGAAGCTCATGTTGGGTGGTTTTAAAGGGACACCAAAAGGACAACCAATCATTTCTGCGGGGGTCAAAAAAAGGAAGAGCCACGGCGACTGCTCCCAAGGCAACTTCCTATGCCCTCTCACAGGTCCTTGCTTTGATGGGGATTTGGCTGTGGGTCAAAACCAATGGTACCATGTCGGGGTAGGTGCACCACCCATTTTAGAACCTATTTTAGTGGGGGTTGGGATGTTCCAATTGGGGGTACGATTTGGATTTTGACCCATGGCCATTTGTTTTCAGCGTTTTCTTTGTTTACGCAAGCCGTCCGATCTCAAGTAGAAATGACACAGCTCGCGACAAGCGGCTACGAGCAGTGGCCCCCAATTTGGGGTTGGGGGCAATTCCCTTTTGGAGCCTTTCAAAAAGTTAGACGGTAAGATCCGCTTGACTTGTAGCGCCAAAGAAATAGAGGATTCTTTTTCGGCCCAACTTGGATATGACAAACCCTTGTTGCACTTGCTGCGAGTGCAACTAGTTGAGCGCAGAGGCAGGCGAGAGTAGCTCTATATCAAGTTGCTCGGCTCATGCATCCAGAGCTCCCCCAACCCATTGAGTACTCAAACCGACAACTTGACGAATTCCAGACCCATGCCCACGCATTGTTTCGCCGCGCTTCCCTGTACCCGCCCTCTTGCCCGAAGAGGCCTTCTCTTTGGCGGCTTTCATCTCTGCAATCAGATCCTCCTGCGGACACTCTCCATGCTACTGGACCTCAAGGGGACTTTCCATAAGTGACCTACTCAACACAATAGAGCCAACAACGGCCGTGTTGTGCCATAAACATCTTCTCTTGTCAAAACGCTTGCGCCAATCACCCACCGTCTTCCCCAAAAACAAGTAACCACCCCCAATCAACATGGAACTGAAGAGAGGGGTCCTGGAAGACCATTTTCCTTGTAAAGGAACACCTGTTCCATGTGGCTTTGGCTAAAAAAAGAGATACCAAAATGGGTTGCCAGGTAAGTGAAAACATGGAGCAGAACTTGCGGTCTGCCCCTCCTGTTTCATTTCGAGCCATCCCCAAACGTAGGCATCATGTTAATTTAACATGATACCTACGTTCGGAGTTTCATGGGGTTTCATTTAGAAGGAACATGGTCTTCCAGGGACCCCTTCGTCAAGTTCCATGAATTACTTGGGGGGGTTCCAAATTGGGGGGTGGGGTGCGCGAGGGTCACCTCCCTAAACACCCTGGCCCTGGCTTCCGCTTCCGCTGCTTCCCTTCCGCTTCCTGGGACTTGCCCTGGGCGCTGTCCGCCAGGCTCTCCACCTCCAAGCGCAACTTCTTCACCGAGGCCTTCACCTTCCCTGACGCTCGGCCGACGAAGGCGCGCGCGCGTTATCGCGCATTCATCGGCCATGGGCGATCCCCAAAAAAAAACGAGGAAACGGAGGCGAGAAGGCCAACAGGAGCCACAAGATCAAGTCTGGCGCCCAGTCTGGCCCAGTTTTTTCATCGGCAGCTCGCCCCCCAAAACAAAACAAAACAACGGGGCGCAGAAGGCCAGAAGGTGCCGACAAACTCCGAAAGGCTGAAACCAAGACGGAAACTTGCCAAAGGGCAGTTGACAACACCTGCGTTGATACTACAAAATGACATGAACGAGGTAGAACCGGCAAATCCTACCATAGCGTGTGGGCAAACATATTATTTCTATGACCATCCCACGCTGCTGAGGAGTTTGAGTGGAGGCAGGGCATGCAGCTGCCAGCAACGGAGCCTATATGGCTGTGGGTCAAAAATGGGTACCCAAAATAGAACCTTAGTAAATGGAACCATGCACTCAAACCTGCGGTCCCCTAGTGGTGTAATTTTGACCCACACCCATATAGCCCATCTACCATCTACCCGCCTGTGCAAACACATAGTGATATATTCATTTTCCTGCTAAGGGTTCCTCAGATAAAGGGAAACTGGCCAGCCGCCAGCAGCGAGGCGTCTTCTCTTGAGATGGTGGCTGTGCGGTTTTTTCCCCAAATCAAATGCTGACTGGTCGGCAGGCCCCTTTGAGCGTTTGCGCAGGCATGCTGTTTGAAGAGCACACAAAGTTGACAGCGAGCTGCCTGGCAGGTGCACTTGCTCAAAGGAGACGAGTGCACACGCAACAATGAAGAAACAAAACAAAAAAGGCAACAATATGTCACCTTGATCTGGCCCACTTTGGTTGCCAAGCATGTCCCCACACCGCGCGGGCGAGAAGAACACACAGAAACCCCATCGTCACGCTCACACACCCACGCATCCCCGTCTGCGCGCAAGAAGCAGTGCATCTGCATGTCGAGGCCCGCCTGTGTAGAGCTTTGTCCAGGGGATCGACAAGGAGATGCTTTCCACCTGCCCGCTTCGTACTCGAAGGCCCGGCCATCCTGGCACGCGGAGAACCAGCCGGCGGAAAAGTGGTCTGAGGCCACCGGAAGGGAAGAAGCTCGCGCTCAAACAGGTCCCATCTTGGGTCAAAATGAATCAAGCAATTGGATGGGCAGTCACAAGTGTACACCGCTTTCAGTTTCAAGTAGCACTGCTAAGCCCACTTGTAAAAAAGACAGCTTGCCTCACGGGCACCTCCTTCGATCACCAGCGATTTCCAAAAAGAAGAAGAAAAAAGACGGTGCAAATTAAGTCGCCGCTTTCACACGCCAAATCCTCGTTCAGTCGCCCCATCGTTTGGCCCCATCGGCCCATTCGACCTGCCCAGCGGGCCTAAGGTGCTGAGCGCGTCCGGGCGCACTTCCAGGTGGTCCAGCTGCAGTGAGCCGCTGAAGACCCCCAGGTGCAGCTTGTCCTCTCGACTTTCACCCATCAGAGCCATGCGTCACTCGCTGGTCGAATTCTTTTCTTTTGGGGGGGGGCTCCGGCGTCTTTCTTTTGTTTTCTTTAGAATCACGTATGTTGCAAAGTCACGCTTGGGGGTCCCGGTGGTTGCTTGTTTTGGGTTCCTCCTTCCATTTTGTTTTAAGGAACAACTACTTCCTGCATCTTCCTGCGACTCGCGACAAGCAACACATAGATGCCTAGGAGTGACAGATTCGACATGCAGCGCTCAACTGGTTTGCCAAATTCTAGATGACCTCGGGCATGCCTCGCCAACACTTTGCGAAGCGCCCCCGAAGTATCCCTACCACGTCACATCCACAGCCGCGCCGTTTCCAAGCAATTATCATTGGCATGGGTTCTAACAAATCATGCGCCCGAGGGCATGCGCTAAAGTGCACCGCGCATCATTTATTTTTTTCGAGGGGCAAAGCGGAAAACCCGCATGGAATCCACCATGATTTGCGAGCCGTGCGAAGCTGAAAGGCGGCCGCCCTTGCCCCGTCCCGCGTGATGCCGTCGACATAGGGCGCCAAATATTGCAAGAGGATGTTCTCCAAGGCTGACTCCAGCATGCTAGCGGCATGGCATAGCCGCTCTTGGACAAGCAGCCATAGCAACCGGAGCGATTGTGACGAGTGGCGCTATGCTAAGGTTGTCCTCGCATATCCCGCTGAAGGACATCATTGCACTTCATGCTTGAAGGCCCGATTAGAGTTCTGGAACCATCTGGAACCATCTGGAACCTTCTCGATTGGGCAAAGCTTCTGCTGACAGCTACAGCCAGCTGGTCTCTGCAAACTGAAACTTCGTTCAGTACCACCGGTAGTGTCAAGTAATAGATATTGAGTGAGCTCCCCGAGGTCTCGTGCTTGGAGACTATCAGTGCATTTCCTCGCTGCATGTCGCTGACAGATATTTGTGCTTGACAACAGAAACGAAGCAAATTGCGCGGATTGAAGACGATGCATGGCGTCCGAACCCTCGAAACAAAGATGCAATTTGAATTGAAGTTCGCGACGCTACGCTACACTACACCTGACGCCCAAAAGGCCACAGTGAGCGAGCGAGTTGGCTGCCGACTTGTGGCAGCCCAGCGCAACTCGTCATACTTGGTGGAAGCCAAAATTGGAAAGTTGGAATGGATTGAGGCGGTTGGCAACTCAACCGTCAGCCCTGGAAAAGGAAGTAACCGCGCACATGGCAAAGCACAGGTCCAACACATGTGCAGTATTGACCTGGATATTTCAGACGCTGCCATTTCGTCATGGAAATTCAGGCCTTGGACAGCACAGATTCAAGCCGGGCAAGAAGGTAAAGCATTACAAAATAAAGCACCCTCGTGTGTGTGTGTGTGTGTGTGTGTGTGTGTGTGTGTGTGTGTGTGTGTGTGTGTGTGTGTGTGTGTGTGTGTGTGTGTGTGTGTGTGTGTGTGTGTGTGTGTGTGTGTGTGTGTGTGTGTGTGTGTGTGTGTGTGTGTGTGTGTGTGTGTGTGTGTGTGTGTGTGTGTGTGTGTGTGTGTGTGTGTGTGTGTGTGTGTGTGTGTGTGTGTGTGTGTGTGTGTGTGTGTGTGTGTGTGTGTGTGTGTGTGTGTGTGTGTGTGTGTGTGTGTGTGTGTGTGTGTGTGTGTGTGTGTGTGTGTGTGTGTGTGTGTGTGTGTGTGTGTGTGTGTGTGTGTGTGTGTGTGTGTGTGTGTGTGTGTGTGTGTGTGTGTGTGTGTGTGTGTGTGTGTGTGTGTGTGTGTGTGTGTGTGTGTGTGTGTGTGTGTGTGTGTGTGTGTGTGTGTGTGTGTGTGTGTGTGTGTGTGTGTGTGTGTGTGTGTGTGTGTGTGTGTGTGTGTGTGTGTGTGTGTGTGTGTGTGTGTGTGTGTGTGTGTGTGTGTGTGTGTGTGTGTGTGTGTGTGTGTGTGTGTGTGTGTGTGTGTGTGTGTGTGTGTGTGTGTGTGTGTGTGTGTGTGTGTGTGTGTGTGTGTGTGTGTGTGTGTGTGTGTGTGTGTGTGTGTGTGTGTGTGTGTGCGTGTGTGTGCGTGTGTGCGTGTGTGTCTGTATGTGTCTGTGTCTGTGTGCGGGGGGGCGGGAGGGGGGGGGGGGGCGGGTGCTCGTGCCAATGATTTTATGGGCGATGTTAGAGTGCAGCTTCTGAACCAATAACTTGCATGTTGTTTCAGTTGATGCGGGTGACTTTAGTTTCCAAATCGGAGAATGCTAGTTTCCAAATCAAGAGAGTTCGTTTCCGAACCAGGGATAGCTTCTACTGCGCAGCTTCTGAATTGAGGACTCCTGCTGAATCGTAGCTTCCGACGACTCTGGGACTCTCGGAGCCACGTCTCTTGGGGCCAACCCACCCCCCCAGCCCTCAGCTGAGTCTGAGTCTGCAACCAGCAAACGAGCACCTCGAGCCTGACGGTTCTCGGCTTGGGTCAAGCCGCGCCCACTTCACAGGCGGGCGGCTCTTGGGGGGGGGTCCCTGAAACCTTCTTCAAAAAAGTTTCTTTCGGGGTAAACACATTCTCGCAGGGGGGCCGTATTGATGGGCACTATGGAACTCTTCAAACGGCAATGGTGCTGCAGCGTCTCCTTCAATCCGGCACAACTGCAGGCCAGAACGCGGCTGAGAACTCCAACAAAATTGCCGGAGAACCAGGTTGAACTAATTTTGCTTCCTCCTGTCGATTTCATTTCATCCCATGCTGCACGGTGTCGGCTGTCGGCTGGCGTTCAAAGAGGCTGTGAATAGAGGCAGTTCGCTTCCCCGTCAATGTGTGTAACATGACGCATTTCGTGCGGCTCCAATGATTGCAGCACTCCTTGCGTTTGGCTTCTCTCCCGCGAGCCTTTAGCCTTTGGTGGCAGCCAAGTTCTACACAGGTCTGGGGGCACACATGGGTGTGGCTCAAAATTAAACAGGAGGGGGTACGCAGCTGTTGGTCCATGTTTTCACTTACCAGGGTTCCATTTTGGTGCCGGTGTTTTGAGCCACAGCCACATCTTGACGGCCATGTCAAGTTCTTTGGACCTTGAAAGCTCTTGAGCCTCGCTTGTTTTCGTTGCGTCACCCTCCGGGCCGCCTCCCCTGCTGCCTTTCACCTCCTGGTCTTTCAGAGACAGAACCCTAAACCCCTAAAGAAGAAAAAAACAACCGAAACCCTAACCCCCATAACCCATAACCCAAAACCCAAAACCCAAAACCCAACAACCCTGAAACTTGTCGGAAATGAAGTCTGGCGCACTCACGGGGCGCGTGCAATCGGGGTAGGGGCTCCAAAATCCCACAAATCAACAGGGCATGGCGTGGCTCGATCTCCTGAAGGCATCCTCCGATCCCTCACTCCCCTGGCTTGGCCTCAAGGCCTCACCGGCCGCCGAGCAAACTGCCATGGCACAGAAGGCTCGGAGGCAGCCACCTCCCCTTGAAGGATTAGAGGGGGATTGCACCACCAAGGGCAGTCTTTTGGAGTCGTCCAAATATTTCAACTGGTGCATGATGCTTCAGCCGCCATTGCTCTTTCTTGAAAGCTTCATTCAATGTTGTACGAAACCGAGTGGTTTAAAATGGGCTGCGCCACAAATCAAGGGAAAACACATGAGGGCAATGCTTGGAAGAGAACAACTACAAGTCCTCCAAACTTGCTTCACAGAACCCCCTGAAAGTTCATGCATATAAGAATTCTTGTCACGCTGTAGCTTTCGGCTAACCCCTTGGCACCTCGTGCTAGCTTTCTTTTTTTTTGTGTCGGAGTCCGTGGCACCCCAAGCGAACGTAAAAGGCCCGCCCATTGTGCAACTGGAGGGTCCCGAAAACTGGCTGGACGGGAAAAGCTACGAAAGATTTCGATTGATGTTGGGCGCCAACCCAACAACTCATCCGTCAGACAGCACTGCTCAGGGTCATCATGGGGGCTGGGTGGGGGGAAGGAGGGGGGGGAGGGAGCCCAGATAAGGCCTTATTAAGCCCTTAATAAGGCCTTATTTAGGGCTTATTTGGGCTCCCTCCCCCCCCTCCTCCCTCCCCCCCAGCCCCCATGAGGTCATGCTGTGAAACACTTGCATGCTTGCCCGTTGTTTCATAATTACCAGCCATTTCTCCTGCCCCTGGACAAGACACCTTAAATTGAGCATCTCGTCTCAGTGAATCATTGCAATTCCACCTTATAAGACCAGATGAGACAAATAACATATGCCCAAGAAGTCTTTATCATTAGAAATGCCTTGACATGTTGTTTCGCCCGTTGTGATGTTGCCATCGTCTGCTTCGGCTACTACACAACTATTTCACTCAACTTCGGTCCGCTGATTCATTCGCGATTGGAGCATGGTTGCTTTGCAGTGCTCCAGGTGAAACAAGCAAGGCGCAGCAGCAATCCCTGAAGCATGTGGCGACTCCATGGCATCTCACCCAAAAAACTGAAATTATTGCCCTCCCTTCCACTGACATGGCACCTCTGGGAGCGTACCTGGAAGATTGGTTTCCTCTTCAAGGGACCCCATGTCTGGTGCTATGTTAGTTGGAGGGGGGGTACCTAGGTCAGGTCCAGGTCGCACCTGGCCCCTGGCAAACCGACCCAGTGCGGGATTGACACGGTCGCATGGGCAAATATCTCTTGGGTCCTTCCGGGTGAAACAACGTTTCATCCAACTCGCCCGGGGCCAAACCATGTCCTTCCGGATTCCAGCTGCGGCCAGGCACGCTTAGCCGTCAGCCAGCCTGACAGCTGACAGCCAGTCCGCTCAAAGGGATTCTCGGGCCATGAAAGAAAAAAAGCTGGGACAACTGAAAACACAACTTAGCCTGCAGCCGAACTCTGCCAAACGACGAGATCGAATCCACTCCATCTGAGCCATTGGTCGCGAAAGAGATGCGAGGCAACCATCTAGCTTCACCTGCCAGCGAGCAAGTTGGCACAAAAAAAAGGTACTGAAACAGGTAGACGCCTAGTCAAATTGCGATCGTTGTGATCTGTGGCTGCTTTAGATTCGAAAGCCACGGCCAGCCAGCAGAAAAGAAGCTTAGCCCCTTCTTCTCATGGAAAACTTGCACGAGCTGTTGATCTGATGTTTGAACGTACGCCGACTTGCCAAGGATTTCCAGGCCTTTTCTTCTGCACCTTCGAGCAAGTTCCCGCAAAAAAGGATAGAGAGAGAGAGAGAGTTGTTTGGCCTTTTTTTGTGCTTTTTTGCGGCCGCGACCCGATTTTTCCGGACGCATCGTCCAAGCCACCCGCAAGGCCTCGGCCGCAGCTCCTGGAGCTTCTTGTGGTGACCCACGCCCAGGCGCCGCTCCTGCTGGAGGACCTGGGGATTTGGTGTGGATGGACCTCCCTTCCTCCCACTAACATAGCATTTGCGGGAGGCTTCAAGGGACCCCCTGTCAGGTACCATGTTAGTGGCAGGAAGGGTGGCGTTTTTGCCCCCCCGCAAAATATTGTCTTAACACGAACTCCGGTAGTGATAGGTTCCCTTTAAAGACCTGGAGAAAATAGTTTGAAAATAGCCGAAATATCCTGAAAAGCAAATGGAAGACTACTTGCCTTTTCCAGTTTGCCATGTGGCCGACATTTTTGCACAATGTCAGCTTCCCTCTGATTGAGCCCGGTGTTTTGATGGCTAGGGAAACTCCCACTCACTCTCAACTCCCCAAACCACCAATCCAAAGCACAAATTGAAGGTAACCTGACAGTTGCTACATTAAGGCCGCAAAACCATATCTGAAATAGTGGTACCAGGGCTGCCTAAGGCTACGTGGTTGCGCCGTCAGAGAATGGAATTAGGCACTCCAAAAACCAGGAAACAGAGTCTTCAGAGCGCTTCCAGTTTAGGCAAAATCCGTGTACGCGCCCCTAATCACACTCCCCCCAGCTTCGGAAACTAAGAGTTGTTGGGGAAGCACAACCACTAGTGGGGTAAGACACGTTCAAAACGCAAACAAAGTCCTTCTTTGCGCGTGGGCGTGTGGGAGCTTTGCATTTGCAATTCGCAATTCTCCCACGCACCATTGAATGTTGACTTGCACTGCAAAGTGAAAAGTGCAACTGAGCTGTGAAACTTCATCACTTGCTTTAACAATCTGAAAACAATACAAACTCCCAATTGAATTGGCGCAGCCGAGTTGACTTGCCCTAGAGAGCACAAATCAGGTGTCCGGGTTTGGGGAAGTGACCGCATCGTCCAATCCCGGGAGCAGTGGCATTGTATGCCACTTGTCCAGGATACGGTCTGCCAACGGGATCTTGGTGAGATGCTCAACCCTAGACCTAGGCTCTTTTTCCCGTTTCCCACCACTCCCGATAGAAGCTGAATGGCAACGTAAGATGCCAAACCACGTCTCAATGCCTTTCGCCCCCCGCGCCTTCTCCAGCTCCTTGGCCTGAGAATTGAAAGAGGCGCACGCTATGGTCAAACTTGCTACACGCCTCTCACATGGGTCCATGTGGGAAATCATGTGAGTTCCGCATGATCTTAGAAGGTCACATTGGCCACTCTGAAGTAAGCAAATCCGAATTTGCTGGTGCTCTTTTGGCATGTCCAAAACATGTTGGCAGCCTTTGTCTGATGCTGGTCTCGTTAGGTAATGGCAGCCTGCATGCGCACATGCTGCCAGCTGCGTCCACCCCGCCGCCCAAACTCCGCTAAAATTGGGCACCAAATGGTGGCCAACCCCAAACAGGAACTGCAAGGACCCCAGAGAACTTGCGGCGCCCAAAAGTTGAACCAAAAGCGACTTCCCACAAGAAAAAACACCTTCAGCGTCTTCCGCCCTCATCGCTTTAAGAATGATCCCACCTGCGCGGCTCTCGTTTTTAGGCGCCCGCCTTTTTCCGGGCGCATCGCATCCCGCGCCACATCGCGCTGGGTGCCGCGCCCAGTAGCGCCAGGACCCGCTCCGCAGCAAATCCCGCTCCGTGGCCTGGCGAATCCATGTGACGCTTTTTTTACGTCGCCGCCCGTTGGGAGCCAAGGGGGATGAGTCTTGACGTTGGGTTTGGGGAGCAAAAAGTCCACTCAAAAATGTTAGCAGTTCAGTGGATTTGGATTTCAAGCACTAAAGCACAAGAAGCAAAAATGGGAAAACTGTTTCCCAACAACAACCATGACAAGGGGAACCAACTTGCTGGTGCGATAGGCAGGGAATGAGGGCATGACCCCTATGAACCATCCAACTGGTGGTTTCCTTTGAGGGAATCCCGAGGTTCATTCCCACATTCCCTACTGAGCACTGGCAAGACAAGGTCCGGGGAAAAGCTCCGTCGCCAGGAAAGGTCGGAAAATGTTTGCTCAAACTCAGCGAGGTGCCCCAAGGTATTGCTCCAGAAAATGTGTTCAAGCCACAAGCCTGTCAAATCGAAAGCCAATTCGCTAGGTCCTGTAAGTGCCGTCTAAACAGCCACCCGAGTATGCCTAGAAATTGTGGATGGACAAAACCCTGCACCACCGAGGATGGATGCGCCCCTATGAATACTGGGCTAAACGGCTAAACCATATTCCAACTGGTGCAGCCAAAGCATGACTAACAGGCACCGGACGCCCTGACGGCCTGACGCCACACAAAAGAGGGAGCCCCAGCTCTGAGCCACACGCTGAAGCTCATCGAACCCTTGAGGCTGGTCAAGCAGTCAAGCCGTGCTTGCGAGGCTTGGGGCAGTCAAGGGTCCTCGCAAGCAGGCGACAAACAAGAACTGTCTAGTTCCTGTTGCTGTACTTTTTTCTGCCGTAGCAGCCTGCTGCTGCTGCTGCTGTTGTTGTGGTTGTGGTTGTGGTTGTGGTTGCTGTTGCTGTTGCTGTGGTGGTGGTGGTGGTCGAGGTGGTGGTTGTGGTTGTGGTTGTGGTTGTGGTTGTGGTTGTGGTTGTGGTTGTGGTTGTGGTTGTGGTTGTGGTTGTGGTTGTGGTTGTGGTTGTGGTTGTGGTTGTGGTTGTGGTTGTGGTTTGGTGGTTGTGGTTGTGGTGGGTGGTGGTGGTGGTGGTGGTGGTGGTGGTGGTGGTGGTGGTGGGTGGTGGGTGGTGGTGGTGGTGGTGCTGGTGGTGCTGGTGGTGCTGGTGGTGCTGGTGGTGGTGGTGGTGATGCTGGTGGGTGTCGGTGTCGGTGTCGGTGTCGGTGGCGGTGTCTGTGTCGGTGTCGGTGTCGTTGCTGCTTTGGGTGTTGCGGCTGCTCGCAAAGCAAGCATCCAAGCGTTCACCAAATCTTTGAATAGCTGTAAGCTGGATCATCCACGTTGGACACTGCACTCCTGCTTCCCACGATGTGAATTCTTGCTTCACATATACATATACACATACATATATGCCCATGGGGCATAACCTATGGCTCCATTTTGGGGTGGATGAACATCCATTTGCAACCGGGTACAGGGTTTTGACCCACAGTCATATGTTCTTTATCATTTATCCTCGACTTCCAGCCCTTCTCGACCAACAAGTTGTTTGCGCCGCCCGGCCAAGCTCTTTTCGCACCCTTTCCGCCTGTGGCTCGGTGGCGAGGCGCCGCGACAGCTCCAGGAGGCTCTCGGTCCTCAAACTTCAAAAGACCCGGTGGAGACGAAATCTTGCTGGTGCTCTGAGGGGACATCTGGCTGTTTCCTTTTGAGGGGACCCCTGGGTTCATTCCCAAACATTTACTGAGCACCAGCAAGAAACTTGCATGGCTCGTCTTTCTGTCCAGAAAAACAGCTCGAAGCTATGGATGTGGCCTAAGATAGGCGATGAGCGGTGGTTTGGGACAGCTTTCAGGAGGGTTCCGGAGGCTTTCAGGGTGTAGGGCTGTGGGGCTACTTGGGCTTATTTGATCATACCCTTGCTGGGGCTTGATTTCACCGGGGGCCAAAGGGAACCCGCCCAACCAATTTGGCGGGGCGGGTTAAGAAGACACGCCCCGGCATCTTTCTCACACTCCGGAAAACGACCGAGCGTGGACAGGGCATGCACAGCTCCTCAAACTCATCGAACAATTCACATACGGGGGAAACGGGGAAGACAAACTTTGATTACAAGTCTCCGTTGGTTGCAAACCCACTACGATTACAAGTCTCCGTTCAGTGGATTACAACCACGCTCACCAACCACTTACTAAGCACTGTGCCCCTTTAAGTATGTGTCAAAAGGGCCCCCCCTCTCTCCCCCGAAAAAAGGGGCTTCCCTTGTCCTGTTCCCGAAGAAGGCCAGCCCCGAAAAGTTCTTTTCAAAACAGCAAAGCCCCATTTCTTGTTAGAAATTCGTGAATCTTTGGACCATGGAGGCAAATCCACCGTCTTCTGAACACCCCAGTACAGATGCTGTTTCTTCAAAGGTGGTTTGGCTTTCATCAACAACACTTGGCTGTTGTGCGCATCTATTTGTTTTCATGTCCGAGTCCGAAAAGTAGCTTCGGCTTTCCCATTGGTTTGCCTGCATCCGTCTGAGTTGGGTTCCCGCAAAACTCTTGTTCGCCCATACCAACAAATGGTAGGTGGACATTGACCTTCATGTGGGAGTTTCTCAATCAATCTACCCTCCCTCCCACTAGCATGGCAACTGACAGGGGGTCCCTTCAAAAGGCATGGCTACCTTTTGACACATGCCCAACATGAGACAAAGTATAGCTGCGCCGCCAGACAGACTGGGCCAAAGGGCGTGTCGCGGCGGCGGCACGCTAGAGGTGCCTCCGGAGTCCGTTTTTTTTGGGTTGTGGGGTCCACATGGGGCTGTTTGTAAGGGCAAAAGGGTTGCTCCGAGTTTAAGGTCGCTGAAATCTTCCACCACCTGGTCCAACGTACCTGAAATTTCTGCCTCCCTGTCAATCGGCTGGTTTTTGGAATTCGTACCTGCTTTTATTGGCTGTCCTCTTTTTTGGACCTCGAGCAGTTTTTGGAGGCATGCGGGCTGTCAGGTCCTACTCGAGCAGAAATTGTGTGCAACACGCCCGGCCCGCAAAACGAGCGCAATAAAACCTGCAAACGGGCGCAAGTTTGAAAAGTGCTCAGTTGAAAATACAAACCTCGGGCACTTGTCCATTGCTCGGGCAGAAATTGAAGAATCGCGCACAAACTGTGTGTTCAAAAAGCGAGCAACAAAAGGGTATCAATGGGAAGGTCCAGGCAGGATTGGTTTTACTCTTCAAGGTCTCTGAGAATTCTCCACGAACTCTAGGATTTAGAAACTTTTGGTCGACGTATGGCCCTGTCGGATCTTAAACCTCACCAGTTCATGCGCCAGACGTCATCCGGTGGCCGCCTCTGTAATGTTGTTAAAGTACCCGGAGGTGAGGCGGTGGTCGAAGCCCATCTGCCGGCCCTGGACCTGGGAGTCGAAGGAAGCCCACGATTGATACTGTGGATGGTGGCGAAATCCGTTCGCACCACTTTGAAAACCATGGGAGACCATGACCATGGTCTGTTGGCATTTACAGGGAAATCATGAGAAACCAGGGCTCCTTAAGTCTTAACTTATGTGGTGATGGATTCTGTCCATCCACGGGTATGAACAGTCCTATAAGGCATCTTGGAATGTTGGCCCATGTTCCGTTCCTCAGAAAGTCCCTTCCGGACCTCGCAAGCCTCTGCATCGAGGCGTGTGGGCCACAGGAGGCCTTGTCAACCGCCGAGTCAATCGCCGCGGACGTTTTGGGCCCCCGCGTCCTCATCTTTGGTGCGGCGACAGTGGCTCGGCTCGGAGCTGCCTCCACAATGTGGATTTCTCACCAACCGCAGTTCAAGCCAAGCTGAAACGAACCCAGACTCGCACGCGAGGCCCTGAAGTTTACTTCCTGAGAAAATGGGCGGTGGCAAACAAATAATGCGTCTATCAGCCGTTTGCCACTGCCGTCAACGTCAACCTGCAGCGAAATGCTGTACAAGCAGGCTCTGTGAATCTTGCCTGAGGAGAGATCACTCTTCCAGAGAACGCCTATAGCCACGCTGCATACCGCAGGGCGAGACGTTGGTAGATCTCTTTGACCCCAGCGCAAAGCCCAAGACTTAGTCATTTGCACCCCTCAAGCAATTAGTGCACTTTCCCTCGCAAGCACGGCCCCTGCCTAGCACTTCCTGCAAGGCGTGCCGGAACGCCTCGAACCGCTTGCCACTTGCGAGTCGGGGACTTCAACGGGAACAGTCTTTCTTGGAACGGCTGCTTATTCGGTGCTTGTGAAAACGCCGTGTCGGCAGAATGGTTTGGACATGGAGTTGCGCTCGAACGGGCCGTGTTGAAAATGCGGGCTCGGCGGAGCTTCGAGGAGTTGAAGAACATAAGCAAACATCTGCAGAAATGACAAATTGGTGAAACAATTGCGAAGTTGTAGGAGCACCCCAAAACCTCGTTCAAACAAACACGCTCTCAGGGCCAGATGCGTGTGTTCAACACCTTGGTGCAGGCCCTCAGAGCCCCCTGACTTGTAATGATATCAGACCAACTGACCCGCTCGGCCTGAAAGTCCTGGTCCATCGGGGAGGCGCCTTGGCACAAGCCATGCGGCGGGAAGGCCGCGAGCCTTCCCTTGAGAAACCGCTTCGGGGGCACATGGCCCTGCGCCAAGCCAACCTGCCGGACAGGGCTCTTGAAGTCGTGCACGCCAGTTGACAACGGGCAAGCCCGCGCATATGGGCTAGAACATCTGGAACGCTGTCAGGCTTGGCCCGAACAAATTCGCCGCATGCTGCTAGGGCCACTACTAAAAATACATGCCCCACAAGCCATCGACCAATACGAAGCCATCAACCAATAAGGGCCCCACCCTGACTTTTCGACTTTTGAGGCGCTGCAACCCGAGCAACAATCCTGAAGACTGCTGCTGGCGCTTGTCTACCCCGTTGTGCGCCACAAACATCCCCCCTGGACAGGTAAGGTCGCAAGTTACACTGAAACAGTCAATGCAACTACGAACGGAATTCTGGGGGTCAGCCCCCTATCCCGCGTCCATCTTTACGAGAGACAGGGAACCCTCGAACCCTCCCCAAGCTCCAGCCCTGCGAATCGGACGAAAAAGCCCGGGCTTCCGCGCAGCGCGGCGCCGGCGCAACCGCCTTCTTCGCCATGGCCCGCTCCTCTTCGAGTCCAACATACGAAGCCATGGAAAAAGCAAATGGAAAGGATCCGCCTGAACACGGTTGCTTTCTGCTTCCCCGCTAACAGTGACTAACTGTCAGTGGTTTAATACGGAAAATCCGTTAGTTGGCAAAAAGTTAAAGTCGTAACATCCAAGCAAAATGCAACAAAGTTAAGGAAAAAGGAAAGCCCCAACACCGTCCCGTGCAAACTTCAGGGAGGAAACGAACGACCTGAGAATCGGGGAGATGATTGCGACAGCTTGAAGTTCGAACTTTGTGCGCGTCTTAAAATAGGGGAACCCCGATCATAGAGTTGTCCTTGCGGTTTTCCTTTAAAGCCATCCCACAAATTAAAGGGTTCCCCAACAAAAAGACAAACCCATTTTGAGATGCCAAAAGAGTTCTATTTCCAGCGACGGCCCAAGAATAGAGAAGAGAACCAAAAGCTGCCACTTGGATCTGGAAACTCACCCTGGGGGTTCCCCAGTTTCTGTCGCAAGGGTTCCCTGACGAAACTTCTGAGAAAAAAAACAGAGGGCAGGGAAACAACTGCCATCTTTAACTCTCCATCCCTGCTAAAAGCATCAGTCAGCCCGGGCAACTAAGTGGCTATGCCGTATGCCTTCTTGTGCAAGCATTACATCTCCGGATCATTGTCAAGCAACGCTCCAACGTTCGACTGTTATGCTATGTGCTCAAGCCAGGGGTGGCATGCCTCATCATGGCCGCATGTCTGGGGGTATGCACTTGTGAATGAGTCAACGTAAACTTATACCTCTGTGTCTGTCTGTGTGTGCGTGTAGGGGGTGGCAGGCGTGGAGGGCGTGGAGCGTGGAGGGCGCGTTTACTCGTTGGTAGGTGGGTGCTAGGCGCGTGGGTGCGTAGGTACACGGGGTATTGCAAGTCATGTGCACTGGCTGAGGACTACTTTTAGCACAATGCGCGGCGCAAAGAAGCAAAGAAACGACCAGCTCATGAAGGTGCATGTCCCTAGAGCCGTTCCCAAGGTTCCCAGTGCCTATCATTCTTGGGGTATTTCATGAGTCAAGTTCATCAGATTCGCAACCGGATTGTTGTCATAGAATCACGAAGCTTGCGACATGCACATTGACAAGCAGCTCATGTGCTGCACACATAGCCGGCTTACCCCTCATCTCTCTCGAACGCGGTACTTTTGCTCGAAGTAGTCCACAATTCAACCAAACCACTTCTGAAGCAAAGCCATGTTTCGTCTAAAGCCCTGCACCACGTTGTCCAGTATGATAGGTTACGCAAATAGGATGGACGATGCAACCAACTGCCACCACAAGACCGTGACACTCGATCCCAACAAATGCCACTGGAAGCCTTTCACCAGAAATGAAGGTGCGGTACCAATCCAATTTCCGTATCTGAAGGGCTAACGCTTTACAGTTTGTACGGACGGAAGTAGATATGTTGTGTCTAACCCATACCGACAACTGAACCTGCATGCCAAGCTTGTGCAACTACCCGCTTCCCTTGATTGGACCAGTCAAGTGACGATTTCAAAAATGAGTCGGGAGCACCATTCTCTGGGCATTAATCACCTAGAAACAATTTCGGAGTGCATTGGTTCAGACTGGCGGGAGCGGCATGACGTGTCCACTGGTGATGAGGCCCACCAAACCTCAAGACCCAGAAGGTCCCTGGGGTTCGGCAGCGTTTGCAGGGGGACCTGGGCATGCAAGTCTCCGAAGGGGGATTCGGATCCGGGCGCACCCAGTTTGCCGCTTGGCCATCTCAGAACAAAAAAACGCTGGGCAGCTTGGCTAAGTCTGTTTCCCTTGGCCTATGAATGAATGGAATAGTGACCAGCCCCCCAAATCTCAACTGCTCAAAGGCGAGGACCTGCTGAAACGAACGGCGCATGGCTATGGTAGAAGCAGATGTAGAGGCAGCGTGACTCGTCCAAAAGCCGGCCAACACCACCCACCTTCCAGGCATCGGTGGCTTAACCCTACTATAAGCTAAGCACACGGAAAGCGCTGAACAAGGTTCACGTCTCTTTGGTTTGTCCCAGGGCAAGCCAGCGATACTGACCTTTGTTTGCTTTCTGCTCCCCTGCTAAAAGCTTAACTTTTAGTGGCTTAATGGAAAACCCATCAGTTGGCAAAAAGTTAAAGTCCTAACATCCAAGCAACATGCACCAAAGGACCTTGGTTGCAAGCCTTGCTTCCAACACATCGGTTGCAAACCCCAACCTTTGGCGGACTTTGGCGTGACACGAAGCGACTCTAAACATACACGCACTCTCGCTCAGACACGTTCGTTACACTCCCTCCAATCATGAAAGCTGACAGGAGGATCTGGAAGACGGCTTTCCTTTTGGGAAACCCAAAAGCCACATCCATTGCTGGAATGGAAACCCTCCTTTCAGGAGCCAACAGGAAGCACAGGGGCCGCTTCCATGTGGCTCAAAGTGACATTTGCAAAATGGCCCTCTGAATGCGGCTTCCCCCCAAGACAAAGGACACATTCTGAGACATCCCCAAGAAATCCAAGAAATCCCCAAGAAATCCCCAAGAAATCCCAAAGAAATCCCAAACAAAAAACAGAAATCCCCATCATCTTCACTTTTAATGATCCCCTTTCGAGCGACTCTCGACCCTTTTCGACTCTTTTCGGCCCCGGGCCGTGACCCGCTGCAGCGTGCCCGAGCCCGCACGCCGCAGACGCAGCGCCAGGGGGCCTCGCAAAGTCCCATGGCCCGTTTTGGGCCGTGTTGATCTCACTTGCCCCTTGGGGACCTGGAAATAAAAAGTGATCGCCTATAGGGAAGACCGAAAGAGTCAAAAGGCCGTTAAACGATGATCGCCGTTTGGGACCTTTGCTAAAAGTGGGCGAAAAAGAAAGGGAAGACCGAAAGAGTCAAAAGGTCGATGCGCTTCCGGCAACTGAGTGATAAAGAGGGCCTTGTGGATTAATTGAGTGAGGGTTTCCTTCAAAGAACGATCGTCTTTGGAAGCCATGGTTATTCTGCTCTCATTCCTCACTGGGCTAAAATCGGGGACCGACTCTTTTGGATGATGAACTTAAAGGAGCAAAAGGGAAAGCCATACTCCAACCTCAGATTTGAGGAGACCAGTTTCATGGGAAGCCCGATTTCTCGCTCCGCTGAAGCGCACTGAAAATCTGGATTCGCAAATAAGAGTCTGTCTCAATATAGGGGAAAACGGGAAAATAGGGGCACCCCTTTTTGGATGGCTTGAAAGGGAACCCAAAGGAAACCAAACACCTGGGGTCCTCAATTTTGAGAAACACCCAAAAGGAACGCATGCAGGAAGGACACAGCCGCCCCCCCCCCAAAGGACTGAGTTTCAGCTAAGTGCGCCGAAGGTGAACAAGCCTGCAACTTGCTGCTAGCCCCAAGCTGTACCCTTCAAGAACAATACTACACGCCAGACTTAACCATTCCAAAGTTCGGTTGTGTTTCTGAAAAAGGTGTGACTTGTGTACTCCTGTTGCTGAAGCATTTGCCGGCCTTGTGCGTGTTCCCTTTTGTCGTGCGCCAAGATTGCAACTTCAGTATGGCTTGCACGTCGGCCACAGAGGGCCCAATATCAAGAAAAATCATTTTCCGAGATGCTGCACCACTGCAAGCTGATGTTATGCAACAAATATCAAGAGACAAACTCAGCCATCCAGTTGCCTCAAAAGTCTTCGATTTTGACATAACACCATTTGAGTCTGACTGTTTCACACCCATCACCCACCTACGCCCAGCCACAGGCACGCCCATGCAGACATCACCTCACACCTACCGACACCTACCGACTGGATGCCTCCCGGCGGGCTGGTGGGAATCTTGCTGGTGTCCCACTTCTTGGAATAGCCCCTACCTGAATCGTGCTGACATGTTCGCGATTTCTCCGCATGACCGGCTTTGCACCTCTGTCGCCGGCAGCCTAGGCAAACATTCATTGAGAACAGCCTTGTCACTAAGAATGGCGAACCATGCAATGTTCATGTCAGCAGCGGCCTGATGTTTCCCAACAGCTATAGCACACACACACAGACACACACCTCATTTGCTCCATTTTGGGAGAAGATCCTACAAACATGCGCTTCTGGAGTCCTGCTTCAAAACGGTTCTTCTCTGCCGCACACACACGCACACACATACCATTCCAGCCAAACCCATTGCCCCAAAGAACTTTTTCAGCACCGAGGCGCCATCGATCTGATTTTAGAAGCCTCGCTCTCAAACAAACAGATGGCCAG